AATAAAATAAACTAACAAAAATACAATTATTGCTTTTGGGACAAAAATTGTGCTGTGTTTTTGTTTGTTTGCAATTCGCCACAAAAAGAAGAAAAACGAAGGCGAAATATTCTTCTCTTCAAAATAAATTTTGGCAGTTCGAAGGAGTAAATCAGCTTAGCCAATTCGCCCTTTACACGACCTAATAAATGGGGCTTGCCTTGTCAAACCAATATTTAAATTGAGAATTTTAAATGAAAAGTTATCCAAATTTCCAAAGATTGTTGAAAAATACATATCAACAACGTATAAGAAAATTTATAAAATGTACTTCTGTTTTGAAAAAAAAAAAAAAAAAAATACATATCTACAATGCAGTAGAGCTTTTATACCATGGTAGAAGAATATAGGTAGATGCATCAACTCTTGGGAACATTGATATGTCAATATTGTTAAAACTTTTTTAAATAAGTACATTTTATAAGTTTTCTTATAAGGCACCAATCGAAGGTTGTTATGACATGCATTTTTCGACAATTTTTACAAATATCAAAATTTTTTCATTCAACATTTTTACTTTCAAAGTCAGTTCGTTGTCCCAGCAACTGCGTCAATGCGTCTATCTGTATTTTTCTACCATGTGTTATACATACAAAAAATTGACAGCAAACGAATTCGCCACAAAATTCTTTTTTCAAGGCGAAAATATTTATTTTCGCCTCAAGCATTAATTTTGACATTTCATGTAGTAAAATAAAAGCTGTTTTTAGATTAATTCGCTCGAAGGAAGACCTTATAATTGGGCCATGCCTTCTACCTTGCAGCAATAACAAGTGGTCTGTTCTAGAACTTCAAAAATGTAACTTGCGTGAAGTGAGCAACATTGGAAACTATCGATAACATTGATTTTCCCCAGAAACACAGGGTGACTCAGAACATCAAATTTTACACCATTTTTTCCTCGAACCGATTTAAAACAATTTTATTTTTAAAATTATGAATGAAAATTTCCACGAAATAATAAATGTTGTTTGATAATGAATTATCATACCCCTGTTATTAATTCCATACATAATATCGCAAAAGAAAATTGTTGGACATAAGCAAAACTAAGAATAAAATGTTGATTTCCAAAGAATCATTAAACGGCACCGGGACACATGCATAAATCTTCCTGTCCAAATCAGTTTTTGGTAGAACAAATTTTCCAATTTTCTGATATTCCACTGGTGAGCAGGACGGAAATCTTCCTCATTAAACCTCCATATAAAGACGTCCAAAAACTGTGAATGCCAAATGAAAGTGGAAGCCCTTACGAGTTCTTTCCCTTATAACATGTTCCTCAAATCAGTTTTTGGTAAAACAAATTGTCCAATTTTCTGATATTCCACTGGTGGTCAGGACGCAAATCTGGCTCTGGAAACCTCCGGAAATTGAAGCCGAATAAACACAGCTGCTTGTACCATGAACCATGGCATAATTGCAGAATGTAAAATAAAGGTACCTCCTAAATACAGTTTTTTTCTTTTTGTGCCCCTTTTATGTTAGAACATATATGTGTGTATTGTTTTGAATAAACAAGAAAAAATTGAAATTATTTCGAATTTAGATGCAACAGAAATGCATAAATTCCACGTTAGCGGGAAGCAAAATACATAATTTTGCGATAAACAATATTGTCAATGTATCTTACTTCCAAATTTGAAAAAGTGTTTTGTGGCCGTATTTCCCAAAACGCCAGGTCCATATCTTAAAATCTACCCATGGGAGAATGAAGAAGGCAAAGACATGCAATCAAATGTTCACAATTTTTCAAAATGTTTAATTTGACAACATCTCATTGTCAAAATTTGAACTTTTTAATTCAGGATGCATACACAAATCAGAGATGGGAGCCCGCTCTCTATGCAGTGAAATTTAACAAGGTAAATTACACAAACTGCAGAGATGGATATCAGAGGTGGCCCGTCGAATATTATGCGTATCTGACATACGTTTCTGACGTATATTACACATTCAGAAAAGTCGTAAACCTACCGTATGAAACTAGGTTTTCGACAAAAATAGGAACGAAATGAAAACCCGTTATTCTTTAATTTCAAAGACATAAATAATTCATTTAAAATATATTTTATATCAAAGGTCTATAAACAGGTACATACTGTTATTACAATATATTTTCATTTTCGCTGTAATCAGTATCCTCTGTATACATCGAGACGTCTTTTGTTTCATTAATTCTAAAAGAAAAATAAACTTCTAGTAATTTCTATTGTTGAAGCTGGTATCATCAGTAGTTTTTTGCAAATATCGCTAATTATTTGTTTCTATTTGCAGCTAATACCCGGAATAGCCAAAGTTTAGACGTTTCTTCCGATAGTAAGGCAACAAATTTTGATGCATTTTTGTATTCTGAATATGACTGCAAACTAACTTCATAAAGTTATATTTATTAAAGACATTACTCATTCTACATCTTGCGGGGTGCGTCTTATACAGGGTTAAGCTTAAAATGAATAAATAACAAGTAAAAAAGCTGTAAGTTCGGCCGGGCCGAACTTTGAATACCATCCAACATTTGGTACAAATTTGGCAATCTTCAAAAAAATGAAATCCGTTAAAAATTCTGTTAAAATCTTATGAGAAGCAAGAAAAAATCTTTTTATAATGTAGCTAAAACCATCAAAATGCCGAATATAGGGTGGTACCATGGGGGCTATATAACATGGACCTGCACAGACAATTTTCTGGCATAGGCTGCAGTATCCATTACGAACTTCAAATACCAAATTTGAAATAGTTCCGTTAGATAATGTCTCTAAAATCATCAAAATACCCAATATCTGGAGGTATCGTATAGCCCCCACATACGAAGACATGGACCTACATGGCTCATCTTCTGTCTTGGAATGTAGTATCCATTACGAACTTCAAATGCCTAATTTAAAAAAATTCCGGTAACTAATGTCGCTAAAATCATCAAAATACCGCATATCGGGAGGTAACGTTATATGGGGCCTATACGAAGACGTGGACCTACATCGCCCAAAAGTCCTGCAGACATAATACACATTTCAGTGAAATTTTATCAACATACTTCATTGCGTTCGGAAGGTAGAGTGATTTCCGCAGACGGACGGGCATTGCTAAATCTACATAGAATTTTATGCTGATCAAGAATTTATATACTTTGTAGGGTCTAAAATGTATATTTCGGTGTTACAAACGGAATGGCAAACTTAATATACCCTCCATACTATTGTGGAGGGTATAAAAGAAGAAGAAGAATATTGCCAACCATCCGCAAAACAGCTGTTTTGTTGCAACTGCATGCAAAAATGTCAATATGAAGGAGAAGAAAAAAAACATGAAAATCAAAAATTTCCTGGAAAATTTTCGTAGGAAAATAGATCCGTTTTGATTTTCACTGGTGAGACGATTGGATGTGTGGCTCCCGCCATCCGACAACAGCAAGCAAAACAAAAAAGCCGAATTGTTTTTAAATGTTTTTTAATGCGTTTATTAAATTTTCGTTTTGTTTAAAAATAATTAGTTCAACAATTAAACCTAAACAAAGATTAAAGGAACTCTACTTCATCGAAGACAAATATTGAAACACAAAACTTGTTATGATCCCTGTTAGGCGGCGCTAGAGGGGACCTTTCGGTCAGCTCGTGGTATCGGGTTCTCATCCCGTCCTCTTCTCTAGACCGTCAGGGCAAACATGAGTTGAACTTCACAAGACAAAACAAGCATACATTTACACACAATAAACCTGATTTGACAAGGGAGTATTGGTGTTTTACTCCTACATTTTGCCCTCCCAACCATGGTTTCCACATCTCCCCGCTTCAAATATTATTGGAAACCCCACATTACACACACACTCACCTCATCACCTTTAGGATTCCTCCCTGTTTACCAACAAATTAACACATATTATCTTTTAAATAACAACTGCATTAAAACATTTATTGATACAAGGATTTCTTAATTCTAATTTTGTATCTTGCCTTTACAGGCTATTATCCCTATATGGATTTTCTAACACCAGAACTAAAGTAATCATCTTACACCAGAACTAAAGCAATAATTAGGTATTCCCGTCGAGGCTATAAAGGGGACCTAAATTATATTTAGTCGACCAATTTCTTCTTTACGAAATTCTTACCCTAAGAAGGCTCACTTAAGAAAGAAAGAATATGATATTATTTACTACGTAAAATTCTTTTCTAGCATTCTTCAGGAAATTACACTTAAAAAACAGGTGATCGGCATTAAAAAATCCTAACAATTAAAAACCAAGTACTTATAACTAGAAGAAACACGCAGACAGCACATTAACACACAAAAATTATTTTTTTAACGACACAGCTCTGTCACAAGGATTGGCAACACTAACATTTCTTCTTGAATGAATGAAATAGTCGTCTTAAGCTAGGAACACAATTGGATCGAACGACGAATTTCGCCCTACGCGGCGACAAAATGAGCCGCGAAAATTCGTCGTATGGAACACAATACCGACGAAATTATAAAACAGCTGATGAAGTTGTTTACTTTTTGCTCATTTGTTGACTACAATGAATTATACAAGAACACATAATTCTTTACGTTTTCTATTATAATTTCACTTATGTCCATCTTCTCTATTATAAATTCACTGATATCCATCTTCACTCAGGCGCAAGTACACAAATAAATAAACAAATTAATTATGTTTTTTTTATACGAGTAACAGATAGTAGAGTGACCATAACAAATTTTAAAGTAAAAAGTAACTTTATTTACTAAAACACATAAAATTCGTACAAGTATGGCCACCTTGTACTGTTTTGTTCGCCGGTCGCCGGCGTATGAAATAGAAATAAAGCTAATTGAGTTCGCGGCGACCGACGAAATTTTCGCCGGTGCCGTGATTGTGTGCACTTCCATATACACATATGTGTTTTATTTTTGACGACGAACATACGCCGCGAAAAAATTCGTCGTTCGCTCCAATTGTGTTCCTAGCATTACGCATTTAATGTGCACGGTTGTTACTCCAGTGCCCTAACGTCGAAGTCCAAAGGTCTGGCAACATCAAAATCTCTTGGTGAATGGATGAATGAATGAAATAAGAAGAAATACAATATTTACATCCACCTGAACTCTACTCATATTCGTTATATTCCTTGTTCTTATAATTATGTCTATTTTTTGCTCCATTGTTTTCAGATTTTCCGTGACATCACTGAGGCCTTGACACCAGTAGTTTACATTTGTAAAAAGGGGTTTTGGGCAAAACCAAATTTCTTCGCAAATGTTTAAACAATTTCCAACTTTCTTCACAAAGACAAAGAAATTGCACTGAACTAATAAAATAATTACAAATGATCCCGAATATCTGCCAACAATCTAGTGATGTGGTCATAAACAAATTACTGGTCCATTTCACCAGGCAACACTTAGAAATAAGACTATTCTAAGATGACCTAGTGCAGTTGAAAAAAAAAAAAAACTAAATTAGACCTTATACGGTTGCCCCAACAGTCCAGGGATCCACATCTGCGACCTTGTAATCAACATCGATTTTACCAGATGTTGACACTTGATGCTTTATTGCATTAAGGGTATGGCAATCAAGAGAAATTATTTCTCTTGGCTTATTTAAATCGAGAACAAAACAGTGTTAAGTCATTATTTATACAAATATTTTTATCCATTTGCTTTATAAATTATTTTGGCAAACATTCATGTTTAAAAACAATTAAATGGAATCGTAAAATATAAAGAAAAACAGAATTATAATTTTCTTTAAATTATCTCTTTTTTCCGGCTCATGTTCTAGAACACGGTTTTGAGCAGGGCTGCAACAAAGAGGTAAATGCTCGGGTCCCATCACCGAGAGTCGGGAAAACGTTGTGTTGCGGAATTTGAATTTTTGTGGTTGAGTACTTTTAACTCATTTACTGAACATATATTCACTAACAATTGTGTTTTCTACACACTTCCAGGATTCAATGCAACGCCCACTATCAAACAAAAGGGTTTACTCCATCAGTTCCCGATATGCCAAAATCATGCAGGTAAGTTTGTTTCGATTATCGAAAGATTATTTGGTTATGCTTGGACGGTTGGGAATGACCTAGCCTAGTGGATGGACAGACAGACGGACAAATCCTGTTCAAAAAAAAAAAAAAAAACACTTAAAATCGAATTTGCCGGGACCGCATCACAATATGATTATGTATATTTCAATTAGTTCAATAATCGAATTTGTGGTAAGAAAATAATCTAATTGCATATCTACAATCCATTCATCTCAATATGGCCCACGGTGGTCCACGTAACTAACTTATTGCCTGACTTTCAATCCATTTAAGGACGATACGAGATTTTTTTTCCTTCGAATTCTATCAATATGTTTGCAACAAAATTAGTCGCTTCTTTCGGTGTATCACTACTGGATTAGTATATACATCCCCTCCGTAAAATCGCACTTCCATTTTTACGTTTTAAGTTCTTTCACATGACAGGTCCCCAAAGTCCTGCCTCTTAGGTTTTCAATTTTATACATGTTATTTCCTATAGGTTTGACTATTCGATATTTGAGGTACTTACGGAAGAATTTTGCGTTAATATTGTTCCCAAAATCGCTTAACACATGGTTTCTATGATTTTAAAAAATTTTATTTATAAAATTATGAATGAAAATTTCCATAAAATAATAAATGTCGTTTGATAATGAATTATCATACCCCTGTTATTAATTCCATACATAATATCGCAAAAGAAAATAGTTGGACACAAGCAAAACTAAGAATAAAATGTTGATTTCCAAAGAATCATTAAACGGCACCGGGACACATGCATAAATCTTCCTGTCCAAATCAGTTTTTGGTAGAACAAATTTTCCAATTTTCTGATATTCCACTGGTGAGCAGGACGGAAATCTTCCTCATTAAACCTTCTTATAAAAACGTCCAAAAACTGTGAATGCCAAATGAAAGTGGAAGCCTTTACGAGTTCTTTCCCTTATAACATGTTCCTCAAATCAGTTTTTGGTAAAACAAATTGTCCAATTTCCCGATATTCCACTGGTGGTCAGGACGCAAATCTGGCTCTGGGAACCTCCTGAAAATTGAAGCCGAATTAACACAGCTGCTTGTACAATGAACCATGGCATAATTGCAGAATTTAAAACAAAGGTACCTCCTAAATACAGTTTTTTTTTTCTTTTGGTGTCCCTTTTATGTTAGAACATATATGTGTGTATTGTTTTGAATAAACAAGAAAAAATTGAAATTATTTCGAATTTAGATGCAACAGAAATGTGGAATTTATGCAGACGTTAGCGGGAAACAAAATACCTAATTTTGCGATAAAACGATATTGTCAATGTATCTTACTTCAAATTTGTAGAAAACCCCAAATATTCCATTGATATTTTGTAGATTTTCCCCAATATTTACTATTTTGTGAAATATGTAACATAAACAAAACAAATTGTTGCATGTTTAAAAAGTAAGACTTTTTTGTATTTGATATATTATCGTTCACAAGTGCTGATGCATCTACCTGTATTCAGCTACCATTGTTGCGGTAACAACGTTACCTAAAATTTGACGTAGCGCACACAAATATTCAACCTATCCACTATGGAAAAGTGTTTTGTGGCCGTATTTCCCAAATGCGCCAGGTCCATGGGAGAATGAAGAAGGCAAAGACTGCAATCAAATGTTCACAATTTTTCAAAATATTTAATTTGACAACAGCTCATTGTCAAAATTTGAACTTTTTAATCCAGGATGTATACACAAATCAGAGATGGGAACCCGCTCTCTATGCAGTGAAATTTGACAAAGTAAATTACATAAACTGCAGAGATGGATAACAGAGGTGGCCCGTCGCATATTATGCGTATCTGACATACGTTTCCGAAGTATATTACACATTCAGAAAAGTCGTAAACCTACCGTATAAAACTAGGTTTTCGACAAAATAAGGAACGAAATGAAAACCCGTTATTCTTTAATTTCAAAGACATAAATAATTCTTTTAAAATACATATAAAATCAAAGGTATCTAAACAGGTACATACTGTTATTAAAATTTATTTTCATTTTCGCTGCAATCAGTATCCTCTATTAACATCGAGACGTCTTTTCTTTCATTAATTCTAAAAGAAAAATAAACTTCTAATAATTTCTGTTGTTGAAGCTGGTATCATCAGTAGTTTTTTGCAAGTATCGCTAATTATTTGTGTCTATTTGCAGCCAATTCCTGGAATAGCCAAAGTGTAGACGTTTCATCCGATAGTAAGGCAACAAATCTTGATGCATTTTTGTATTCTGAATATAACTGCAAACCATCTTCATCAAGATTTTCTAGTAAAAAGTCTTCAACTTTTTGCTTTTGCTTGGCTCCAGCCTTTCACCCTTATATAGCGGATGCAAAACATTTGCTGTGAGGTTATATTTATTAAAGACATTACTCATTCTACATCTTGCGGGGTGCGTCTTATACAGTGTTAAGCTTAAAAATGAATAAATTAACAAGTAAAAAAGCTGTAAGTTCGGCCGGGCCGAACTTTGAATACCCTCCACCATTTGGTACAAATTTGGCAATTTTCAAAAAAATTAAATCCGTTAAAAATTCTGTTAAAATCTTATGGCAAGCTATTACAATATTCAAATGCGAAACTTGAAAAATTCTTTATAATGTAGCTAAAATCATCAAAATACCGAATATAGGGTGGTACCATGGGGGCTATATAACATGGACCTGCACAGACAATTTTGTAGCATATTCTGCAGTATCCATTACGAACTTCAAATACCAAATTTGAAATAGTTTCGATAAATAATGTCTCTAAAATCATCAAAATACCCAATATCGGGAGGTTTCATTATGTGGGGGCTATATGAAGACATGGACCTACATGGCTCATCTTCTGTCTTGGGATGTAGTATCCATTACGAACTTCAAATGCCCAATTTAAAAAAATTCTGGTAAATAATGTCGCTAAAATCATCAAAATACTGAATATAAGGAGGTAACGTTATATGGGGGCTATACGAAAACGTAAAAAAAGTCCTGCAGACATAATACACATTTCAGTAAAATTTTATCAACATACTTCATTACGTTCGGAAGGTAGAGTGATTTCCACAGACGGACGGGCATTGCTAAATCGACATAGAATTTTAATGTTAATCCAGAATTTATATACTTTGTAGGGTCTTAAATGTACATTTCGGTGTTACAAACGGAATGGCCAACTTAATATACCCTCCACACTATTGTGGAGGGTACAAAAAGAAGAAGAAGAATATTGCCAACCATCTGCAAAACAGCTGTTTTGTGCAACCGAATGCAAAAATGTCAATAGGAAGGAGAAGAAAAAAAAAAAAACATGAAAATCAAAAACTTCCTGGAAAATTTTCGTATGAAAATAGGACCGTTTAAATTTTCACTGGTGAGAAGATTGGATGTGTGGCTCCCGCCATCCGACAACAGCAAGCAAAACAAAAAAGCCGAATTGTTTTTAAATGTTTTTTAATGCGTTTATTAAATTTTCTTTTTGTTTAAAAATAATTATTTAAACAATTAAACTTAAACAAAGATTAAACGAACCCTACTTCATCGAAGACAAATATTGAGACACAAAACTAGTTATGATCCCTGTTAGGCGGTGCTAAAGGGGACCTTCCGGTTAGCTAGTGGTATCGAGTTCTCAACCCGTCCTCTCCTCTAGACCATCAGGGCAAACATGAGTTGAACTTTACAAGACAAAACAAGCATACTTTTACACACAATAAACCTGCTTTGACAGGGGAGAATTTGTGTTGTACTCCCACATTTTTCCCTCCCAATCATGGTTTCCTCCCCCTTTAAATATTATTGGAAACCCCACATTACACACACACTCACCTCATCACCTTTAGGATTCCTCCCTGTTTACCAACAAATTAACACATATTTTCTTTTAAATAACAACTGCATTAAAACATTTATTAATACAAGGATTTCTTAATTCAAATATGTATCTTGCCTTTACAGGCTATTATGCCAATATGGACTAAAGCAATCATCTAACACCAGAACTAAAGCAACAATTAGGTATTCCCGTCGAAAGAATTTGATATTATTTACTACGTGAAACCCTTTTCTAGCATTCTTCAGGAAAAATAAATTACACTTAAAAAAACAGGTGTTCGGCATTAAAAAATCCTAACAAATTTCTCTCTCCGATCTTAGCAACGATCGATATTACTATAGTGGCTTACCTCTTTTCAATGTTATTCACTTATCCTTTATTCTTTTTAATGGTGTGATTAAGTGGGTGTTCGGGATAATTTCGCCACCAGACTAACCAGAATAGATTAATTGTTGACGTGTTTACTGGTCAACTCGGCACAAAGGCACTTAGTCCTCAATTCCCGACCCAAAAGAAATCACGACATTTTAAAAACAAATATAAATGAATGTACCCATTAAATGTCAGATGTACAGAGCGGCCATTTTAGCTCTCGCTAACCCACTGAACATACCCCACAACTTAGCCAACATAGGGTAACACTCTTTTTGTCTATCGCTTTTTCAGGCAACCCCAGTAACACAACCATCTCTGCGCCAAACAGCTTACAACAACTTCATTGGTAAGTATTCTTATTGAATTAAAATTTAATAAGCGTTCCAGGGTAACGGGATCGTGTAAATTCTTCAGGTGTTAGTGTCAGTCGCACACCTACATAGTCATACTACGCCTTTGATGTACACAGTTGTTACTCTAATGCCCTATCATCGTTGTCACAAGGATTGGCAATACTAACATTTCTCCTTGAATGAATGAAATAGTCGTCTTATGCTAGGAACACAATTGGAGCGAACGACGAATTTCGCCCTACGCGGCGACAAAATGAGCCGCGAAAATTCGTCGACTGATGAAGTTGTTTACTTTTTGCTCATTTGTTGACTACAATGAATTATACAAAAACACATAATTCTTTACGTTCTCTATTATAATTTCACTTATGTCCATCTTCTCTATTATAAATTCACTGATATCCATCTTCACTCAGGCGCAAGTACACAAATAAATAAACAAATTAATTATGTTTTTTTATACGAGTAACAGATAGTAGAGTGACCATAACAAATTTTAAAGTAAAAAGTAACTTTATTTACTAAAACACATAAAATTCGTACAAGTATGGCCACCTTGTACTGTTTTGTTCGCCGGTCGCCGGCGTATGAAATAGAAATAAAGCTAATTGAGTTCGCGGCGACCGACGAAATTTTCGCCGGTGCCGTGATTGTGTGCACTTCCATATACACATATGTGTTTTATTTTTGACGACGAACATACGCCGCGAAAAAATTCGTCGTTCGCTCCAATTGTGTTCCTAGCATTACGCATTTAATGTGCACGGATGTTATTCTAGTGCCCTAACATCGAAGTCCAAAGGTCTGACAACACCAAAACTCTTGGTGAATGGATGAATGAATGAAATAAGAAGAAATACAATGTTTACTTCCACCTGAGTAATATCCTTTGTTCTTATAATTATGTCTATTTCTTCGCTCTCTTTTTTCAGATTTTCCGTGACATCACTGAGGCCTTGACACCACTAGATTCCATTTGTAAAAAGGGGGTGTATAAGTTCGATATGTTCCACCACTTTCCAATACTCGTCAATCACGGATGCTAATTGGCACACTGGCATCTCCTCTACAATTCCCTTGGCGGATCGCCGCTGGGTATTGGTTGTTGGCGGTAGGCTCACCTTGTTCTCATTGGAAGTAGTTGTAGTTGTAATAATATACAGACATGGGACCCTCAGCGGTCACTCAGAACCTCTGCGTTTACTTGTCTGTATTTGCATATGTATTAGAAATAGACAAGGGATCCACTGCGATCACTTAGAACCTCTGCGTTCACTTGTCTCGTAGAAACGGAAGCATAAACACACGGTATGTTCGATATGTTCCACCACTTTCCAATACTCGTCAATCACGGATGCTAATTGGCACACTGGCATCTCCTCTACAATTCCCTTGGCGGATACCGTAGTGAGCGGATCGCCGCTGGGTATTGGTTGTTGGCGGTAGGCTCACCTTGTTCTCATTGGAAGTAGTTGTAGTTGTAATAATATACAGACATGGGACCCTCAGCGGTCACTCAGAACCTCTGCGTTTACTTGTCTGTATTTGCATATGTATTAGAAATAGACAAGGGATCCACTGCGATCACTTAGAACCTCTGCGTTCACTTGTCTCGTAGAAACGGAAGCATAAACACACGGCCTCTGTCGCCACCCCAATTACTAAAGGTAATGCTGTCGTTTGAAAAGAAAGAAACCTAATAAAGCATAAATTATATTAAGTATTAATACTAATTTATCTTTGTTTCATTTCTTGTACATTTTCTTTCCTTTACACACCACACGCGCGAATCACCCGCATCGCACCCACATCTCTCATCTACTCATCATTCACCTCACATCACATAATAACTCTGGGGAGTATCGTTGCCGCTATCGAAGCCTTCTCCCCACTCCCCTGAGTTAATCATTGGTCGCATCGAGCCGGATTGAAGCCATGCCCTTGTCGTTGCTCCCTTTATTGGATGAAGAAGTCCTTCTCTCTCATCATAATCATCAACATATTAGACTAAAAACCAGGTACGTAAATTCAGATCTCTATTTGAAGTGAGCTACCCGTGGTTTAGTGCATATGTCAATTGTTTTTATTCGGAAAAAACATAATATTGGTCGAGCTTCAATCACCCTTCGCGTGTGTTATTGTAATTTGAATACAGTCCACTCTCGTTGCATTAAATTGCATTCGTTGTGCTGATCAACCTACGTTGCGTTCATCATACATGTGCCTTTCGTTTAAAAACAAGTCAGTTGGCCGACTCGTATTAACACTTCTTGTGTTAATTAAGTGCATTCCCCTACAACAAGTAGTTCTGTTGTTATGAAAATAGTTAGCTTTCGTTGTACTGATCATCCGTCGTCGCGTTGATCATACAAAAATATTTGGTGCTCTTGTTCCGCTTCGTTCGTTATTTGTATTTCTAACCCTCATTTCAAATGTTAAACCCTTTGTGAGAATAGAAAGTATCCCCCTCGCTGTTGCTCTACTCCCACGCCTTAGTTGAAGAAAAATTTGTATCACCACAGCATATATGCACATTCTTTTATATTTGGTCGTTTGGTTTATTTGTTGTTCAATTTCTCACCAACCAAACGTTCGCTGTTGTTATCCCCCTTCACGTTTCAAAGGTTGAGCCCTTTAACGAGAATTGTTTGTTTCTAATTAGCAATAACAACACACTTGTAATAACAGTGCATCCATCTGTCGGTTGGTTACTTTGTCGTCGTCACTAACGCGCATTTATTGTTGTTGCAATTATTCTTCGTTTGTTTCTGTCAATTCTTACTTGAGAATTTGCATTGCCAAAATTGCAACAAAAATATTTCATCATTCCACGCGCCCTTTTTAGCGTCGGTTTGATATACTGTAAAAGTAACAACAAATTGTTTTGATCTCCAACTCTCACTGTTGGATCGTTTGTGGCGTCGCTTGTTGTGTGGGTGCTTAGCTGCTTACGCATAGTCATTTCTCTGCCGACGTCGCTTGTGTTTTATTCCTCTTTGTGCGATATCCGTTGATGGTTCGGCACAGTGGGGTAAAACAGTAAAAATTGTGAATTTTTGTCATTTATTTTAGAATCTATTTTTTGATAATCTATTGAAATATTATCAAGTGGTTGTAGGATTTTTGGAATTTTTGGACAAATTCACCCTACAGTCGGCGTTCTTTGCACATATACGAGAAACATTTATATTCGTTTTTGTGGCTATTTTCGTACATTTTGGTCAATTATTTAATTGTTGTTTGTAAAATTGGTGGCTCTTCGTGGGGTTTTGGTATTTTCGGAATAAAACACCCTACTTTTGGCATACACTAAAAATTCTTGTTAAAAAAAAATCTTAGTTTGTTTGCCTATTGGAGCAATTTTAGTCTTTTAAATTTCGTTTTTGTCGCATAGCAAAAACTTTTCTTAAGCTTTCTCTTATTTAACTCTGTTGTAACATTTACAACTATTTGAAGTATTTGGAGGTTTTTATTTGTGGAAATTTCTTATTTCCTTTGGACTTTTTTTTTCTTTTCATTGCATATCAAGTTTTTGTTATAAATTTAGTAATAAAATGTCGATCACTCCGCTCACACGTTTTTCTAGAGCCGCTAACATTGTCCTGAAGAGTGTAGAATATTTCGAACAAATTGATGCCACAAAGTTCACGGTTTACAGCCTCGAAATTCGACTTTCGGAAATTCGAGAATTGTGGGAAAAAGTGCTGAACACATACACTGAGTGTAAGATCTACCTCACGGCATCCGAGACTGCACAGGCTGATCATTTTGATGTCGTTGAGGATAAATACAACAATGCATTTATTGCATACCATTGGTGTTTGACCACCATAAAGAAGCACCTTGCCCGCCTAAAATCTCCAATTAGTAATAATTGTTCGTCTGCTGTGGCTCCTCTGTCCTCATCTCCAGAAGAATCTATTATTTCCCTCAATAATGTAGTTGTGACACCACCTTCAGGCTTGCTTTCGAGCGAACCTCTCTCATCGGTTCCTGTGCAGTCTGCTTCTCCAAACGTCAATACTTGCTCCAAATCTTCTGCCACCAATACTTGCTCCAGTCCTCCTTTCGAGTACAATAATTTCGCCTTACCTCCACTTGACATAGAAGTCTTTGCTGCAGATTTTGTGTCTTGGGCCACCTTTCGTGACCTGTTCACCACACTATTTGTAAATAAGTTTCCCCTTAGCGTGGAAAGCTTTGTCGGATGCGTATGATAATAAGCGCATCGTGGTGAATAGTCACATAAAAAGTTTGTTTGATATTCCAGTTTTAATGTTTGAAACTTGTTCGGGATTGAAAACTATCCAACGTGGAGTAAATAGTTGTCTTGCTGCAATGGCCGTCTATGACGTCGCCACGGATCAGTGGGATCCAATTCAGCAGCGCTTGCCTTTAACAACCTTGACGTTGTGGGAGCAAAGCATCAAAAATAAGTCGTTGTTGCCTTCCTGGCCAGACTTAGATGCTTTCCTCACAAACAGAATACAAACTTTGCAGTGTATTCAGAGCATACATAAAAATCCGCCCACAGAAAGGTCCTTGCCCAAAATAGTCACTTCTCCTATTCCCTCGAATAAGTCATTGTTGTCAAAGAATGTTACTCTTCAAAGACCTGCAAAGAAAACGTTGTCATCAAAGAGTGTTTCACCTCATTGCTCCCTCACTAGATCGTTGGCATCCAAGCATGTTCGTACATCTAGTTCAATCATTAAAAAGTCATTGGTACATGAATCAAAATGTGTTGCTCCTTTTCCTCGGCCAAACACTTATTGCCCAATTTGTCCTAACCAAAGTCATATGCTCCGACTTTGCTCACAGTTCAGAAAACTTTCGTTTGAGGGCAAATTCTTAATTGTGAAAAAGAATGAACGTTGTATCAACTGTCTCTCATGTGGCCATGTAGTGAAAAATTGTCATAGCACAAATAGTTGCAAATCTTGCAATCAAAGGTATCACAGCCTTCTTCACCGGCCACAAATTAGTAGATTTGTTGCAGAATCATCATCAAACCCATCTATGGTATCTACTAACATTAAACAGAGTAAATCTTCACCTTCCTGCATGTCTTTCCAAACACTCGATTTAAAATCCAAGAATTTACCTCCGGTCTTTACCAAAGTCAAAAGTCGAGATTTAAACCCCCCTCTGGCTTTTACGAAGGTCAAAAGTCGAGGACCTAAGTCTTCTAAAACGCACCCACTCTCTGCAAAAAATAATTCGAATGACCAGTCTCCCAACACCATTGAAGATCACGTGCTCTTGAAACTGCAGTAGTAAATATTGTTCACAATGGGAAAAGTTATACTGCTCGTGCTATAATAGACCATTCTTCAAAGGCATCTATTATAAGTAAGAAACTTAAAAATGCACTTGGTATTTCAACTTGTTCTTTGACAAACAAATCTAAATCGGCATCGCCGAGAGAAGTTTGTTCTCTTAAGTTGTCTTCCCCTAGAAACGCATCTAGAATTGTGGAAACAAAAGCGTTAATCTTGGTCAAAGGAAAGTTGTTCTTGTCACCATATACTTGTAATTTAAAGACTCGAATTCCTGATCTGGAATTAGCGGATTCTTTCGATGACAGCCCAATTGATTTGCTACTTGGCGCTGACCTATACCCTAAGATTATTGAAGCTGAACCGTCCAAATTTGTTTTAGATTCGTTGCTAGCCCAAAAGTCTATTTTCGGGTATATCCTCACCGGTTCAGAACCTCCCGCGACTGTAACATAATCTCACACCAAAAATTGAAGTCGACCATTTCTTAAAATGATGTATATCGCTTAAAATTTAAAAGTATCTTATGCACTAAAGACTGAAATTGTAGACCGAATCTATTGATAATTCATATCGCGTTGATAATTTGAAAATCTGCAACTATAGCTCACTTAGGAATCTGAATTTACGTTCTCTCCTAACTTAATATAACACTTTATGATATAGATTGCTAGACTCTTAGTTCTAGCAAGGGGGCCGGAATGTATAAGTTCGATACGTTCCACCACAACTTTCCAATACTCGTCAATCACGGATGCTGATTGGCACACTGGCATCTCCTCTACAATTCCCTTGGCGGATACCGTAGTGAGCGGATCGCCGCTGGGTATTGGTTGTTGGCGGTAAGCTCACCTTGCTCTCATTGGAAGTAGTTGTAATAATATACATACATGGGACCCTCAGTGGTCACTCAGAACCTCTGCGATGACTTGTCTGCATTTGCATATGTATTAGAAATAGACAAGGGATCCTCTGCGATCACTTAGAACCTCTGCGTTCACTTGTCTCGTAGAAACGGAAGCATAAACACACGGCCTCTGTCGCCACCCCAATTACTAAACGTAATTCTGTCGTTTGAAAAGAAAGAAACCTAATAAAGCATAAATTATATTAAGTATTAATACTAATTTATCTTTGTTTCATTTCTTGTATATTCTCTTTCCTTTTCACACCACACGTGCGAATCACCCGCATCGCACCCACATTTCTCATCACATCATCACATCATTCACCTCACATCATAATAACTCTGGGGAGTATCGTTGTCGTTGCCGCTATCGAAGCCTTACTCCCACTCCCCTAAGTTAAACAGGGGTTTTGGGCAAAACACGAATTTCAAATTTCTTTGCAAATGTCTAAACAATTTCCAACTTTCCTCACAAAGACAAAGCCATTGCAGTGAACTAATAAAATAATTACAAATGATCCCGAATATCTGCCAACAATCTAGTGATGTGCTCATAAACAAATTACTGATCCATTTCACCAGGCAACACCTCAGAAATAAGACTATTCTAAGATGATCTAGTGTATTTGAAAAAAAAACTAAATTAGACCTTATACGGTTGCTCCAACAGTCCAGGGATCCACATCTGCGAGCCGGGAAAACGTTGTGTTGTGGAATTTGAATTTTTGTGGTTGAGTACTTTTAACTCATTTACTAAAAATATATTCACTAACAATTGTTTTTTCTACACACTTTCAGGATTCAATGCAACGCCCACTATCAAACACAAGGGTTTACTCCATCAGTTCCCGATATGCCAAAATCATGCAGGTAAGTTTGTTTCGATTATCGATAGATTATTTGGTTATGCTTGGACGGTTGGGAATGACATAGCCTAGTGGATGGACAGACAGACGGACACATCCCGTTCAAAAAAAAAAAAAAAAAAAAAACAATTTTCCTTCATTGCCTATATGAGGTACGCCTTAAGATCGAATTTGCATGGACCGCATCACAATATGATTATATTTATTTCAATTAGTTCAATAATCGAATTTGTGTAAGAAAATAATCTAATTGTATTTCTACAATCCATTCATCTCAATATGGCCAACGGTGGTCCACGCAACTTACTTATTGGCTGACTTTCAATCCATTTAAGGACGATATGAGAATTTTTTTCCTTCTTTTATTTATGGTTTTAAACCATTTGATTTATACTTCGATTTAGTAACTAGTTACCAACAGAACACCGACAACAAATAACCAAACTTGTTATGGCTTTTAATTTCGCCCATTTTTCGAATTCTATCAATATGTTTGCAACAAAATTAGTCGCTTCTTTCGGTATACCACTGCTGGATTAGCTTATACTTCCCCTCCGTAAGATCGCACGTCCATTTTTACATTTTGAGGTCTTTCACATGACAGGTCCCCAAAAGCCTGCCTCGTAGGTCTTCAATTTTATACATGTTATTTCCTATAGGTTTGACTATTCGACATTTGAGGTATTTACGGCAGAATTTTGCGTTAATATTGTTCACAAAATCGCTTAACACATGGTTTCTACAATAGGCTTCTTGACCTGGTGTAAAATTTACTACCCGTGCCCGTTCATTATAGCGTTTTGCACTTTTTCCGTAATCCTCGTGTAAATTTTTGGCAGTATTTTGTCTGATCAGCTTTCCTATTTAATTAATTTATTCTGTGATTACACAGTGATTGCAGCTGTCTAGCTAATCACTACCATTGGTATACATTTCATACCCAAACAGGGCAAAAAATGAATTCACTCCCGAGGCTGAATGTATGGATGACCTTAGTGCGCATTCGATATCTGATAAGTATGTATCCCATTCTCTATGGTCCTCTTCCAAGTAAGCCCGAATGGCAGCTAATACGGATTGGTTCACTCTTTCGGATGCATTTCCTAAAGATTTCTTGTACTAAAAATTGAATAGCATTATTTGTAGGGGACTCATTCATGGCTTTGAGGAAAACAAACTTGGACAAATGATCAACAACAATAAATATATGGGTGTTTCCACTTTTCGACCTTGGGCATTTTCCGAGGAAATCCATACATACTTTTTGAAACGGTCGTTCGGTAACTACTTCATTTCCTATAGTTGACTGCATACTTCTTTTTAAAGACTTCGTTTCTTTACAAATCTTACAATTGCTAACGAATAATTTGACTTGCTGCGCCATTTTGGGAAAATAATAGAATTCCTTAAAGCGATGTAATGTTTTAGCTATCCCACATTGCGCACATGTTACTTCGTTTTGTGCTTTTTCAATGAGAAGATGCCTTAAAGATTCTGACACCCATAATTTCCAAGGCATTTCTTGTTCCAGTTCGGAGTCAATATCTAACTTGGTACGTTTAAATATTAAACCTTTTTCTATTTTTATGTCCGTTAGCATAGCTTCATTTTTTGTACTAGATTTAGCAGGTCTTGGTACTCTTGATTTTGGAATTCAGCGGTTTCAAAATCAAATAGATTATCTAACAATTCTAAATACTCCACTAATTCTAGGCGTGACAACATATCCGCAACGACGTTATCCTTTCCTTTTCTATATTCAATATCGAAATTATATCCTTGAAGCATTAGCGACCATCGAGCGAGTCTACCACTTAAGTCCTTCACTCCCATCAACCATTTCAAATTAGCATGGTTCGTTATGCCGGTGAATTTCATTAGTTACACATAAGCCCTAAATCGCCAAACATTCTTTATAATTAAATACAATTAATTAAACAACTAAACTTAAACAAAGATTAAACGAACCCTACTTCATCGAAGACAAATATTGAAACACAAAACTTGTTATGATATCTTGTTAGGCGGCGCTAGAGGGGACCTTCCGGTTAGCTAGTGGTCTCGGGTCTACGGTTCTCAACCCGTCCTCTTCTCTAGACCATCAGGGCAAACATGAGTTGAACTTTACTAGACAAAACAAGCATACATTTACACACAATAAACCTTTGTTGACAAGGGAGTATTGGTGTAGTACTCCCACATTTTGCCCTCCCAACCATGGTTTCCACATCTCCCCGCTTCAAATATTATTGGAAACCCCACATTACACACACACTTACCTCATCGCCTTTAGGATTCCTCCCTGTTTACCAACAAATTAACACATATTTTCTTCTAAATAACAACTACATTAAAACATTTATTAATACAAGGGTTTCTTAATTCTTATTTTGTATCTTGCCTTTACAGGCTATTATCCCTTTATGGAGTTTCTAACACCAGAACTAAAGTAATCAAAAAACAAGTAAAGAAGCATTAATTTCGGCAGGGCAGAATTTTGAATTCCCTCTACCATTTAGAACGAATTTGGAAATTTTCGAAAAAGATAACACCTACGTGCACCTACATAGGCATTGCGTGTCACATGCCATTACCATATTCAAATGCGAAACTTGAAACGGTGAATAATGTAGCTAAAATCATCAAAATACCGTACATAGGGAGGTACCGTTATATCGGAGCTATACGAATACCTGGACCTGCATAAATAATTTTCTGTCATAGGCTGTAGCTTCCATCACCAACTTCAAATACGACATCTTAAACAATTTCGGTGAGCATTGTACCTAAAATCACCAAAATAGCGAATATAGGGAGGTACTGATATATGGGCCTATACGAAGACGTCGACCTGCATAGAAAATTTTCTGTTACAAACTATAGTTTCCATTATTAACTCTTAGTAGGTAATTTGAAACTACTACGTTGAATAATGATGCTAAAACCATCAAAATACCGAATATTAGGAGGTACCGCTATATGGGAGCTATACGAAGACGTGGTCCTGCATAGACAATTTTCTGCATTTGGTATGAAGTATTTATTACGAAGTTCAAACACCAAATTTGAAACCTGCCTACTGGCAAAATAAACATTTGTGCAAAATATTAGCCTTCTATCTCAATTTGTTCGAAAGATAGCGTGATTACAACAGGCAGACAGACAGACGGACCGACAGACACACAGACAGACGGACGGTCAGGGCTATATCGTCTTAGAATTTTACGCTGATCAAGAAAATATATACTTTGTTGGGTCTGACATGAGTATTTTGAGGAGTTACAAACGGAATGACAAAAGTAATATACCCTCCATAGTATGGTGGAGGGTACAAAAAGCTAATGTCATCAATATTAGGTATTCCCGTAGAGGCTATAAAGGGGACCTAAAACGTATTTAGTCGACCAGCTTTTTCTTTACGAAATTCTTACCCAAAGAGATCTCATTGGAGAAAGATGCTAGTTTAAAAAATCCTAACAATTAAAAATCAAGTACTTATAACTAGAACAAACACACAGACAACACATTAACACACAAAAATTATTTGTTTAACGACACAGTTCTCAGAATTCTTTTATCTTAACACCTCCAATTCTGAGGGTTGGTATAACCGCCACGGAATTTCTCTCTTAGATCTTAGCAACGATCGAGGTTATCATAGTGGGTTACCTCTTTTCAATGTTATTCACTTATCCTTTATTCTTTTTAATGGTGTGATAAAGTGGGTGTTCTGGATAATTTCGCCACCAGACTACCCAAACTAAATGAATTTGTTGGCGTGTTTGCTGGTCAACTCGGCACAAAGGCACTTGGTCCTCAATTCTCGACCCAAAAGGAATCACCCCCCCCCCCCCCCCCCCCCTTTCGCTGTACTTGAGTCCAGTGGAAATCCATCGTTAACTCACAATAAAACCTCTACACGAAATTTAATAACAGTTACTTTAATCTCTTGCACCGTTTTTTTTTTTTTTGGTTTAAAAATTTTAACCACATATGTCCTTTTCTAATTTGTTTGGAATTTGGACGAAGCTTGCCAACAATAAAACAAAATTTATTTGCTACACCACAGGATATTATGAAACAACTACCCTTTAGTTTTCCGCGTTTTGTGTTTTATACCGGTTTCCATTTTCCCCTATTTCTCCTAATTTTCCATGGCATTTTAAAAAAACATATAAATGCCTTCAGCTACATTCATACCCCTCAACACTCTTTTTCTCTATCGCTTTTTCAGGCAACCCCAGTAACACAACGATCTCTGCGCCAAACAGCGTACAACAACTTCATTGGTAAGTATTCTTATTGAAATAAAATTTAATAATACCCAGTGGATTTTATAATTCATTCATTGAATTTTATAAATTATTCATTTCTCTTAGCTCGAGAGCGCCGCCGGCAATTGATTTGACCACGCAACAATACATCGATTATTGATGAGTGCCCCGTTCAAGGACTGATGTGCGTGGTACTACTTTACACACGTGGGGAACTCCCACTCCCTGATGTCTCAAGGCCGGGCTAACATTCCCGTCCCAAAGTGAGCGTCCCATGGTAACGGGAGCGTGTAAATTCTTCAGGTGTTAGTGTCAGTCGCACACCTACCTAGTCATACTACGCCTTTGATGTACACAGTGGTTACTCTAATGCCCTATCATCGTTGTCACAAGGATTGGCAACACTAACATTTCTTCTTGAATGAATGAAATAGTCGTCGTAGGCATTTAATATGCACGGATGTTACTCCAGTGCCCTACCATCGAAGTCCAAAGGTCTGGCAACCAACATCTCTTGGTGAATGAATGAAATAAGAAGAAATAGAAGGGGTTTTGGGCAAAACACGAATTTCAAAATTTCTTCGCAAATGTCTAAACAATTTCCAACTTCCCTCACAACGATAAAGCCATTGCAACGAACTATTAAGATAATTAAAAATAATCCCGAATATCTGCCAACAATCTAGTGATGTGGTCACAAACAAATTACTGGTCCATTTCACCAGGCAACACCTCAGAAATAAGACTATTCTTAGATGACCTAATGTATTTGAAAAAACTTTAAGCCTTATACGGTTGCTGCAACCGTAACCAACACCGATTTTACTATATGTTGACACTTGATGCTTTGTTGCATTAAGGGTATGGCAATAAGGAGGTAAATTCTCGGGACCCATCGCCGAGAGTCGGGAAAACGTTGGGATGTGGAATTTTGAATTTTTGTGGTTGAGTACAATTACTAAAAAAATATTCATTATCAATTGTTTTTTTTTTTCTACACACTTCAAGGATTCAAAGCAACGCCAACTATCAAACACAAGGGTTTACGCCATCAGTTCCCGATATGCCAAAATCATGCAGGTAAGTTTGTTTCGATTATCGATAGATTATTTGGTTATGCTTGGACGGTTGGGAATGACATAGCCTAGTGGATGGACAGACAGACGGACACATCCCGTTCAAAAAAAAAAAAAAAAAAAAAACAATTTTCCTTCATTGCCTATATGAGGTACGCCTTAAGATCGAATTTGCATGGACCGCATCACAATATGATTATATTTATTTCAATTAGTTCAATAATCGAATTTGTGTAAGAAAATAATCTAATTGTATTTCTACAATCCATTCATCTCAATATGGCCAACGGTGGTCCACGCGACTAACTTATTGGCTGACTTTCAATCCATTTAAGGACGATATGAGAATTTTTTTCCTTCTTTTATTTATGGTTTTAAACCATTTGATTTATACTGCGATTTAGTAACTAGTTACCAACAGAACACCGACAACCAACAACCAAACTGGTTATGACTTATATTTTCGCCCATTTTTCGAATTCTATCAATATGTTTGCAACAAAATTAGTCGCTTCTTTCGGTATACCACTACTGGATTAGCTTATACTTCCCCTCCGTAAGATCGCACGTCCATTTTTACATTTTGAGGTCTTTCACATGACAGGTCCCCAAAAGCCTGCCTCGTAGGTCTTCAATTTGATACATGTTATTTCCTATAGGTTTGACTATTCGACATTTGAGGTATTTACGGCAGAATTTTGCGTTAATATTGTTCCCAAAATCGCTTAACACATGGTTTCTACAATAGGCTTCTTGACCTGGTGTAAAATTTACTACCCGTGCCCGTTCATTATAGCGTTTTCCACTTTTTCCGTAAGCCTCGTGTAAATTTTTGGCAGTATTTTGTCTGATCAGCTTTCCTATTTAATTAATTTATTCTGTGATTACATAGTGATTGCAGCTGTCTAGCTAATTTGTAATCACTACCATTGGTATACATTTCATACCCAAACAGGGCAAAAAATGAATTCACTCCCGAGGCTGAATGTATGGATGACCTTAGTGCGAATTCGATATCTGATAAGTATGTATCCCATTCTCTATGGTCCTCTTCCAAGTAAGCCCGAATGGCAGCTAATACGGATTGGTTCACTCTTTCGGATGCATTTCCTAAAGATTTCTTGTACTAAAAATTGAATAGCATTATTTGTAGGGGACTCATTCATGGCTTTGAGGAAAACAAACTTGGACAAATGATCAACAACAATAAATATATGGGTGTTTCCACTTTTCGACCTTGGGCATTTTCCGAGGAAATCCATACATAATTTTTGAAACGGTCGTTCGGTAACTACTTCATTTCCTATAGTTGGCTGCATACTTCTTTTTAAAGACTTCGTTTCTTTACAAATCTTACAATTGCTAACGAATAATTTGACTTGCTGCGCCATTTTGGGAAAATAATAGAATTTCTTAAAGCGATGTAATGTTTTAGCTATCCCACATTGCGCACATGTTACTTCGTTTTGTGCTTTTTCAATGAGAAGATGCCTTAAAGATTCTGACACCCATAATTTCCAAGGCATTTCTTGTTCCAGTTCGGAGTCAATATCTAACTTGGTACGTTTAAATATTAAACCTTTTTCTATTTTTATGTCCGTTAGCATAGCTTCATTTTTTGTACTAGATTTAGCAGGTCTTGGTACTCTTGATTTTGGAATTCAGCGGTTTCAAAATCAAATAGATTATCTAACAATTCTAAATACTCCACTAATTCTAGGCGTGACAACATATCCGCAACGACGTTATCCTTTCCTTTTCTATATTCAATATCGAAATTATATCCTTGAAGCATTAGCGACCATCGAGCGAGTCTACCACTTAAGTCCTTCACTCCCATCAACCATTTCAAATTAGCATGGTTCGTTATGCCGGCGAATTTCATTAGTTACACATAAGCCCTAAATCGCCAAACATTCTTTATAATTAAATACAATTAATTAAACAACTAAACTTAAACAAAGATTAAACGAACCCTACTTCATCGAAGACAAATATTGAAACACAAAACTTGTTATGAGGCTATAAAGGGGATCTAAAACGTTTTTAGTCGAACAGTTTCTTCTTTACGAAATTCCTACCCTAAGAGAGCTCACTTAAGAAAGATTTTAGTCTGATATTATTTACTATGTCAAACCCTTTTCTAGCGTTCTTCAGGAAAAATATATTACACTTAAAAAAAAAAAAAACAGTTGTGCGACATTAAAAAATCCTAACAATTTAACATCAAGTACTTATAACTAGAACAAGCACACAGACAACATATTAACACACAAAATTAATTTCTGAGGGTTAGTATAACTGCCACGGAATTTCTCCCTCAGATCTTAGCAACGATCGAGGTTATTATAGTGGGTTACTTCTTTTCAATGTTATTCTCTTATCCTTTTCCTTTTTAGTGGTGTGATAAAGCTACACCACAGGCGGTTATGGAACAACAACCCTTTAGTTTTCCGCGTTTTGCGTTATATACCGGTTCCCATTTTCCCCTATTTTTCCTAATTTTCCACGACATTTTAAGAAGACATTTAAATGGCTTCAGCTAAATTTAGTTTACCTACAAATCAACGAATATACCCATTAAATATCAGATGTACAGAGCGGCTATTTTAGCTCTCGCTAACCCACTGAACATACCCCACAACTTGGCCAACATACGGTAACACTCTTTTTCCCTATACCTTTTTCAGGTAACCCCAGTAACACAACGATCTCTATGCCAAACAGCGAACAACAACTTCATTGGTAAGTATTTTTATTGAATTAAAATGTAATAATTCCCAATGAGTTTTATAAATTCGTTCGTTTCTCTTAAGTCGAGAGCGTCGCCGGTAATTGAATTAACCACGCAACAATACATCGATAATTGATGAGTGCCCCGTTCAAGGACTGATGTGCGTGGTATTAATTTGCACACGAGGAGAACTCCCACCCCTTATGACTCGAGACCGGGCTCACATTCCCGTCCCAAAGTGAGCGTCCCAGGGGAACGGGAGCGTGTAAATTTCATTTCTTCTTGAATCACGGATGTTACTCCAGTGCCCTAACATCGAAGTCCAAAGATCTTTCAATGAATGAAATAAGAAGAAGAAATACAATGTTTACATCCAACCGAACTATACACATTTTTTGTTTCTTAAAATTTCTTTTTGCTTTTTCTCTTGTTTTCAGATTTTCCGTGACATCACTGAGGCCTTGACCCCAGTAGTTTACATTTGTGAGAAGGGGTTTTGGGCAAAACACGAATTTCAAATTTCTTCGCAAATTTCTAAACAATTTCCAACTTTCCCCACAAATATAAAGCCATTGCAGTGAACTATTAAAATTGTTGAAGCGAGTTCAGTTTCCGCATTTTACAACCTGAGGGGATTGACACCGCAGACATCGTTCTAACCCGCTAATACAGCCCACTACTGGTCATCACCCCCTGACTTGTACATGGTCCTTCAAGAGCCGTGAAAGAAGTGAAGGAAGATTTTTTTTTGAATTAGATCCGCCGCTAAATACATATTACCCTTGGAAACTAATTCTCGTTTGACATGGATGAGAGGTATGTAAGATTTGTTAAACTGTGAGCAAATAGGGTTTTCTGTCCTTTTAATTTGTTGGTGAAGTTCAGTAGTTTGAATTTAAAATCTAAATTCAAACTCTTGTTTCAAATAATCACGAAAGTCCAAGTCGTTAACAAGAACCGCATCACAGATCTCTTCTTAACAAAGAAAAGAAATTTTCTACCCGCATATGTACATTGTACAAAAACAAAAAAAATTATCTGCATTACGACAAAGGTACAAAACAGCCATTAGAAGTTATTGGGTTTGTCTTTTCTTAGCGCCATCGATAATTTCGCTACTCGTCAAATTACGTGGTTTGATCTTTGGTGTCCGTTTTGTAGGTCGTTGCCCTTTTATGCTGCAATTTTCTCTTCACCTACAGCTGTCAACAAAAAGAAATCAAAGAATTACTTTTTGTTTTTTTTTTTATTAAACAACAACATTGACAATACAAAAGCGAAATAAAAAAAAAAAAAAAAAAACAGAGCTGCGATAATTAGCTACCACACTTGGTCAAAAATCTCCGTAAATTTATAAAAACTTATTTATAAAATGTTAAATACTCCATTTTTAACATTTTGCTCGCCATTGGTATTAGGACACTACAAACCGCGCCACATACTTACGTGCATTCTCTTTGTCCTACATACACACCCCACTTAGTCGACGCAACGACTATACTTGATCTCTATGTTATTAACAGAACACTGCAAGCGCTGAGCTGCAGTTACGCACTTACCGCATTAACAGCCAACGACGACGTCGGCTGTTAGGCATCTTACGCTCAATCGTCTCTTGTGTGGTTTGTAAGTGTGTGTACTACAGACACCAACCACCCCACTCCAAACAGAAGGTTGACAAGAGATTTAGAATAATAACAATAGAAGAAATGATCAACAAAAATCATTTCTAATTTACTGTGGTAGAGAACGCATCAAAATAAACAAATTGCGTACCGATAAGGAAATTTGCGGTCGTTAATATTTTGGTTAAAGCTGTTTGGAAATAAATAAAAAGGTATAAAATCATACTGAGGAAAACGTACATAAATAATGGTGCTTTATTGGATGAAACTAACATGAGGAAGATAAACATACAAAAGAAATAAATTTTAAAGGTTTTGGTCAAACTAAAAATATCAAAACAACGAAAACATCAGTGCTAAGAATTGCCGAACAAAAAAAAGGTAAATCGCTGAAAAAATTTTATGTTAAAAAAAATGTCCGAATATTAATATTGCTTTATACACAGAATACCGGTAAATTACAACAAAAATAAAAAGCAAACAAATTTTAATACGAAACAAAGTGGATGAAATTGTAATTTGGAACAAGTAAAAAAGCTGTAAGTTCGGCCGGGCCGAACTTTTAATACCCTCCACCATTTGGTACAAATTTGGCAATTTCCAAAATTAAAACCCGTTAAAAATTCTGTTAAAATCTTAAAAATACCGAATGCTTATACGACGACGTGGGCCTGCATAGGCAACTTTTGTCATAAATTATTACAATATTTAAATGCGAAACTTGAAGAAAAATCTGTTTATAATGTAGCTAAAATCGTCAAAATACCGAATATGGGGGGTACCGTTATATGGGGGCTATACGAAGACGTGGACCTGCACAGACAATTTTCTGGCATGGGCTGAAGTATCCATTACGAACTTCACATACGAAATCTGAAACAATCCCTGTAAATAATGTCGCTAAAATCATTAAAATACCGAATATCGGGGGGTACCGTTATATGGGGGCTATATGAAGACGTGGACCTACATGGCTCATTCTTTGACTTTGGATGAAGTATCCATTACGAACTTCAATTACCAAATTTGAAACGATTTCGGTAAACAATGTCGCTAAAATCATCAAAATACCGAATATCGGGGGTACCGTTATATGGGGGCTATATGAAGACGTGGACCTACATGGCTCATTTTTTGATTTAGGATGTAGTATCCATTACGAACTTCAAATACCAAATTTGAAACGATTTCGGTAAACAATGTCGCTAAAATCATCAAAAAACCGAATATCGGGGGGTACCGTTATATGGGGGCTACAGGAAGACGTGGACCTGCACAGATAATTTTCTGTCTTAGGCTGTAGCATCCATTACAAACTTCAAATGCCAAATTTGAAATAATTCCGGTGAATAATGTCGCTAAAATCATCAAAATACCGAATATCGGGAGGTACCGTTATATGGGGGCTACATGATAACTTGGACCTACATGGCCCATTTACGAACTTAACCTGCCTAAATACATGTGTGCAAAATTTTAGCCTTCTATCTCAATTTGTTCGAAAGATAGCGTGATTACAACAGACAGACAGACAGACAGACAGACTGACAGACGGACAGACAGACAGACAGACAGACACACAGACAGACAGACGGACATGGCTAAATCGTCTTAGAATTTTACGCTGATCAAGAATATATATACTTTGTTGGGTCTGACATGAATATTTCGAGGAGTTACAAACGGAATGACAAAATTAATATACCCTCCATAGTATGGTGGAGGGTATAAAAAGAGGCCAAAAAGAAATATATGGAAAGAAGGAGGGTGTGAAATTGACAGCTAAATTGGAAAAGAAAACAACGCAAAGAATTCAATAACAATAGCAACAATATCAGCAACAGTGTCATACATCGGCCGGCCCGTTTTTTAACACAAAAAAGAATTAAAAATTGCAACATTTTCAACGACACTAAACGCACGTTTACACCTTTCTGGTTTCAACTAATCTGGTAAGTTAAAATTCTCTATTCTATTGTCTATGCAGATAAATACGAATAAAAGTGATTAACCCTGGCAAAAGATCTCATATAAATATCTCTATAAAAAAACAAAAGCCTTTGTTCTTTCCATTCTAACGCGGTCAGCATTGAATTTGTTGCTGCAGTTATAAACAAATATTCAGCTATTGTTTGAAATCTGGAAAAAAAATTATATTCTCGTTTTGCCATTTGTTATGAACTTTTGCCAAAGTTTGAGTTATTGGGAAAGTTTCAGTTGGTTTAGGTACTAATTAACACAAAAATTAATTTTTCTGTTTTACTGCATTTAATTAATTTGACATTGTGCACACTTGAATCCAAATTGGACACTATAAAGTCTTTTCTGGATATTGAAAAACCCGTACAGCCAAATCTATTAAAGCTATTTTCAAATACCATACTTCGGTTTTACAAGGTTCGTTTTTTTAACATGAAGAACAGTCGATCATATTGACCGTTAATCGTTTCCCACCTCACACACTTTGGATATTTCATCTAGTCAATTAAATTGAAGAAATATTTTCAGAAGGATTTAGAGGTATACTTTTTTTGTTACTACTTGAATTTGGATTTCATTCAAACTAAAATATTTGCATTAATATTTGTTTCGAATATTAATAAAGGTCCATTCTGTGAAAATTAAAACAGCTTACTAACGGTTCAAGAAAGTCAAAGTTATTTATTGAAAAAAAAAACCTATAACTAATTAAACAAAATGCCGACTTGTGATGATAATAGTGGCGACAAGGCCCCTCAGAAATTCATTTTCTTTTCCGACCAAGTGGAAACGTTCTGCGCCAATTTTAAACAAAACCCTGTCGAGGAACATACATCCTCTAGCCTGCAGGTCGAATTAGATGACCTTGAAAGGCGGTGGCGCCAACTTGTACAAGTGTACGAATTTGAAATGACTTCTGAGACTTCCACCTTAGCAGAAAATACGAGAGAGTCCATTCATTCAAAGTCTGCCAAGTCCTATAAAGCCTACAAGGAGTGCAAGGCTTCTATTCTGGACCTCCTCCAAATTGAAAACCAAAAACTTGCGTCCGACTCAAGAGTCACTGTTGACAGGGTCGTTTCTAATGATACCAGTTACGCTCTTAAATTACCGCCATGTGATACAGAATTGTTCAGCGGAGGTTACGATAAGTGGCCTAGTTTCCGCGACATGTTTTCAGCTATCTACATTAAACACCCCAAGTTATCTCCCGCTCAAAAACTGTTTCACTTGCGAACCAAAACTCGGGGCGAAGCAAACCTTATTGTTAAACGATTTCCTTTAACTGATGACAATTTTCAATTAGCCTGGGATGCCTTACGCCAGCGCTACGAAAATAAACGCATTTTAATAAACCATCAGTTAAGGAAAAGTTTTGAGATAGATAGTGTTTGCTCTGAAAAAGGTAAAACATTGCGCACTTTACAATACACTGTAAATAATTGCCTCTCTGTCCTAAGAACTTACAATGTCTCTGTTATTTTGTGGGATCCAATATTAGTATATTGGGTTTCCTCCAAATTACCCGAGGAAACGTTGACAGCATGGGAAAATACTTTGTCAAATAATAGGGAGATGCCGTCTTGGCCCCAACTCGATGAATTTATTTCTAAACGTCTCAATATGATGGAATCAATTTCAGATATGAAAAAACCATCCAATACAAAAGTTAATACGTACAGCACAGCTACTGATACTCCGCACAAAGCATGCAAAGCATGTCAAGACGATCACCCTTTAAGATCTTGCCCTAAATTTCGTTCTTGGCCACTTCAAGAAAAACGGAAGTTTGTTTCTGACAATAAAATCTGTTCCAATTGCATGTCATATGGACGTACTTCAAAGAAGTGTAAAAGTAAATACTTATGCCAAACATGCAAGCAGGCTCATCACACCTTGTTACATTCGGACGGAGGTAATTCTCTCAATCGTTTGCAAGGTCCGAAATCTGCTTCCGCTTCTTATCATCTTGAGACTTATTACGATGAGAACCCTTGCTCTTCTAACGTTGCGCTGGCCAATAACTCTTATATTCAGAATCATTTTTCCCAATCTGGCCAAAAAGCTGTTTTGCCAACCGCCTTGGTGGATATAGAACACCAAGGTATCTGTTTCACTATCCGAGCATTTATAGACCAAGGATCTCAAGAATCGTTTGTCGGCAGCCGCATCATAAATCGTTTTGACATCCCGACGAAGAAATCTCACACAATGATTTCGGGTCTGGGTGGAACTCTTCTGGAAAATTCAACCAAGATTTGCGAATTGACATTAAAGTCTACGAAATCCAATTTCAAGGTAACCGCTTCCGCTATTGTGATCTCAAATTTGAATCACCTAATGCCCGCTTCGCCAACCGCAATTTGTGACTTCACAACCTTGAAATCCCTAAAGTTAGCTGACCCTAACTTCTTCAAACCCGCACCCATTGTTCTGCTTATCGGTAGTGACATACTACCAGCAATTATAAAACCTGGACTTGAGAAGAATGTTTCCGGAAATCTATTGGCCCAAAATACGGAATTCGGTTGGATTATTAGTGGCAAGCCCACATCACAATCTGTAGTTTCCTTTGCCTCTTGGACGGCAACTGTTGATCCACTGAACCATGAGTTACAAAAATTTTGGGAGTTAGAGAATGTCTGCAATGAAAAAACCATGTCGGCCGACGACATATGGTGTGAAGAGTTTTACAAAAGAACTGTAAATCGTAGGCCTGATGGTCGTTACGTTGATAAGTACCTTGGGGCTTCAAGACGTGCTGCTATGGGTCAATTCCTACGAATGGAAAAGACCCTAGAACGAAATTCCGACTTAGCAACTGAATATAACAAAGTTTTATTAGAATATGTATCGATAGGTCACATGAAAGAAACTTCAAGTCTAGAAATTGTCGATAACAACCGCTTCCTTTCCTACTACCTGCCACATCATGCTGTGGTCAAACCAGAAAGAACGTCTACAAAAGTCAGAGTAGTTTTCAACGCTTCCAAAAGAATCGAAAGTGGTCTCTCGTTGAACGACATACTCTACACTGGTCCTACTTTACAAAATGATTTAATGAATGTTGTTCTGAAGTGACGATTGTTTAAATATGATATACAGAAAATGTATCGCCCAATATTTGTACATGAGGACGACCAACAGTTCCAACGAATGTTGTTTCGAACTTCTCCAACAGAGAAAGTTTATGATTACTGTTTGCAAACCGTTACCTTTGGGGTAAATTGTGCGCCATATTTGGCCATCAGAACATTACTTCAACTTAGTGAAGATAGTCAATTGTCATATCCAACCGCGTCTGACATACTGAAAAGCCAAATTTACGTTGATGACATCTTATCAGGTGCTTATCTTCACGAATTAATGCACTTGCTTCATTCCGCGGGTTTTCCTTTAAAGAAAATAACATCTAATCATCAGCAAATTTTGCAAAACTTGCCCCCCGAGGATCTTCTAAACGAAGAATTTCTGCACATTGAGGATGTTAGTGAGGCAAATACATTAGACATTCAATCGAATGCAATGAAAGACTATTTCTTCTACAAAGTAACTCATATAGATGTACCAAATGTTTCCATAACAAAACGGAAAGTTTTGTCAATAGTTGCGAAGTTATTCGATCCTGCATGGTGGTTAACTCCAATTATTGTAGTTGCTAAAGTCTTGATGCAACAATTGTGGATGGATGGAACTAATTGGGATGAGGAAATTAAACCGCATTCCTTTGAAATTTGGAACTCTTTTTTACTGAATTTTTCTGATATACAAAATATAAAGATTCCTCGTTGGATTTACTATTCTCCCGAAAGTACTACTCAAATACATGGATTCTGTGATGCTTCGGAGAAAGCATATTGCGCATGTCTGTACATCCGTCCCACTAATACACAAAATGTTACACATACAAACCTGCTTGTTTCCAAGAGCAAAGTAGCTCCTCTCAAAACTGTTAGCCTGCCCAGACTTGAATTGTGTGGAGCAGCAATGTTGTCAAAAATGATCAAAAATATTTGCGAAAATCTAAATATTGCGAATCATGAAATATATTTATGGACTGATTCCACTATTACATTGGCATGGATCAGTAAACCTCCATATCACTGGAAGACATTTGTCGCCAATAAAGTTTCGGAAATTCTAGACAACGTCGGCAATGCTAACTGGGGACACGTCTCATCTGCTAATAATCCAGCGGATCTGGGTACTCGCGGACCAAAATGGTTGTCCAAAACTTCTAACCATTGGCCAAAGCCAGCAGTTTCAAGAGAAGTTACACCTGAGAAAAAAGTAATTGCTCTTCATGCAGTTGTTGTCGGAGACAGTCTCCTAGAAAATCTCTCTTCCTGGAATCGAGCCTTACGAGTATTCGCGCATGCATTCCGATTCATAAATGGGTGTAGAAAACAAAGAGTACCTGGCCTGCGAAAAAAGGTTTTACTTGCCCACGAAATATCATTTGTAAAATACAAATTCATAAGGTTGGCACAAATGTCTCATTATGCTTGGGAATATCAAGCCTTGGAATCACATCAACCGATTCCAACCAAGAGTCGACTGCTCATATTGAACCCATTTCTAGATGAAAACAAAATCATCCGCGCAGACGCAGTTACAATGAACGTCATCCCATAATTTTACCGGAAAGATCACTATTTTGCAAACTCTTCATTGACTTTATACACCAACTACTTTTACACGCAGAGCATCAAGATATGCTAAGAGCAATACGTCAAGAATTTTTCGTAATACGACTAAAAAGTGCCGTTCGTCTTTGTATCCGCAAATGCCATAAATGTACCATTTATAAACACCGCACGCAACATCAAATAATGTCTACATTACTGCCTGAACGATGCACATTCTCTTTACCCTTTACGAATACTGGTCTTGACTTCGCTGGTCCCTTTGACCTTAAAACTTCTCGCCTTCGCAATGCCAAGCTTCATAAAGGCTACGCAGCAATTTTTGTTTGCCTTTCTACTCGTGCTATCCACTTGGAAGTTTACTCTGAATTGACATCTGAAGCATTTCTCGCAACATTCAGTAGATTTGTTGGACGAAGAGGCCTTCCAAACCAAGTCTTTTCAGACAATGGCACCAATTTTGTTGGAGCCAGCCACATTCTGTCTCAGGACTACAAAAAGTTCCTACAATCTGCTACGCAAAGCATAGTATCCAAGTACAATTTACACGGTTTCACTTGGCATTTCAGAACACACCATTACAAATAAAGAATTCCCTTGTGCTCAGCCGCATTACATTAGAAGAAATCTACCGTTTTATCATTTTCCACATTTTACAACCAGAGGGGATTGACACCGCAGACATCGTTCTAACCCGCTAATACAGTCCACTACTGGTCATCACCCCCTGACTTGTACAAAAATAACTACAAATAATCACGAATATCTGCCAACAATCCAATGATGTGGTCATAAACAAATTACTGGTCCATTTTACCAGGCAACACCTCAGAAATAAAACTATTCTTAGATGACCTAGTGTATTTGAAAAAACTAAATTAGACCTTATATGGTTGCTTCAACAGTCCCGGGATCTTCATCTGCGACCTTGTAATCAACACCGATTTTACCACATGTTGACACTTGATGCTTTGTTGCATTTAGGGTATGGCAATAAGGAGGTAAATGCTCGGGACCCATAGCCGAGAGTCGGGAAAAAGTTGGGCTGTGGAATTTTTATTTTTTGTGGTTGAACACTTTTAACTCATTTACTAAAAATATATTCACTAACAATTGTTTTTTTTTTCTACACACTTCCAGGATTCAACGCAATGCCCACTATCAAACAAAAGGGTTTACTCCATCAGTTCCCGATATGCCAAAACCATGCAGGTAAGTTTCTTTCGATTATCGATAGATTATTTGGTTATGTTTGGACTGTTGGGAATGACCTAGCCTTGTGGATGGATAGGGGGACAGACACGTCATATTATGAGATACGCCTTAGGATTGAATTTGCCGGGACCGCATCACAATATGATTATATATATTTCAATTAGTTCAATAATCGAATTTGTGGTGAGAAAATAATCTAATTGTATCTCTACAATCCATTCATCTCAATATGGCCAACGGTAGTCCACGCTACTAACTTTTTCGCTGACTTTCAATCAATTTCAATTACTTCTTTTTTTATGGATTTAAACCATTTGATTTATACTGCGATTTAGTAACTAGTTACCAACAGAACACCGACAACCAACAACCAAACTGGTTATGACTTATATTTTTGCCCAATTTTCGAATTCTATCAATATGTTTACAACCAAATTAAACGCTTCTTTCGGTATACCACTGCTGGATTAGCTTATACTTCCACTCCGTAAGATCAGACGTCCATTTTTACATTTTAAGGACTTTAATTTCATACATGTTTTTCATATGGGTTTGACTATTTGAGGTATTTATGGCAGAATTTTGCGTTAATAGTGTTCCCAAAATCGCTTAACACATGGTGATTGCAGCTGTCTAGTAATTTGTAATCACTATCATGGTATAAATTTCATACCCAAACAGGCAAAAAATGGATCACATATTACTTCATTGTGTGCTTTTTCAATGAGAAGATGCGTACGGTGGTACGTTTAAATATTAAACATTTTTCTATTTTTATGTCCATTAGCTTAATTAGCGAAATTATATCCTTGAAGCATTAGCGACCATCGAGCGAGTCCACCACTTAAGTCCTTCACTCCCATCAACCATTTTAAACTAGCATGGTCCGTTATGACGGTTAATTTTATTAGTTCCACATAAGCCCTAAAGTGCCAACTCTAGAATTTTTTTGATTTCTTCATACATTATATGTTGCATTGCTGGCGATGTAGGATAATGCTTGTCCTTAATCGGATTTGTGCCTTCTACAAGCTTTATTGAGTGTTTTCTAGGGTAGTGCGACCAAGTCCTAATTTTTCAAATGATGGGAATGCATCAATCACTGCTGTGACTTTCTTTCTGATCCGGGGTTAAAGTGTGCATATCTCAATCAAATCAAATATCGATTTCATTTACCTTGAATACATCTGTTGCTAATTGAAATGCCTTCCAAAAGTCAATACCTAATAAAATGCTTGCTCTAATTCTGGGCATAAATTAAAATATATTTCTCCTTCGAGCTCTGTATATTTCGTTTTTAGTCTCGCTTTGCCTGACGTAGTTCTCAGGATTCTGTTCTTTGATTTGTGTTGTACGATTCAGATCCAATCTCTAGTTCCTCTAATAATTCCCTACACCATTTTCCTAGAAATGATACGGTTGCTCCAGAATCCAACAGTCCTCTGATGTCTTTTCCCTCTAATTAATGATTTCATAGGGCATAGGATCGGACGTTTCATCATATTTTTAACTGATTGCATTAACTCACTTTTCATTTTTTTGTTTTCCTTCCTTCTTTCCCGTAATTTTAATATTCTGGCATATTGTTTCTCCTTTCTATATTTTTTTGACGCTTGGCAATTCATCGTAGTGCTCTGGGAATTTTCATCTTAATTTAAGCCTGACTGATTTTTTTCCTCGTCAAATATCCTCTTCCTAATTATTTCGTAATTCGTTATCCTAACTTCTATGGGAAGATAATGACGTATTGAAGTGTAATTTAACGAATTTATTTTTGTGAATTGGATTCCGCAGGTGGGGTTACCGAACATGGCCTTCCCGCTGGCATCATGTTCTTCTTCGGGTTTTTCGAGTGACATTTTGGACACCTTGGTGCCACTGTGTTTGGTTGGCCACATCGATAATAGAACAAGGATCTTTGTGAGGACAGACAGTCCATGAATCGGTGACCAAGCATGCAGAAATTCCAGAAAACTGGTATTTAATTCCTGAATTGGTTCTCCGAAACTTCCTGAATTGGTTCTTGTTCATAGTATTTACACCCGTATGTTTCATTATCTAACTCATTGACCCTTAAATTTCGGTTCTGATGTGCGGAAACAGATCTTTTACCAGGCCTCACACACGTTTTCTCTGCCCGGACACATTCCATGCGCAATTGTTCCATAGATGACACATTCATGGGGTATATCATTCTGAAAATGCCACCCTTCAAATTCCTTTTGACTATTTGTATTAGCTCCCCTTCAGATATTGGTTGCACTAATTTTGCTCTTAGCATATTTATGGTTTAAAAAAAAACTGTCAATGTCTTCCCCTGGTTTGAGTTTCCTATCGACAACTTCACTCATAACTTCAAAGTTGGAATATCTCCTAAATTATCCATCTTTCAATGTAGACCAATCTCTTACCACACCCGTTTTAATTTGAAGTTAATACCACTCGTAAGCTCCCCCATTTAACAATGTTTGGAATTCAGCGAATATTTCCTCCCATGTCATTCTATATTGGCTTTATAAATACTCCAACGGAAACATAAAGTCTTCAAGAGATATACCATTTTGATTCCCATCAAACTTCAATTTGAATTTTACCACTTTACTAGCGCGATGTAGACTTGGACCAGGGACCCTGAACATCATATTGGATGATTACATAGCTGGTTGTCTATAGGCATCTATTGCCGGTGGTGGAGTTGTATAAGGGAATGGTATTGTATTAGGTATATTGTATTAGCTCCCCTTTGGGTTCACATGGGCCCCATTGGGTTCACATTTGAATTTGAGGCATTGTAATTTGCTGGTTGGATAGATTTAGCGCTAATAGTTTTGGACATATCTATTATTGCCGAATCTAATGTTGGTGTTGGAACCCATTGGGTTCACATTTGAATTTGAGGCATTGTAATTTTCTGGTTGGTTAGAATTAGCGCAAATATTTTTGGACATATCTATTATTGCAGAATCTGATCCAGAATTTTCGAATTTTGGGTAAGGTTTGGACCGAAATTCTGCTCACATCAAAGTATGATTCGACAGCGTTTACTTACGTCATTCGCAAAACCAATATATATATAACAAAGAAACATATATTTCCCACAGATAAAATTATATGTTAGAGATATCAAAGAAATGTTAAGCAACAAGAATAAAAAGAAATTAATTAATAATCAGATAACAAAAAAAAAAACAAAAATAAAAAAACTGAGGACAATATGAAATAAAAAAATTAAATGAAAATTCATGGAATACAAAAACAAAAATAGCACGACAAAATAATATCAATACGGAATTAGGGTTCTTCCTAATGATGTGTTTTTGTGTGTGTGTATTTTTTATGTCCTTGAGGTCAGAGGTCAAAGCAAGCAGTTATATTAAATTAACCAACAATTGTTGCATAAAGTCATATTTTCAAGCTGGTCTCCACGGCAATTTCCTAATATTTAAAGAAACAGATCTCGCAGATAGAGAGTCCAACTAGCATCTGATCTATCATAACTCGGATGAATATTGCACTAACTGTTTTTTTAATTGGGCGCCATCTGTTATGATCCCTGTTAGGCGGCGCTAGAGGGGACCTTCCGGTTAGCTAGTGGTCTCGGCTCTACGGTTCTCAACCCGTCTTCTTCTCTAGACCATCAGGGCAAACATGAGTTGAACTCTACAAGACAAAAAAAAATACATTTAAACACAATAAACCTGATTTGACAAGGGAGTATTGGTGTTGTATTTCACATTTTGCCCTCCCAATCATGGTATCCACATCTACCCGCTTCAAATATTATTGGAACCACCACATCACACACATACACTCACCTCATAACCTTTAGAATTCCTCCCTGTTTACCAACAAAATCACACATATTTTTTATTAAATAACAACTACATTCATTAAAATATGGATTTCTTGGTTCTAATTTTGTATCTTGCCTTTGCAGGCTATTATCCCTACATGGACTTTCTAATACCAGACCTAAGGCAATTAATAAAAATCTAATATGATCTATATTAGGTATTCCAGTCGAGACTATAAAGGGGACCTAAAACGTATTTAGTTGAACAGCTTCTTCTTTACTAAATTCTTAACCTAAGGAAGCTCACTTAAGAAAGATTTTATGATATTATTTACTATGTCAAAGCCTTTTCTAGCGTTCTTCAGGAAAAATATATTACACTTAAAAAAAACCAGGTGTCCGGCATTAAAAAATCCTAACAATTAGAAATCAAGTACTTATAACTAGAACAAACACACAGACAACACATTAACACACAAAGATAATTTTTTTTAACGAGACAGTTCTGAGGATTCTGAGGGTTGGTATAACCGCCACGGAATTTCTCTCTCAGATCTTTGCAACGATCAATGTTATTATAGTGGGTTACCTCTTTTCAATGTCATTCCTTTATTTTATCCTTTACCCTTTTTAATGGTGCGATATAGTGGGTGTTCGGGATAATTTCGCCACCAGACTAACCAGAATAAATTAATTGTTTGCGTGTTTGCTGGCCAACTCGGCACAAAGGCACTTGGTCCTCAATTCCCGACCCAAAAGAAATCACTGACCCCCCTTTCTCTGTACTTGAGGCCAGTGGAAATTGTGGTTTGATGATGACCCTACAGCGAAATCCATCGCTAACTCACAATAAAATCTCTACACGAACTTTAATAACACTTACTTTAATCTCTTGCACCGTTTTTTGTTTTAAAATTTTGACCACATATGTCCTTTTTTAATTTGTTTGGAATTTGGACAGACTTATTTTAAAATTCACCAACGAAACTTGCCAACAATAAAACAAAATTAATTTAATAATTTATTTAGTTTTCCGCGTTTTGATTTATATAAGGGTTCCCATTTTCCTCTATTTTTCCTAATTTTTCACGACATTTTAAAGCACATATAAATGGCTTCAGTTACATTTAGTTTACTACATATCAAAGAATATAGCCATTAAAATTCAGATGTACAGAGCGGCTACTTTAGCTCTCGCTAACCCACTGAACATACCCCACAACTTATCCAACATACGGTAACGCTCTTTCTTTTATTTCGCAACAAACTTGGTAACAATCTTAAAGTTTAATATAATAATTTATAATAATTTTTAAATAAATAATTTATTTAGTTTTCCGCGTTTTGATTTATATAAGGGTTCCCATTTTCCTCTATTTTTCCTAATTTTTCACGACATTTTAAAGCACATATAAATGGCTTCAGTTACATTTAGTTTACTACATATCAAAGAATATAGCCATTAAAATTCAGATGTACAGAGCGGCTACTTTAGCTCTCGCTAACCCACTGAACATACCCCACAACTTATCCAACATACGGTAACGCTCTTTCTTTTATTTCGCAACAAACTTGGTAACAATCTTAAAGTTTACATCGGGAGCCACGCCAACACCGTCTAGTCCAACGTTAGAGGCGCAGAATTGCGGCTTTGTCAGTCTGGCAAGCCCCTGGTATAATTCCCATAGACATTGTACTTTTAATTTGGACGGACGACAGCTAGTCAGTTAAATTCCGTGGACATTGCATAGAAAAAAAGAGTCAAAGTTAGTAAAAGGGGAAACAAGCAGTTTAAGTTTAGTGTCTACTTACCACATTGGGTACAGGATTCCACTCAGGGTTCGGCCATGATCTGCATTGTTTGACCTTTTCTGAAAATACAAGAAAAGAAACGTTATAAAAAGGTTCTGCAGTGTGTTCGGAATGTAATTACAACATTACCACCACAAACTTGAACATTTTACTTACACATTGAGAAGAGCCGCCTCCAGATCCAAATAAAAAAATCTTCATTAGCCGCCAGCCTGAATAGAAACTATATGAAAAGAAAGAGGTTGCCTGAAATGAAGTTACCTGAAAAGAAAGAGGTGGCCTGAAAAGAAGAGAGAAGAAAGAATATTAATATTTTAATGAAATCAATGTTTTTTACAATGTATTATGTTTTTTTTTTGTTCATACCTTGCTTTTTATGTTCATATAATTTTCACTAAGATTTATTTGTTAAACAAAAGCATGGATAAATTTGTAGAATTCAAATTGAAAGCGATGTGTTCGGCTTAAAGCTCTTTAAAGAGGTGGTAGCGATGAGATAGAGAGGTATGTGAAGGGGTCGAATATGGGGCACCCTGTAAATAGGGGTGTCATGGCGAGAGGTAATCTCGGTGGGTGGGCAGTTTGCCTAGACGGATAGCCGCTAGGGGAAACCTGATTCGAATAAGGGAGATATTTGTCCTAATCAAAATGTTAAAGGTGAGTTCGGTATAAATGTTAGGGTTATATAGCCCTTTTTCTTGTTATAGACATATTTCAGGTTCCTCACAACACAAATAAACCCATTCAGTTGGGATAAGACAGGTATGACTTCTTTTCTTCTGTCAACCAAAATGTACTAGAGTGGTAAGCCATGCCGCGGTTTGTGGTTTCCCAATAAAACACTGGTTGGTACAAAATGGCGCCCAACATGGGCCAGAAATATGTATTTTTAGTTTCAAGAGTATTTATGGAATCGATTAGTTTTCTTTTCGTAATAAGTTCAGTTCAGGTAACTCAAGAGTGTCTTAGTAGTTGGTGACTACTTATCGTACTAGGTGACTACTAATCGTATTAGTCGTTAGAAATCGTTTCATATTCCATTTTGATAGATCATATCTAGTTAGTTAGATTAGTTTATAAATAGGCCTTACCAATATTTTTCAATTTCTCAAGGTTAAACGGCCTCTTTCGTGGAGACCCATCTAACAGAGCCATGGCGGGCTCAGAGATGCGCCGCTAGACGAATGGGAATGGCAAAGCTTTGGAGAATTTGGGGTTTGTTGGCATTTCCTCCTTAGGGTTTTTTTTTTAAATTTAGTTTTTAGCCAAAATTAGAGTAGATTTAAAGTACGGACATTCAAGTGAGTTACATTGGTCTGCGACGTTTTTGGCTCCAGACCAGGGTCGTATTACAATGGCACACCTCCAGGGATGTCTGTTTCCGCTTATTAATCCATTTTATCATTAATTTTTGTTTTGACAGTAACCCGAACTCGCCAAAACCTTGTATTGAAAATGTTGAACACTTTAATTGAAATACTTCTAATGCAACAGGAATTTGACTTTCACTTACCGTTGTTTTTATTTATTGTCCCACCACCCAACTACGAGAATATCAGTTTAATTACTCCAAGGTAAAATGTTTATGATAATTTGATTTCGACATCATTGCTAGTCATCATTATTATTGTTTTTAGATTATTTTCGAAGTAGTAGCTGAATGCATTTAAAATACTTTGAAATTTCCCTTAGTATTTTTTCAAAGACATACATCTTTTCTAATTGCTTTGAAAATAATTTATAGTAATTATTTTTATGGAATCAGTTAACAGAAATAGCAATATGAATACCAGATCGGCCAGTGCACCAGGTAGTCCTATCATAGGGCACCTCAGCTGTAACTGTTAGCAATGCCACTAATGCAGCCCACAGCATTCTAACTTCCACATCAAATGTTATGACAACAGCTCATAATGTACCCCTTACCATCCATAGTGTCTTTACGGGGGCTACAATCCCTCCTACGTCGAACCAGAATAAACCAGCAACTTCCGCCTTATCATCAGCTGCGCCACAAATTCCCTCCGCCATACAAGAAGCCTCAAACTCTTTCAATACCTCATTTTGGTCGCATGGAAGCGTTGCATTGCCAAGTTACAGTGTCTTGACAGGACTGCAACAACTGCAGATCAGGCCTGGGGTTCCGCCAGCAGATCTAGTAGTCAGTGCAGGGGTCAAAGAGATCATTAACTCGGCCATCGCCTTGTCACAACCGTCAGCAAGAAGAAGAGAGGTTGAGAGCTTTATACCACGTATTGCCGAAGCCAACGCGTTCTTTGTTGGTGGGTAACGATTCAGGAAAAAATTTTTTAATCATCTCACTTGACGATGCCAGCAGCGACACATGCACAGGACCACTTCTCGTTGGAGTCAGCCATCGTCAATTCAGCAGCGTTGGCATCAGGCTTAAGAGCGAACAATCGCATGTAACCATGGGACATCCACCACCATTGTCACAACAATCGAATTTTGGTTATCATCCAGTTCCGAAGGCAAACCCACAACAACCAAAAACTACATTTAACCTGCCACCACCAAATCTTGCAGTACCTCCGCCAAATTTCGCATTGCCTTCGGCACGGAGTATGGAGCCTTCAGAAATTTTACCGAACAGCTATCATCTTCGGTAGCCAGGAAATTTCCGTTCAGAGCCTTCGGGACGGTTCAATCTGGAGAAGTGGGGTGTGCATATTGACGGTACGGCAAGACTATGAATGTCCGGGAATTCATTTTCCGAGTAGGAGAACTTATTAAAGACTATAATTGTCCCGAGGAGGAGTTTGTAACGAATTTTCACAAGCTGTTAAGCCAACTAGCATTATATTAGTACTCTTGATCCAACAACAGAGATTTGAAAACGAGTTTCAAATTCAAATGCAGATCCTTAACCGGCGACAGTTACCGGAAAATACCTTTGATGAGTACTATAATGCCGTTCTTAAACTCGTACCCAGCCAGAGACGAAAGAGATGTTTGAAATCATAATAGAAAATCTTGAGTCAGCCCTTGCCCAAATGATATTTTCGGCGCACACTCAAGATTTGGGAGAGCTCTATAGACAGGCGAAACGAGGTGAGAGCTTAATTGCGATCCATAGGCAGCAGAGTTATGCCATGTCCCAAAGGGTACATGAGCTTGATTGGCAACAAAATGAAGAATTTTCAGAGGAAATGGACGTAGATGCAATAGTCGTTACATCTAGATATAAATACTAGACTGTGGAGCGATGGGACACAGCTAGATGGAGTGTATAGTAGATTTTTTGTTGCAAATGTGGCCAAGGGGGATGTTACTGTTCCAGATAGTACTAGTACTACAAGAACCAACCTCATTCTGGGCAGGTGCGGTCAACACCAATCTAAGCAAAGAAAATACAAATAGGTTAACTTTTAGCGATAAGATAAAATCTTTAAAAAAATGAATGTTAGCAATTTGATGCCAGGGTCAGATTCAAAAGTAAAGTTGAGGGAGCTTAAACCGCTCCATATCAGAATCAAAGAATACAACGAAGCCAGGGCAAGAATCTTCGGAGAAGTTTCGAATAAATTAAATAAGGCTCGGGAGAGGTATAAGAGGAGAAAACGTATACGGAGAGGGATCTCCTCAGCAAACCTGTATGAAGGTGATGATACCCGGTTATATACGAAATTGTTTATTAATGGGCAGGAAGTAGAGGTTTTATTGGATAGCGGAGCAACAGTTTCTTGCTTGGGAAAGAACTGCCTCGTGAATTGTTTTTAGGCGTAGATTTCATGAGAAGTTTACATTTGTTTGCTCAGGTTGACGGTTTGTCCTTCCATCAAAAGAGCCTCGGTGATGCCGCGGAGATCAATGATGTAGAAACATCATGCATTGTCCGATGAGCAACGCATTCGTTTGCAATTGGTGAAGGACAATTTCATATGCTCCATTCAATCGACATCCGCGATGCAACTCCAGTGAAAGATAGACATTATCCCGTTTCCCCGGATGTGCAAAAGCTTATGTATGCGGAATTGGATAGAATGCTAGACCTAGACGTGATTGAGGAGAGCGAGAGTCCATGGAGTCATCCGGTTACTCTAGTTCGCAAGGGGGACAAGAACTGTTTGTGTCTGGACGCTCGAAAACTCAACGCACTGAAGGTCAAGGATGCCTACCCATTGCCACGTATAGAGGGTCTCTCAGTCGGCTGGGTAATACCTACTTCACATCCAGTGTCGTCCTGAAGGATGTCTTCTGACAAATTCCATTGGATCTTTCAAGTAGAGAGAAAACTGCCATCACGGTACCCGGACAACCACTTTACCATTTCAAGGTCATTCCCTTTGGTCTGTGCAATGCAGCCCAAAGGTTATGCCCATTAATGGGTAAGGTGATCCCTGGTGCACTACGTGACAGAGTTTTCGTCTACTTGGATGATCTTTTGGTAGTTTCGCCAGACGTCAACACTCACCTGAGGTTGTTATAGCGGGTGGCAGATTGCTTGGGTAGAGGTGGGCTCACTATAAATTTGACTACGTCGAAGTTCTGCTTCAAGGAACTTAAGTAACTTAAGGCTTAGGTGGAGGTGGAAAATTAAAACCTGATACGACATAGAAGAGGTATTAATAGAAATAAAGTCTTTAATCGATTTAGATTCGTCCGCTTTCAAATCGGACGAATACGCCGAGCTTATACAACGGAATTCATCACAGCTTCCCGACTTTAAAGTGATAGACGCTTTGTGTGCGTGTATTTTTTTAATGTCCTTGAGGTTGTCAAAGCAGGCAGTTATATTAAATTAACCAACAATTGTTTCATAGAGTCATATTTTCAAGCTGGTCTCCACGACAGTTTCCTAATATTTAAAGAAAAAGATCCCGCAGATAGATAGTCCAACTAGCATCTGATCTATCATAACTGGGATGAATATTGCACTATCCCTTACTTGAAAATTTATCTTTTTCAATCAGACAAAACAACAAACTGGCCATTCACAATACATACATTGTTACACACTAGATGTACGAGTTATTGCACTGACCAAAGGTAAATAGAAGTGGTTATGCTAAATATTCAATATTATTCAGGCTGATGGGTATTGCCATAACCCTTATGACTATGGATTCCATTTAAGCTATTTGTTAAAACATACATAAATATTTTTTTTATTGTTCTATAAACATACTTTAGATTTAATTACCAAAAACAAACAATAAATACAAAATCAAACACACCTACATATTTAAAAGTTTTAAAACTGCTTATACAGCATTATTATATCACATATTTGGACTATTTTATTGTTACAGTTAATTTTCTTTATTTTAGTTCATTGGCCATTGGTTCATTCACTTTTGCAATGTTTTTAAGTTTCTTTAACACATTTATTTATTTTGCTTACATAGCATTTAATGTCTACTAGTAACCGACCTACATTACAATTAATTTATATCAGCATTTATCAATAGCATTTTTTAATTAATTATGTTAAGAAATTATGTATATAAAGACAGCCAGAAATAAAGAAAATTCAGTCGTCTTTTGTAGTGACTAAACTAAGAGTTTTAATTACTATCTAGGCGGCTTCCTTCAAGTTCATGTGCTTGGAAGGAAATTAATTTGGATACTAAGTGTCAGTTCAAATTTATGTGTTTGGATTGAATCGCACTAGATCCTACTATCAAAACATTTTTTGGTGACCCCGATCAAAACATTTTTTTTTTGGAGGCCCCGGCGAGATCGTTTACACACATCCTTTTGCCCCACAAGTGGTAAAGGATTTGAATCGTAAGACGTGATCGTTTACACACATCCTTTTGCCCCACAAGTGGTAAAGGATTTGAATCGTAAGACGTGATCGTTTACACACATCCTTTTGCCCCACAAGTGGTAAAGGATTTGAATCGTAAGACGTGATCCTGACGATAACTAAACCGAAACATTTTTTGGTGACGTTATCCACAAGGTGTGAGGACGTAACGCACGCGTACCAATTTCAAAAACCCCCTTTTGGAGCTCTGGAGGAAAACCAGGAGGAAATTGCCGGTAACTAATCATCATACAACAACTGCTGCTACTCGCTGATAAATCAACAAACAATAATGGCAAACGTTCAAGAGCTTATTTCTCAGCAAGAAGAAAGAGGCAGCAATTTCGAAAAATTCGTCTCTACTATAAAGAAGGCACCTCTTGAAAGGAGAACGGAAGAGTTCTACAAGAGCAAACTTGATGAACTAAGGCTGTTATGGCAGAATTTTGAGAAGGCAGAAAACAGAATTCGCGATGATCCATCATTGTCAGAGGATGATCCGTATATTGCTCGGAATCTATATAGAACGATTGGAGAGAAGTTCAGCTTAACAATGGAATATATAGACGCAGAAATAAAGAAACTGAGGTCAGCCAAAAGTAAGCCAGTTCCCACCTTGAGAGAGAAATCGACTGAAGTTGTCGCAGGAGACAAAATACCTTCCCGTGTTGATGGGCTTGTCAGAATGATAAATGCTCGAATGAGTGCCCTTAGTCGTCACTTGCAAGGCTTGGGCACAATCGAAGCGGAACAGCCGAAGCAATTTTATAGCATCAAAGAAGATACTATAAAAAAGCTATGGAATCAAATAACGGAGCTCTACGATGAAATATTGCAGCAGATTGAAGATCCATCGAAAATTGGATTAAGTCAAGAAAACTACGATATGCTGGAAGATTCGGTACAAGACAACTTAATAAAACTTGCAGTCTTGAAAGACAAATGCAGCGAAACCGTGACCATTGCACCTCAATTAGGGAGTGACATTATAGCACACAGTTCACTCCCACTACCAAAGGTAACAATTCCTCAATTCAATGGGGATTGTTTGAAGTGGCGTCAGTTCTATGAACTTTTCTTGGAGATGGTAGACAAACAGTCTCTTCCAAGTGTTCAAAAAATGTGGTATCTCAAAACCAATTTGTCTGGCGAGGCTGGCAAACTATTCAGTCATCTATCCTTGACAGAGGATAATTACAAAACGGCATGGATGTTGCTGCAAGAACGTTATAACAATAAGCGGGTTCTTGTTTCCACTCTAGTAGAACGGATTTTGAGTCAACCAAATGGAACTTCATCAACGGCCTCCATCAAGGCTCTGCATGACACTACAAAGGAATGCATGCTAGCCCTCAACAATCTTCAAATCGACACAACGTCTTGGGATGCTCTATTGATTCAATTGATCACAAAGAAATTGGATCACGCTCTGTACATACGATTCATGCAATCACTGGCGAATCCGAAGGAAGTTCCTACTATGAAAGGGCTGTTTTCATTTTTGGAACTTCAATTCGAATCAATGGAATCGATTGGAAAAGCGGCATCTACGCACAAGGGTTCAACCAAAACTGTTTCGTCCGTAACATCAGTGGAGGATCACAGGAGTTGTAAACTATGCAAGAACGACTCCCATCCAATTTATCATTGTAAGAAGTTCTTGGCAATGACAGAAGGTGAGCGATTGAAATGGATACAGCAACATAAATTGTGTGTAAATTGTTTCAAATCGGACCATGCAGCAAAAACTTGTTTTTCTGGCAACTGCAAAATATGTAGTAATAAGCACAATACACTGCTACATTTGCCAAAAAAGTCTCAACCGTCGCCGAAGGCCTCAAATCAATCACCACCAACAAAAATCGATATCGCACCAGTTAACGTTACTGCAGTTTCTTCGGCATCAGCAGAAGATCAGAAAAATGTAATTCTAGCAACGGCTAGAGTCATCATCAAAGCGACTAACGGTATGTCAGGCGAATTTAGAGCGGTGTTAGACTCGGGTTCGCAAGTGAACATTGTGACGGAAAGACTCATACAAAAATTGTCACTTAGAACAGCAGATGCCTCTTTATCTATTTCCGGAGTCGGAAGGATTCAGAAGAAGGCTTATCATCGGGTAAACATACAAATGTTATCAAGCAATTCTGAATTTTCCACAAATTTGGAAGCATTTGTTTTGCCCACAATTATACCTCCGCAACCAAATCATGATTTGGATATACAAAACTGGCAAATTCCCAAGAATATTAGATTAGCAGACCCTAATTTTAACGTTCAAGGAAAAATTGACATTTTACTCGGAGCTGAGTTTTACTTCAGTTTAATGCAACCAGGCACAATAAAACTAAATGGTCATCAACCCATACTCCAAAATACTGCGCTTGGCTGGATTGTAGGTGGTTTAATTCAACAATCGTCAACGGACGACACATCAGCAGCGCTAACATGCGCAATTTTTAGTGAAACATCACTGGAACAAGCTATCGAAAAATTATGGAAACTTGAGGAAGTGGAATCAACTGAGAAGGTCATGTCTCCATTAGAAACCCTTTGCGAATCTCACTTCAATCAACATGTTAAGACGGATCAGAATGGTCGTTTCATCGTCAGCTTTCCGTTTCAAGAATCTCCAACAGCATTGGGGAAATCACATGCAATGGCTTATAACCGATTTATGAGCCTTGAACGCCGACTTCTACAGAAGGAAGATATCCGAAGTCAGTACGTTAAATTTATGCGAGAATATGAACAATTAGGACACATGCAAAAGATTGACGTGTGTACCGTATCAAATCCTAAATATTTTATTCCACATCATTGTGTTCTTAAGCCCGATAGTACAACAACAAAACTTAGGGTTGTATTTGACGCATCAGCGAAAACTTCATCAGGTCAATCGTTAAATGATCTAATGTATACAGGACCAATCGTACAAAGTGAATTGTTTTCTATTTTGCTGAGGTTTCGATTGCCAAAATTCGTCTTCACAACCGATATTGAAAAGATGTACAGGCAGATTTTAATGCATCCCGATGATCAAAGGTATCAGCTAATTATCTGGAGAGAGGATCCATCTCATCCAGTCAGTTATAACAAACTTAATACGGTCACATATGGGACACGTTCAGCACCGTATCTGGCTACAAAATGCTTACAAAAGATTGCAAACGAGAACATGAAGCATTATCCATTAGGCTCACAAATGCTGAAAGATAATTTTTATATGGATGACGGTCTCGGCGGTGCAGATAGCCTAAGTACAGCTATTGAAATACAAAAGGAGTTAATAACAATCTTGAAACAACACGGCTTCATTCTAAGGAAATGGTCGTCCAATACACCAAGATTGCTGAAGGACATACCACATAGCGATCGAGAAGTGAACCTGGATCTCAACGAATCTCAAACAATAAAGACGTTGGGATTATATTGGATGCCGCAAGCAGATCAATTTTGTGTAAAAACGAACATTGATCATAATGAAATCATATCAAAACGAGTAGTTACGTCTGAACTAGCAAAATTATTTGATCCGCTTGGCCTACTTGCACCGATTGTGGTGAAGGCAAAAATATTTATTCAGCAGCTGTGGCAACATACATTAGATTGGGACGAAGCATTACCCGAAAAACTTTGTGCCACTTGGAAAACATTTCGAAGGGAATTGGAAGGTCTCAACAACTTTAAGATACCGCGACATGTATTCTGTGGGGAGATCCCGACGAAAATCCAGTTGCATGTGTTTGCCGATGTATCGGAAAGAGCTTTTGGCTCGGCTATTTATATTCGTTTTATTGGAAAAGATGGACGAGTCGTTGTACGTCTGATCTGTGCTAAATCCAGGGTAGCTCCTTTGAAAAAACAAACTCTACCACGATTAGAGCTATGTGCCGCAGTGGTAGCAGCTCAACTGGCTACCAGGGTGAAAAATGAGCTAAGGCTTCAGTATAATCCGATGTTTTTATGGACTGATTCTGAAATAGTACTCGCCTGGATAAAATCAAGGTCCAACGTATATAAGACTTTTGTGGCTAATAGGGTATCCACCATACAAAACTTAACATTGCCAGAACAATGGAACCACGTTAAGTCAAAAGAAAATCCTGCCGACATTTTATCCCGAGGACTCTCGCCAGCTGATCTTTCTAAATGCCGATTATGGTTTCATGGTCCAGTTTTTCTTCATGGAAAGGAAGAACTATGGCCGACCAAATTCTCTCCGCAAGAGGATATAACAAATAGCATGGAGTTAAAGACTGCAGCTACGACGTCAATAGTAACTTCTGACATGCATCTAATACATATGATCGAGCACAAAAATTCATTCAGGAAGTTACAAAGAATTTTAGCATACGTGCTTAGATTCACCAGCAATGAACGTATGCAAAAGGCACACCGGCCTCAACATATAACACTGTCTTCCAACGAATTAGACGACTCCCTTCGTCGAATAATTCAAGCCGTACAATCATCCGAATTTGCAGCTGATATCAACGCGTTGAAGGCTGAAAAGCAGATTAATAAGCATAGCTCGCTATGCAGTTTATCACCGTTTTTGGATGATGAAGGCATTCTTCGCGTTGGAGGAAGATTGGAACATGCTATGCTACAAATGGATGCGAAACACCAAATGATATTGCCTTATAATGATCCTTTGGTGAAATTGCTATTTAAGACAGTTCATGAAGAAAATAAACATCAAGCCTTGTTAAACGCAATAAGACAGCGATTCTGGCCAATAAAAGGCAAGATAACAGCAAGGTCTACCGTTCAAAGATGCATAAAATGTAATAGAGCGCGACCACAACTGTATCCACAAATAATGGGTCCAGAAGATCATGATAATGCTATAATTGACAAAGATATAACTCAAGAAAGCACGATTTCCCACAAGAAAAAATCGGTAACAGATGAACATGGAAGAGATGTCATTCCGGCAAAAAGAGTGAGAATTGCAAACAGTCCTATAATACTATCAGTATTATTAACATTGTTCCTAATACCTATGGTCCTGTGCAACAATTTGAAAGTTACACAATTTCACAATGATCCAGTATTTTGAAGGGTTAGGAACAATGAAATTGAATACAGCAGAATGGAAGATGTTAGTATATTATGACTTAAAGCCCTTTGTTTCGGAAATAGAGTCATTGGCATCCGGCTTACAAACGTTGCAGCAAATGTGCCATGTAATGCATCAGCATGAGATGTGCAACATTTTTGTAAACAACCTGAAGCAGACGAAAAATGAATTACTACAAGACAAAGAATTATTCATCAACAAACGTGTAAAAAGATCTCCATTCAACATAATTGGGAATATTGCGCACTCACTTTTTGGCGTTCTCGATACGGACTATGCGGAAGAAATGTCAAAGACTATCAACCAGGCAAAAGGCGAACAGGACCACATAATCAGTCTATTGAAAAATCAGACTTCAATAATTGATTCAACTATTAATGTTATAAAAAGAGATGAGATTAACACTCATCAAAAAATACGGGAGATTTTGAAAATGATTGACAAACACAATAACTATATAGCTGAAGAATCCGCCCAATTCAACAATTCTCAACTGTTTGGACTTCTATCAACGCATTTGATGTTATCCGCAATAAAGCTACAGAGAACACAGGCCGAAATCATTAATGTACTTACGGATACTCATCATGGAAAAATAAGTCCCCTGTTATTGGCTCCTCAACAATTGAAAGAAGAAATTAGTGTCATTAAGGCTAATCTTCCAATTTCACATGCGTTGCCAACATCAGGTGACAATTTGATTCAACTTTATAAGCTTATGAGTGTCAAAGGGGCAGTTACAAAATATGAAATCATTTTTGAAGTGAAGATGCCCTTAGTTAACCAACAGTTTTTTGAGTTGTTCAAAATAGTTGCAGTTCCAACAATACAAAATGACACCTTAATCGCCATTCAACCAGAAACGGAATACATATCTACCGATGCACATAGAGAAGAATATATTCTTGTCAAATCAGAGGATATTTCAAGCTGCCTCAAACCAAACGATGATGAATATATTTGCAGAAATCAGCAGTCAAAGCTCAAGAAAAATGCACTTGTTAACCCTTGCGAGATCAATATCTTCAATAACCAATCAACTAGCAATTGCCGTCTTCACAAAATTACTGGAACAGCAGTTTGGAGTCAATTACATCATCAAAATAAATGGATCTTTGCTACTACAGCCGATATTGAATCTTCAATGGTATGCGGATCTGAAACCAACCTCATCATCATTAAAAATTCCGGAATAATGGAAATTGGTCCTACCTGCGTAATAAAAAACAAATTTGTTACGATACATGGACATTTTGCAGCTTCCAGTAGTTTACATACATCCTATGTAAGATTGAAAGGCATTCAATATATAAGTCGACAAGAGGAAATTGAAAAGGTTTCAACAAATACCAATACCACCTCTTACAAGATTCATCAAGAAGAATTGGATAATATACAAAAACAGTTGCATGAATCAACTCTAAAAACACCTACCACAATTAATTCACTCATCAAATCAACATCATCAAGCAGTTAGCTACGCATCTTTAGCTTGCTGCATTCTTATTTTACTTGGCCTGCTGAGTTGGAGGATCCACACAAAATTTAAGAAGCCATCTCAATTCATACCTACACCAGCTATAAGATCTCATCAATCAACAATCGATTTACAATGGAGTCATTCCCATCGATGTTACAATGGAGTCATTCCCACATTCCCACATCCAACCCAGGCGCAATCATTGAACAATGTCAACGCGGCGGAGAATGTTAAAACATACATAAATATTTTTTTTATTGTTCTATAAACATACTTTAGATTTAATTACCAAAACCAAACAATAAATACAAAATCAAACACACCTACATATTTTTAAGTTTTAAAACTGCTTATACAGCATTATTATATCACATATTTGGACTATTTTATTGTTACAGTTAATTTTCTTTATTTTAGTTCATTGGCCATTGGTTCATTCACTTTTGCAATGTTTTTAAGTTTCTTTAACACATTTATTTATTTTGCTTACATAGCATTTAATGTCTACTAGTAACCGACCTACATTACAATTAATTTATATCAGCATTTATCAATAGCATTTTTTAATTAATTATGTTAAGAAATTATGTATATAAAGACAGCCAGAAATAAAGAAATTCAGTCGTCTTTTGTAGTGACTAAACTAAGAGTTTTAATTACTATCTAGGCGGCTTCCTTCAAGTTCATGTGCTTGGAAGGAAATTAATTTGGATACTAAGTGTCAGTTCAAATTTATGTGTTTGGATTGAATCGCACTAGATCCTACTATCATAACACTATTTTTATGGCACTTAGATGTTATTGCACAATGTCACTAACTTTTTCTTCCATTGGAATTTTAATTTGGTGGCCATCTGTTATGATCCCTGTTAGGCGGCGCTAGAGGGGACCTTCCGGTTAGCTAGTGGTCTCGGGTCTACGGTTCTCAACCCTTCCTCTTTTCTAGACCATCAGGGCAAATATGAGTTGAACTTTACAAGACAAAAAAACATACATTTACACACAATAAACCTGCTTTGACATGGGAGTATTGTTGCTCTACTCCCACATTTTGCCCTCCCAATCATGGTTTCCACATCTACCCGCTTCAAATATTATTTGAAGCCCCACATCACACACATACACTCACCTTATAACCTTTAGGATTCCTCCCTGTTTACCAACAAATTCACACATATTTTCTTTTAAATAACAACTACATTAAAACATTTTTTTCGATCGTTCCCAACACCTCACTTTCCCGCCCCTGCCGACCGAGAGGGCCACCTACCCATAACGTAGGGAGCACGTACACCCCATAGTCCGGATTATAGGGGGTTAGTAGACTTGGGAAACCGGCTACATTAGAACATCAGCCGGTTTAACAGTTAAAAGCAATTAAAGTATCTAACTTAACTACAGTAAAACTAAACAATACAAATACTAAATCACAGAAACTAAGTCTGGCAACTATTTTATAAACTAAGAACGTAGGATAGAGTTTCTTATGACATGCAAGGGTTCACACAAAGAAATCGTGTTGTATAATTTATTATAATCAGCACATAAACTTCGGAGAGGATTATTTATTTCATAGTTCGTTTTTGCTAATGTTAGTTTAAGTGGTATATAATAACGCGTATTTTGCGAGGGGACATTGAATTTTATTTCACCAGTTAAAAACTCAGAATCAATTTGACCACGCAAAAGTTTCATGAAAAAAATTTATCTTAGCATTAATCTCCTTTTCTCTAGTGTAGGAAGATCGATAAGTTGAAGCCTATTCTCATAAGGTGGGAGAAGTTCATTTGAATTCCATCCTAAACCTCTCATAGCAAACAAAAGAAATTGAACCTGTACAGACTCTATATTTTTTGAACATATTTTATAAAAAGGACTCCAAAGTACGCAGCCATATTCTAAAGTAGGTCGAACAAGGCGGATAAATAAGCGTTTGGTCACATAAGGATTGTCGAATTCCTTTGACCAACGTTTTATAAATCCTAGTAAAGATTTTGCTTTATTAATACAAGACTCAATATGTAAATTAAAACGTAATTTATTATCTAATATGACACCAAGATCAAGAAACGAGTCAACATTATCCAATTTGTAAGAACCAATGAAATATTTGTAACATTTAGAATTTTTAGTGTTGTATAAACTTCTAGCTTTTGTATAATTAGTAAGGTTTATGGTAGAAGTGATTTTTTTAAATTTTTTTAAATAACCTTCTTTTTATGTTACGTAAGCGCCTAAGTCCAAACTACCTTCAAAACACCAATTTATATTGGACAATGTAGAACGCAACAGATCAACGTTGCCAAAGTTTAACTTACGCGACTTATTTTGAGATGAAGTATGTACTGTTTGAATGTTACTAAGTTCAATGGTTACCATAAGAGTAGGATGATACATATCCTCTGGCTTTGAGAAAGGAGGGCATCTGCACACAGAAGAAGTTAACGATGAAGAAAAAATTAAATCTAATAATTTACCTTTCGCATTATAGATAGAATTTATTTGATAAAGACATTGCTCAAATATGATTTCCCAAAAAGATGACATCTCAGTAGAAAGTTCTGTAGAAGATACTGGTACATAATCTACAGTATCAAGACATGGATTTCTTTATTCTAATTTTGTATCTTGCCTTTGTAGGCTATTATCCCTACATGGACTTTCTAACACCAGACCTAAGGCAATCAAAAAAGCTAATGTCATCAATATTATTCCCGTCGAGGCTATAAAGGGGACCTAAAACGTATTTAGTCGAATAGCTTCTTCTTTACAAAATTCTTACCCTAAGAGAGCTCACTTAAGAAAGATTTTAGTCTGATATTATTTACTACGTCAAAGCCTTTTCTAGCGTTCTTCAGGAAAAATAAGTTACACCTAAAAAACCAGGTGTCCGGCATTAAAAAATTCTAACAATAAAAAATCAAATACTTATAACTAGAACAAACACACAGACAACACATTAACACAGAAAAAATATTTTTTTTATAACCGCCACGGAATTTCTCTCTCAGATCTTAGCAACGATCGATGTTATTATAGTGGGTTACATCTTTCCAATGTCATTCTCTTATCCTTTACCCTTTTTAATGGTGTGATAAAGTGGGTGTTCAGGATGATTTCGTCAACAGAATAAATTAATAATAACAGAATAAATTAATTGTTGGCGGTTTGCTGGTCAACTTGGCACAAAGGCACTTGGTCCTCAATTCCCGACCCAAAAGAAATCACTGACCCCCCTTTCGCTGTACTTGAGGCCAGTGGAAATTGTGGTTTGATGATGAACCTACAGCGAATTCCATCGCTGACTCACAATAAAACCTCTACACGAACTTAAATAACACTTACTTTAATCTCTTGCCCCGTTTTTTTTTTGTTTTAAAATTTTAACCACATATGTCCTTTTTAATTTGTTTGGAATTTGAACAGACTTATTTTAAAATTCACCAACGAAACTTGCCAACAATAAAACAAATTGTATTTACTTAGTTTTCCGCGTTTTGCTTTATATACCGGTTTCCACTTTCCTCTATTTTTCCTAATTTTTCACGACATTTTAAAACTCATATAAATGGCTTCAGCTACATTTAGTTTACTACATATCAAGGAATATAGCCATTAAAATGCAGATGTACAGGGCGGCCATTTTAGCTCTCGCTAACCCACTGAACATACCCCAGAGAGAGGTTGCCTGAAATGAAATTACCTGAAAAGAAAGAGGTTGCCTGGAAAGAATGAGGTTGCATGAAAAGAAGAGAGAAGAAAGAATATTAATATTTTAATGAAATCAACATTTTTACAATGTATTTTGTTTTGTTTTTTTTTTGTTAATACCTTGCTTTTATGTTCATCTAATTTTCACTAAAGGGGAAAACAAGCAGTTTAAGTTTAGTGTCTACTTACTACATTGGGTACAGGATTCCACTCAGAGTTCGGCCACGATCTGCATTGTTTGACCTTTTCTGAAAATACAAGAAAAGAAACGTTATAAAAAGGTTCTGCAGTGTGTTCGGAATGTAATTACAACGCTACCCCCACGAACTTGAACATTTTACTTACACATTAAAAAGAGCCGCCTCCAGATCCAGATAAAAAATCTTCATCAGCCGCCAGATATTGCCCACATAAAAACTGTATGAAAAGAAAGAGGTTGCCTGAAATGAAATTACCTGAAAAGGAAGAGGTTGCCTGAAAAGTAGAGAGAAGAAAGAATATTTAATAATTTAATGAAATCAAAATTTTTACAATGTATATATTGTTTTGTTTTTTTTGTTAACACCTTGCATAAAGGCACTTGGTCCTCAATTCCCGACCCAAAAGAAATCACTGACCCCCCTTTCGCTGTACTTGAGGCCAGTGGAAATTGTGGTTTGATGATGAACCTACAGCGAATTCCATCGCTGACTCACAATAAAACCTCTACACGAACTTAAATAACACTTACTTTAATCTCTTGCCCCGTTTTTTTTGTTTTAAAATTTTAACCACATATGTCCTTTTTTAATTTGTTTGGAATTTGGACAGACTTATTTTAAAATTCACCAACGAAACTTGCCAACAATAAAACAAATTGTATTTACTTAGTTTTCCGCGTTTTGCTTTATATACCGGTTTCCACTTTCCTCTATTTTTCCTAATTTTTCACGACATTTTAAAACACATATAAATGGCTTCAGCTACATTTAGTTTACTACATATCAAGGAATATAGCCATTAAAATGCAGATGTACAGGGCGGCCATTTTAGCTCTCGCTAACCCACTGAACATACCCCAGAGAGAGGTTGCCTGAAATGAAATTACCTGTAAAAAAAGAGGTTGCCTGGAAAGAATGAGGTTGCATGAAAAGAAGAGAGAAGAAATAATATTAATATTTTAATGAAATCAACATTTTTACAATGTATTTTGTTTTGTTTTGTTCATCTAATTTTCACTAAAGGGGAAAACAAGCAGTTTAAGTTTAGTGTCTACTTACTACATTGGGTACAGGATTCCACTCAGAGTTCGGCCACGATCTGCATTGTTTGACCTTTTCTGAAAATACAAGAAAAGAAACGTTATGAAAAGGTTCTGCAGTGTGTTCGGAATGTAATTACAACGCTACCCCCACGAACTTGAACATTTTACTTACACATTAAAAAGAGCCGCCTCCAGATCCAGATAAAAAATCTTCATCAGCCGCCAGATATTGTCCAAATAAAAACTGTATGAAAAGAAAGAGGTTGCCTGAAATGAAATTACCTGAAAAGGAAAGGTTGCCTGAAAAGTAGAGAGAAGAAAGAATATTTAATAATTTAATTAAATCAAAATTTTTTACAATGTATTTTGTTTTTTTTTTTTTTTTTGTTAACACCTTGCTTTTTATGTTCACTAAGATTCATTTGTTAAACAAAAGCATGAATAAACTTGTAGAATTGAAATTGAAAGCGATGAGATAGAGAGGTAAGTGAAGGGGTCGAATATGGGGCACCCTGTAAATAGGGATGTCATGGCGGGAGGTGAGTTCGATATAAATGTTAGGGCTATATAGCCCTTTTTCTTGTGTGTTTGACATATTTCAGGTTCTTCACAACACAAATAAACCTATTCAGTTGGAATAAGACAGGTATGATTTCTTTTCTTTCGTCAACCGAAATGTCCTAGAGTGGTAAGAAGCACACCTCATCCGACGAGCCATAGCCGTCGGTTTGGTTTCTTAATAAAAACCTGGTTGGTACAAAATGGCGCCCAACGTTTCAATAGTATTTATGGAATAGATTAGATTATCTAGTTATTTAGATTAGTTTATAATTACCAATATTTTTCGATTTCTCAAGATTAACCGGCCTCTTTCGTGGAGACCCATCTAACAGAGCCATGGCGGGCTCGGAGATGCGCCGCTAGACGAATGGGAATGGCAAAGCTTTGGAGAATTTGGGGTTTGTTGGCATTTCCTCCTTAGGGTTTTTTTTTCAAATTTAGTTTTTACCCAAAATTAGAGTAGATTTAAAGATCGGACATTCAAGTGAGTTACATTGGTCTGCGACGTTTTTGGCTCCAGACCAGGGTCGTATTACAATGGCACATCTCCAGGGATGTCTGTTTCCGCTTATTAATCCATTTTTCATTAATTTTTGTTTTGACAGTAACCCGAACTCGCCAAAACCTTGTATTGAAAATGTTGAACACTTTAATTGAAATACTTCTAATGCAACAGGAATTTGACTTTCACTTACCGTTGTTTTTATCTATTGTCCCACCACCCAACTACGAGAATATCAGTTTTATTACCGTGAATAATTTTACTCCAAGGTAGAATTTTTATGATAATTTGATTTCGAAAGTGTCTGGAAAGAGAAGAAGGGTGAAAAAATTTAATTACATTGCATTACATTGCATTACATTGCATTACATTGAATTTGATTCGTTTTTTAGTTAATAATCGACATCATTGCTAGTCATCATTATTATTGTTTTTAGATTATTCTCGAAGTAGCACCTGAATGATTTTAAAATACTTTGAAATTTCACTTTGTATTTTTTCAAATACACATATTGACTTACTTCTTTTCTAATTGCCTTGCAATTAATTTTTAGTAATTATTTTTATGGAATCTGTTAAAAGAAATCGTATTATTATTACCAGATCGGCCAGTGCAGTAGGTAGTCCTATCATAGGGCAAAGTGGGACAGTACTCACCACCTCAGCTGTTACTGTTAGCAATGTCACTAATTCAGCCCACAGCATTCTAACTTCCACATCTAATGTTATGACAGCCGCTCATAATGTACCCCTTACCGTCCATAGAATAAACCAGCAGCTTCCGCCTTATCATCAGCTGCGCCACAAATTCCCTCCGCCATACAAGAAGCCTCAAACTCTTTCAATACCTCATTTTGGTCGCATGGAAGCGTTGCATTGCCAAGATACAGTGTCTTGACAGGGCTGCAACAACTGCAGATAAAGCCTTGGGTTCCGCCAGCAGATCTAGTAGCCATTGCAAGTGTCAAAGAGATCATTAACTCGGTCATCGCCTTGTCACAACCGTCAGAAAGAAGAAGAGAGGTTGAGAGCTTTATACCACGTATTGCCGAAGCCAACAGGCGTTCTTTGTCTTCTTCTTTGTTTGGTGGGTAACGATCCAGGAAACAATTTATTTCCACCATCCCACTTGACGGTGCCAGCAGCGACACATGCACAGGACCACTTCTCGTTGGAGTCAGCCATCGTCAATTCAGCAGCGTTGGCATCAGGCGAACAATCGCATGTAACCATGGGACATCCACCACCATTGACACAACAATCGAATTTTGGTTATCCTCCAGTTCCGAAGGCAAACCCACAACAACCAATAACTACATTTAACCAGCCACCACCAAATCTTGCAGTACCTCCGCCAAATTTCGCATTGCCTTCGGCACGGAGTATGGAGTCTTCAGAAAGTTTACCGAACAACTATAATCTTCGGTAGCCAGGAAATTTCCGTTCAGAGCCTTCGGGACGGTTCAATCTGGAGAAGTGGGGAGTGCATATTGACGGTACGGCAAGACTATGAATGGCCGGAAATTCATTTTCCGTGTAGGAGAGCTTATGAGAGACTATAATTGTCCCGAGGGGGAGTTTGTAACCAATTTTCACAAGCTGTTAAGCCAACTATCATTATATTGGTACTCTTGATCCAATAACACAGATTTGAAAACGAGTTTCAAATTCAAATGCAGATCCTTAACCGGCGACAGTTACCGGAAAATACCTTTGATGAGTACTATAATGCCGTTCTTAAACTCGTACCCAGCCAGAGACGAATTATAAATAGAAAGAGATGTTTGAAACCATGATAGAAAATCTTGAGCCAGCCCTTGCCCAAATGATATTTTCGGCGCATATTCCAGAGAGCTTATTTCCGATCCATAGGCAGCAGAGTTATGCCATGCCCCAGCGGGTACATGAGATTAATTGGCAACAAAATGAAGAATTTTCAGAGGAAGTGGAAGTAGATGCAATAGTCGTTACATCTAGATATAAATACTAGACTGTGGAGCGTTGGGACATAGCTGGATGGAGTGTAGAGTAGATTTTTTGTAGCAAATGTGGCCAAGAGGGATGTTACTGTTCCAAATAGAACTAGTACTACAAGAACCAACCTCATTCTGTGCAGGTAAGGTAAACCCCAATCTAAGCAAAGAAAATACAAATAGGTTAACTTTTAGCGATAAGATAAAAACTTAAAAAAATGAATGTTAGCAATTTGATGGCAGGGTCAGATTCAAAAGTAAAGTTGAGGGAGCTTAAACTGCTCCATATCAGAATCAAAGAATACAATGAAGCCAGGGCAAGAATCTTCGGAGAAGTTTCGAATAAATTAAATAAGGTTCGGGAGAGGTATAAGAGGAGAAAACGTATACGGAGAGAGATCTCCTCAGCAACCCTGTATGAAGGTGATGATACCCGGTTATATACGAAATTGTTTATTAATGGGGAGGAAGTAGAGGATTTATTGGATAGCGGAGCAATAGTTTCTTGCTTGGGAAAGAACTGCCTCAACTTTGTTAAAAGAGCAGGACTAACAATCGGTCAGATCCATTTATCAAAACGGCTGATGACAGTCCTCACAAGATAGTGGGAAGGGTGACAATTTATGTCCTTTTTAACAGGCAAAACCCATTCGGTGACTATCTACCTGCTGCCATCGCTGAGTCGTGAATTGCTTTTAGGCGTAGATTTCATGGGAAGTTTCCATTTGTTTGCTCAGGTTGACGGTTTGTCCTTCCATCAAAAGAGCCTCGGTGATGCCGCGGAGATCAATGATGTAAAAACATCATGTATTGTCCGATGAGCAACGCATTCGTTTGCAATTGGTGAAGTACAATTTCCTATGCGGAAGGAGTCATCCGGTTACTCTAGTTCGCAAGGGGGACAGGAACCGTTCGTGCCTGGACGCTCGAAAACTCAACGCACTGACGGTCAAGGCTGAGCAATACCTACTTTATATCCAGTGTCGTCCTGAAGGGTGCTTTTTGACAAATTCCATTGGGTCTTTCAAGTAGAGAAAAAACTGCCATCACGGTGCCCGGACGACCACTTTTTGCACTACGTGACAGAGTTTTCATCTACTTGTATGATCTTTTGGTAATTTCGCCAGAAGTCAACACTCACACTATAAATTTGACTAAGTCGAAATTCTGCTTCAAGGAACTTAAGTACTTAGGTTACATACGTGGAGGTGGAAAATTAAAACCTGATCCGGCAGATTAGCTAGGTGGAGTTTACAGCTGCAAACTTTCACCTTTGATATAGAGCACCGAAAAGGAGCCCAAAGCCTCATCCCAGATACGCTGTCAAGGTATGACATAGAAGAGGTATTAATAGAAATAAAGTCTTTAATTGATTTAGATTCGTCCGCCTTCAAATCGGACGAATACGCCGAGCTTATAGCAAACACTGAACGGAATTCATCGCAGCTTCCTGACTTTAAAGTGATATCCTTGAGGTTTTCAAAGCAGGCAGTTATATTAAATTAACCAACAATTGTTTCATAGAGTCATATTTTCAAGCTAGTCTCCACGGCAGTTTCGTAATATTTAAAGAAAAAGATCTCACAGATAGATAGTCCAACTAGCATCTGATCTATCATATCTGGGATGAATATTGCACTATCCCTTACTTGAAAATCTATCAATCTATCAACGATCGACGTTATTATAGTGGGTTACCTCTTTTCAATGTTATTCTCTTATCCTTTACCCTTTTTAATGGTGTGATAAAGTGGGTGTTCGGGAGGATTTCGCCACCAGACTAACCAGAATAAATTAATTGTTGGCGGTTTGCTGGTCAACTCGGCACAAAGGCACTTGGTCCATAATTTGGACAGACTTATTTTTAAATTCACGAACGAAACTTGCCAACAATAGAACAAAATTTATTTATTTAGGTTTCCGGTTTTTGCGTTATATACCGGTTCCCATTTTCCTCTATTTTGCCTAATTTTTCACTACATTTTAAAACACATATAAATAGCTTCAGCTACATTTAGTTTACTACATATCAAGGAATATAGCCATTAAAATTCAGATGTACTGAGCGGTCATTTTAGCTCTCGCTAACCCACTGAACATACCCCACAACTTAGCAACAAACTTGGTAAAAATCTTAAAGTTTATATCGGGAGCCACACCAACACCGCCCAGTCCAACGTTGGAGGAGCAGATTTGCGGCATTGTCAGTCTGGCAAGCCCCTGATATAATTCCAATAGACATTGAACTTTTAATTTGGACGGACGACAGTTAGTCAGATAAATTCCATGGACATTGCATAGAAAAAAGTTAAAGTTAGTAAAAGGGGAAACAAGGAGTTTAGTGTCTACTTACCACATTGGGTACAGAATTCCACTCAGGGTTCGTCGACGATCTGCATTGTTTGACTTTTTCTGAAAATACAAGAAAAGAAACGTTATAAAAAGGTTCTGCAGTGTGTTCGGAATGTAATTACAACGCTACTACCACAAACTTAAACATTTTACTTTCACATTGAGATAAAGATGCATATAAAGAATCTTCATCACTTTTATATTGGTTTCGATATTTGCAATATTTTCCTTCTTTTCTTTTTCTTTCGTTTTTCTTTCCATTTGCATGTACTCACCGACAACGCTTGTTGCCATTCACAAAAGATTATAGATTTGCCATTGATTGATTGATAAATTTGTTTGCGTATTTGAGCTTTGGAAGGTAGAACATGTAGTACAGGGCATGTCATCTGTCGTGACATGACTTAGTTGAATCTTTGCCTCTGAAGCTCTATGTGATATAATTGATGTCGTATGACTTCTTGGTAGAGTGTCTGCGTTTCCAATGTGCAACTTTGTGTGAGGTTTTTTCTTACAATATAAACATCAGTGCGCACTGAAACATTGCCTTTTGTTATGTCCACTCTTTAAGCAGTTATTACATAACCTCTTTTCTCTTGCGAACTCTTTTCTCTGACTAACAGTCATATTATTAAATCTCATACAATTTTTCAAAATATGGTTTTTATAACACATGACACATCTATTTGATTGTGTCGAATGAGCATTTTGATGCGATATATGATCACTTCTAAATTAAGTTTAAGCTGTTTGACTTCTGAGACCATCTATTCGCTCTAGATCCCGATGTATGTTCTTAAGAAAATCTTCCATTTGCGAACATTTGGCTAGCTCTGAATGCGATTCGAGCGATTGTTCCCATAGTGTCAGTGTATCAACCGGAAGCTTAGTTGAACATAAGTATATTAAAATTGGATCCCATCGATCCACTTTTATACTATGAGCTCTCAATATAGCCAAGCAGTCACTTACTGTCGATTGTATTCTTTTAATATCTTTGCTAGATTCAACCGTTGCTGCAGAAAGATTGAATAATATCTTCAGTTGGTTATCAACTAGTACCCTAACATTTTCGTATCGCACCAATAATGCTTTCCATGCTAACGAAAAATTTTGATCAGATAAAGGGTACCGATCTACAATTCTACCAGCCTCACCCTTTGGTTTGTTACGCAAATGATAGAGTTTTTGCGCAGGTGTGAGTCTGGGATGACTTCCATAAATAGCCGTAAACACAAGGTGGCACTTTAATACAAATCTCAGACATATCAAACGTTGTACCCGGAGAATAAATAGCTGAGCTGTGAAACAACGATGGATTTGTAACTTCGCCTCTAGCGGTATTACTTTTGCTCTGCGCCTTTCGATTTTTTAACATTTCCAATATAGTAGCTTTAGTCACTTGGTAATTATCTCTGGCGAAAGCAAACATATCTCTAGGCCTCAATTTGTAATCTTCATCTCCCTCATTAAAATAGACACTTTCAAATTCACTGCGTACATTGTGCCAATCTTCATCCATTGATTCTAATTTTGTTTCTATTAAAGAATCAGACAGCTCGTTCTCTGCTGTGCTTCCTATTTTAATGCAAGTTTGCATTAGGTTTTCGGTCTCGTATTCAAATCTAGCATACAATTTAGAAACCATTTTGTAATATTAATTTAAATTAGTTATTTAGTTTATTTTATTAGTTTTTATTTGTTGATATTTAGTTTTTGATATTTATTGATATTTTTAAAATTATTTTTATTATTCATAAATTTTATTATTTTTGAATATACAAACACTTCAGCTATCAATTTATTTATAAATTTAGAAATAAATGAAGTTATATAAAATTTCAAATGTGTTTGTTGCGTATATCCTTCTTTTCTCAATAAACGTTTATTTTTTAAACCTTAAGAGAACTATTAACAATGTTGTTAATTTTTAGATATATGTATGTTGTTGATTTATGTGCTTTTTTAATTAAGATTTATTTTTGTTTATTTGTTCCTATTAATTTTATTTTTTGTTACATTCGATTGTTTGTTTATTATTGTGGTATTCAATATATGTACTAGCTTTATACGTTACGTTACTCGTCGCAGTAACTGCACAACTCTTTTTCACCACACCAGCTGATCGATAGTCGAACAATGGTAAATGACAGATCGATCAAAGAAGCAATGAAACAGATGACAAAGCTTGTTATATTTGTTGTTCACGAATGTAAGCAAAACAAATGTAACAAAAAATTTGTGTTAAGCAACAACAAACATACATATAAAAGAGTTTTTCTCTTTAAAATGACTCTGTTGATTATTTGGCAACAGAACAAAAGCGAAGACGACAAATAAAAATTGTAAAAAAGAATTGTTTTATTTTGTAGGGGTTTTAAATCTACAGAGTAGATTTAGATCCGAAAGTATATTATTTGTTGCACAAAGACGAACAACAAAACTATGAATATTAGACAACACAACAAGTATACAGGCGATACTTACGTGTTGCTAACAAGGCACTGGTGGTTAAGGCTTCAATAAAACACTTGTTATGTATTTATTTGTTAAAACAATTCTTTTTGTTGTGGCAAAGTTTAGCTTCTTGCTTCTTCTAGCTTAGCGATCAATCTCTCTTGATGACAGCAGGTAATTGTTGAGGTATCGATTGTTGGCCTATCGGTGTAATAAACCAGGAACCTCTACACCTGGTATAATTTCCAAAGACATTGTACTCTTAACTTGGACGGCAGAACGGATGACGACAAATCAGTTAAATTCGGTGAATATTGCATAGAAAGAAAAGAGAAAACGAGTAAAAGTTAGTAGAAGGGAAACAAGCAGTTAAGTGTTTACTTACTACATTGGGCACAAGATTCCTCTCGCGGTTGAGCTCAAGTGTTACGAATTTGTACGGCCCCGATCTGCATTGTTTGACCTTTCGTTAATATACAAAAATAAAAAAGAAACGTTATAAAAAGGTTCTACAGTGTGTTCGGAACGTAATTACAACGCTACCACCAAAAACTTGAATATTTTACTTACACATTGGGAAGAGCCGCCTCCAGATCAAGCCTAAATAATCTTTATCAGCCGCCAGATATAACCTGAAAATAAAGAGGTTGCCTGGAAAGAAGAGAGAATAAAGAATATTAATGGTTTAATGAAACCAAGAAAACCATTTTTTACAATGTATTTTGTTTTGATCTCTTGTTAATAACTTGTTTTTGATGTGTATCTAATTTTCACTAAGACTCATTTTTTAAATTGATAGCGATGTATTCGGCTTAAAACTTTTTAAAAGGGTGGTAGGAATGAGTTAGAGGGGTAAGTGAAGGGATCGAATATGGGGCACCCTGTGAATAGGGGTGTCATGGCGAGAGGTAATCTCGGTGGGTGGACAGTTTCCCTAACCGGATAGCCGCTAGAGGAAACCTGATTCGAATTAGGAGATATTTGTCTAAATCAAAATGTTAAAGGTGAGTTCGTTGCTTCAAGTAAATCACTTTCGTTGCCTTCATCAATCTGTTCAATATTGCATTTTTCCTTAAACCCCAAAGAACACATTTATAAATAATCTTAATGTTTATTAATATAAAGTATCGGTAAGTACTTAATACTAAAGAACAAACGTTTTTATAAAAACAACAATAAAGGGACCATTTTGCAACAGCAATATACTATGTTATCCCGAACAAATAAGCCAACACTGTTCTATTAATAGACAAGGCATGGTCGACGAAGGGGTTTTTGTTGTAACAGACAAAACCAACTTACATGGTTATGCCACTTCGTTCATGTAAAACGAAAGTATAACAAGTGGAGAAAGATGAAAATGTTTATAAGTGCGATTGTAAGATTTGGAAGGCTTTTCAAAAGAATTTTAGTTTTATATCATCATTGGAAATAACTTTATTTGGTTTTATCATAGTAAGTAGTTTTATATCTTTACTTGCAATCTATTGAATTTTAAAATATCATATTTATCATCATACTATTTCTAAATGTGTTGCTTAAGTAAGAATTGTATCCACTTATTTGGAATGGGATCATGTGCAGTTTGTTGCACCACTTATCGTACTGTACATTCGTTGAAAGCCGTTCACTACTTCGTATTGCAACATTGAATTGGCGCCTTGCCTGTCGTTTGAGTGTTCGTGCCCAACATTTTAAATATTACAAGATCGTGTGTTATTAGTAATAGAAAAAAGTTAAAGTTAGTAAAAGGGGAAACAAGGAGTTTAGTGTCTACATACCACATTGGGTACAGAATTCCACTCAGGTTTCGTCGACGATCTGCATTGTTTGACTTTTTCTGAAAATACAAGAAAAGAAACGTTACAAAAAGGTTCTGCAGTGTGTTCGGAATGTAATTACAACGCTACTACCACAAACTTAAACATTTTACTTTCACATTGAGATAAAGATGCATATAAAGAATCTTCATCACTTTTATATTGGTTTCGATATTTGCAATATTTTCCTTCTTTTCTTTTTCTTCCGTTTTTCTTTCCATTTGCATGTACTCACCGACAACGCTTGTTGCCATTCACAAAAGATTATAGATTTGCCATTGATTGATTGATAAATTTGTTTGCGTATTTGAGCTTTGGAAGGTAGAACTTGTAGTACAGGGCATGTCATCTGTCGTGACATGACTTAGTTGAATCTTTGCCTCTGAAGCTCTATGTGATATAATTTTTGTCGTATGACTTCTTGGTAGAGTGTCTGCGTTTCCAATGTGCAACTTTGTGTGAGGTTTTTTCTTACAATATAAACATCAGTGCGCACTGAAACATTCCCTTTTGTTATGTCCACTCTTTAAGCAGTTATTACATAACCTCTTTTCTCTTGCGAACTCTTTTCTCTGACTAACAGTCATATTATTAAATCTCATACAATTTTTCAAAATATGGTTTTTATAACACATGACACATCTATTTGATTGTGTCGAATGAGCATTTTGATGCGATATATGATCACTTCTAAATTAAGTTTAAGCTGTTTGACTTCTGAGACCATCTATTCGCTCTAGATCCCGATGTATGTTCTTAAGAAAATCTTCCATTTGCGAACATTTGGCTAGCTCTGAATGCGATTCGAGCGATTGTTCCCATAGTGTCAGTGTATCAACCGGAAGCTTAGTTGAACATAAGTATATTAAAATTGGATCCCATCGATCCACTTTTATACTATGAGCTCTCAATATAGCCAAGCAGTCACTTACTGTCGATTGTATTCTTTTAATATCTTTGCTAGATTCAACCGTTGCTGCAGAAAGATTGAATAATATCTTCAGTTGGTTATCAACTAGTACCCTAACATTTTCGTATCGCACCAATAATGCTTTCCATGCTAACGAAAAATTTTGATCAGATAAAGGGTACCGATCTACAATTCTACCAGCCTCACCCTTTGGTTTGTTACGCAAATGATAGAGTTTTTGCGCAGGTGTGAGTCTGGGATGATTTCCATAAATAGCCGTAAACACAAGGTGGCACTTTAATACAAATCTCAGACATATCAAACGTTGTACCCGGAGAATAAATAGCTGAGCTGTGAAACAACGATGGATTTGTAACTTCGCCTCTAGCGGTATTACTTTTGCTCTGCGCCTTTCGATTTTTTAATATTTCCAATATAGTAGCTTTAGTCACTTGGTAATTATCTCTGGCGAAAGCAAACATATCTCTAGGCCTCAATTTGTAATCTTCATCTCCCTCATTAAAATAGACACTTTCAAATTCACTGCGTACATTGTGCCAATCTTCATCCATTGATTCTAATTTTGTTTCTATTAAAGAATCAGACAGCTCGTTCTCTGCTGTGCTTCCTATTTTAATGCAAGTTTGCATTAGGTTTTCGGTCTCGTATTCAAATCTAGCATACAATTTAGAAACCATTTTGTAATATTAATTTAAATTAGTTATTTAGTTTATTTTACTAGTTTTTATTTGTTGATATTTAGTTTTTGATATTTATTGATATTTTTAAAATTATTTTTATTATTCATAAATTTTATTATTTTTGAATATACAAACACTTCAACTATCAATTTATTTATAAATTTAGAAATAAATGAAGTTATATAAAATTTCAAATGTGTTTGTTGCGTATATCCTTCTTTTCTCAATAAACGTTTATTTTTTAAACCTTAAGAGAACTATTAACAATGTTGTTAATTTTTAGATATATGTATGTTGTTGATTTATGTGCTTTTTTAATTAAGATTTATTTTTATTTATTTGTTCCTATTAATTTTATTTTTTGTTACATTCGATTGTTTGTTTATTATTGTGGTATTCAATATATGTACTAGCTTTATACGTTACGTTACTCGTCGCAGTAACTGCACAACTCTTTTTCACCACACCAGCTGATCGATGGTCGAACAATGGTAAATGACAGATCGATCAAAGAAGCAATGAAACAGATGACAAAGCTTGTTATATTTGTTGTTCACGAATGTAAGCAAAACAAATGTAACAAAAAATGATGCAGCAAAGTTATTATGGTGTTAGTGTATATTAATTTGTGTTAAGCAACAACAAACATACATATAAAAGACTTTTTCTCTTTAAAATGACTCTGTTGATTATTTGGCAACAGAACAAAAGCGAAGACGACAAATAAAAATTGTAAAAATGAATTGTTTTATTTTGTAGGGGTTCTAAATCTACAGAGTAGATTTAGATCCGAAAGTATATTATTTGTTGCACAAAGACGAACAACAAAACTATGAATATTAGACAACACAACAAGTATACAGGCGATACTTACGTGTTGCTAACAAGGCACTGGTGGTTAAGGCTTCAATAAAACACTTGTTATGTATTTATTTGTTAAAACAATTCTTTTTGTTGTGGCAAAGTTTAGCTTCTTGCTTCTTCTAGCTTAGCGATCAATCTCTCTTGATGACAGCAGGTAATTGTTGAGGTATCGATTGTTGGCCTATCGGTGTAATAAACCAGGAACCTCTACACCTGGTATAATTCCCAAAGACATTGTACTCTTAACTTGGACGGCAGAACGGATGACGACAAATCAGTTAAATTCGGTGAATATTGCATAGAAAGAAAAGAGAAAACGAGTAAAAGTTAGTAGAAGGGAAACAAGCAGTTAAGTGTTTACTTACTACATTGGGCACAAGATTCCTCTCGCGGTTGAGCTCAAGTGTTACGAATTTGTACGGCCCCGATCTGCATTGTTTGACCTTTCGTTAATATACAAAAATAAAAAAGAAACGTTATAAAAAGGTTCTACAGTGTGTTCGGAATGTAATTACAACGCTACCACCAAAAACTTGAATATTTTACTTACACATTGGGAAGAGCCGCCTCCAGATCAAGCCTAAATAATCTTTATCAGCCGCCAGATATAACCTGAAAATAAAGAGGTTGCCTGGAAAGAAGAGAGAATAAAGAATATTAATGGTTTAATGAAACCAAGAAAACCATTTTTTACAATGTATTTTGTTTTGATCTCTTGTTAATAACTTGTTTTTGATGTGTATCTAATTTTCACTAAGACTCATTTTTTAAATTGATAGCGATGTATTCGGCTTAAAACTCTTTAAAAGGGTGGTAGGAATGAGTTAGAGGGGTAAGTGAAGGGATCGAATATGGGGCACCCTGTGAATAGGGGTGTCATGGCGAGAGGTAATCTCGGTGGGTGGACAGTTTCCCTAACCGGATAGCCGCTAGAGGAAACCTGATTCGAATTAAGAGATATTTGTCTAAATCAAAATGTTAAAGGTGAGTTCGTTGCTTCAAGTAAATCACTTTCGTTGCCTTCATCAATCTGTTCAATATTGCATTTTTCCTTAAACCCCAAAGAACACATTTATAAATAATCTTAATGTTTATTAATATAAAGTATCGGTAAGTACTTAATACTAAAGAACAAACGTATTTATAAAAACAACAATAAAGGGACCATTTTGCAACAGCAATATACTATGTTATCCCGAACAAATAAGCCAACACTGTTCTATTAATAGACAAGGCATGGTCGACGAAGGGGTTTTTGTTGTAACAGACAAAACCAACTTACATGGTTATGCCACTTCGTTCATGTAAAACGAAAGTATAACAAGTGGAGAAACATGAAAATGTTTATAAGTGCGATAGTAAGATTTGGAAGGCTTTTCAAAAGAATTTTAGTTTTATATCATCATTGGAAATAACTTTATTTGGTTTTATCATAGTAAGTAGTTTTATATCTTTACTTGCAATCTATTGAATTTTAAAATATCATATTTATCATCATACTATTTCTAAATGTGTTGCTTAAGTAAGAATTGTATCCACTTATTTGGAATGGGATCATGTGCAGTTTGTTGCACCACTTATCGTACTGTACATTCGTTGAAAGCCGTTCACTACTTCGTATTGCAACATTGAATTGGCGCCTTGCCTGTCGTTTGAGTGTTCGTGCCCAACATTTTAAATATTACAAGATCGTGTGTTATTAGTAATAGAAAAAAGTTAAAGTTAGTAAAAGGGGAAACAAGGAGTTTAGTGTCTACTTACCACATTGGGTACAGAATTCCACTCAGGGTTCGTCGACGATCTGCATTGTTTGACTTTTTCTGAAAATACAAGAAAAGAAACGTTACAAAAAGGTTCTGCAGTGTGTTCGGAATGTAATTACAACGCTACCACCACAAACTTAAACATTTTACTTTCACATTGAGATAAAGATGCATATAAAGAATCTTCATCACTTTTATATTGGTTTCGATATTTCCAATATTTTCCTTCTTTTCTTTTTCTTCCGTTTTTCTTTCCATTTGCATGTACTCACCGACAACGCTTGTTGCCATTCACAAAATATTATAGATTTGCCATTGATTGATTGATAAATTTGTTTGCGTATTTGAGCTTTGGAAGGTAGAACTTGTAGTACAAGGCATGTCATCTGTCGTGACATGACTTAGTTGAATCTTTGCCTCTGAAGCTCTATGTGATATAATTGATGTCGTATGACTTCTTGGTAGAGTGTCTGCGTTTCCAATGTGCAACTTTGTGTGAGGTTTTTTCTTACAATATAAACATCAGTGCGCACTGAAACATTGCCTTTTGTTATGTCCACTCTTTAAGCAGTTATTACATAACCTCTTTTCTCTTGCGAACTCTTTTCTCTGACTAACAGTCATATTATTAAATCTCATACAATTTTTCAAAATATGGTTTTTATAACACATGATACATCTATTTGATTGTGTCGAATGAGCATTTTGATGCGATATATGATCACTTCTAAATTAAGTTTAAGCTGTTTGACTTCTGAGACCATCTATTCGCTCTAGATCCCGATGTATGTTCTTAAGAAAATCTTCCATTTGCGAACATTTGGCTAGCTCTGAATGCGATTCGAGCGATTGTTCCCATAGTGTCAGTGTATCAACCGGAAGCTTAGTTGAACATAAGTATATTAAAATTGGATCCCATCGATCCACTTTTATACTATGAGCTCTCAATATAGCCAAGCAGTCACTTACTGTCGATTGTATTCTTTTAATATCTTTGCTAGATTCAACCGTTGCTGCAGAAAGATTGAATAATATCTTCAGTTGGTTATCAACTAGTACCCTAACATTTTCGTATCGCACCAATAATGCTTTCCATGCTAACGAAAAATTTTGATCAGATAAAGGGTACCGATCTACAATTCTACCAGCCTCACCCTTTGGTTTGTTACGCAAATGATAGAGTTTTTGCGCAGGTGTGAGTCTGGGATGATTTCCATAAATAGCCGTAAACACAAGGTGGCACTTTAATACAAATCTCAGACATATCAAACGTTGTACCCGGAGAATAAATAGCTGAGCTGTGAAACAACGATGGATTTGTAACTTCGCCTCTAGCGGTATTACTTTTGCTCTGCGCCTTTCGATTTTTTAATATTTCCAATATAGTAGCTTTAGTCACTTGGTAATTATCTCTGGCGAAAGCAAACATATCTCTAGGCCTCAATTTGTAATCTTCATCTCCCTCATTAAAATAGACACTTTCAAATTCACTGCGTACATTGTGCCAATCTTCATCCATTGATTCTAATTTTGTTTCTATTAAAGAATCAGACAGCTCGTTCTCTGCTGTGCTTCCTATTTTAATGCAAGTTTGCATTAGGTTTTCGGTCTCGTATTCAAATCTAGCATACAATTTAGAAACCATTTTGTAATATTAATTTAAATTAGTTATTTAGTTTATTTTATTAGTTTTTATTTGTTGATATTTAGTTTTTGATATTTATTGATATTTTTAAAATTATTTTTATTATTCATAAATTTTATTATTTTTGAATATACAAACACTTCAACTATCAATTTATTTATAAATTTAGAAATAAATGAAGTTATATAAAATTTCAAATGTGTTTGTTGCGTATATCCTTCTTTTCTCAATAAACGTTTATTTTTTAAACCTTAAGAGAACTATTAACAATGTTGTTAATTTTTAGATATATGTATGTTGTTGATTTATGTGCTTTTTTAATTAAGATTTATTTTTATTTATTTGTTCCTATTAATTTTATTTTTTGTTACATTCGATTGTTTGTTTATTATTGTGGTATTCAATATATGTACTAGCTTTATACGTTACGTTACTCGTCGCAGTAACTGCACAACTCTTTTTCACCACACCAGCTGATCGATAGTCGAACAATGGTAAATGACAGATCGATCAAAGAAGCAATGAAACAGATGACAAAGCTTGTTATATTTGTTGTTCACGAATGTAAGCAAAACAAATGTAACAAAAAATGATGCAGCAAAGTTATTATGGTGTTAGTGTATATTAATTTGTGTTAAGCAACAACAAACATACATATAAAAGAGTTTTTCTCTTTAAAATGACTCTGTTGATTATTTGGCAACAGAACAAAAGCGAAGACGACAAATAAAAATTGTAAAAAAGAATTGTTTTATTTTGTAGGGGTTCTAAATCTACAGAGTAGATTTAGATCCGAAAGTATATTATTTGTTGCACAAAGACGAACAACAAAACTATGAATATTAGACAACACAACAAGTATACAGGCGATACTTACGTGTTGCTAACAAGGCACTGGTGGTTAAGGCTTCAATAAAACACTTGTTATGTATTTATTTGTTAAAACAATTCTTTTTGTTGTGGCAAAGTTTAGCTTCTTGCTTCTTCTAGCTTAGCGATCAATCTCTCTTGATGACAGCAGGTAATTGTTGAGGTATCGATTGTTGGCCTATCGGTGTAATAAACCAGGAACCTCTACACCTGGTATAATTCCCAAAGACATTGTACTCTTAACTTGGACGGCAGAACGGATGACGACAAATCAGTTAAATTCGGTGAATATTGCATAGAAAGAAAAGAGAAAACGACTAAAAGTTAGTAGAAGGGAAACAAGCAGTTAAGTGTCTACTTACTACATTGGGCACAAGATTCCTCTCGCGGTTGAGCTCAAGTGTTACGAATTTGTACGGCCCCGATCTGCATTGTTTGACCTTTCGTTAATATACAAAAATAAAAAGAAACGTTATAAAAAGGTTCTACAGTGTGTTCGGAATGTAATTACAACACTACCACCAAAAACTTGAATATTTTACTTACACATTGGGAAGAGCCGCCTCCAGATCAAGCCTAAATAATCTTTATCAGCCGCCAGATATAACCTGAAAATAAAGAGGTTGCCTGGAAAGAAGAGAGAATAAAGAATATTAATGGTTTAATGGAACCAAGCCATTTTTTACAATGTATTTTGTTTTGATCTCTTGTTAATAACTTGTTTTTGATGTGCATCTAATTTTCACTAAGACTCATTTTTTAAATTGATAGCGATGTATTCGGCTTAAAACTCTTTAAAAGGGTGGTAGGAATGAGTTAGAGGGGTAAGTGAAGGGATCGAATATGGGGCACCCTGTGAATAGGGGTGTCATGGCGAGAAGTAATCTCGGTGGGTGGACAGTTTCCCTAACCGGATAGCCGCTAGAGATGTTAAAGGTGAGTTCGTTGCTTCAAGTAAATCACTTTCGTTGCCTTCATCAATCTGTTCAATATTGCATTTTTCCTTAAACCCCAAAGAACACATTTATAAATAATCTTAATGTTTATTAATATAAAGTATCGGTAAGTACTTAATACTAAAGAACAAACGTTTTTATAAAAACAACAATAAAGGGACCATTTGGCAACAGCAATATACTATGTTATCCCGAACAAATAAGCCAACACTGTTCTATTAATAGACAAGGCATGGTCGACGAAGGGGTTTTTGTTGTAACAGACAAAACCAACTTACATGGTTATGCCACTTCGTTCATGTAAAACGAAAGTATAACAAGTGGAGAAAGATGAAAATGTTTATAAGTGCGATTGTAAGATTTGGAAGGCTTTTCAAAAGAATTTTAGTTTTATATCATCATTGGAAATAACTTTATTTGGTTTTATCATAGTAAGTAGTTTTATATCTTTACTTGCAATCTATTGAATTTTATAATATCATATTTATCATCATACTATTTCTAAATGTGTTGCTTAAGTAAGAATTGTATCCACTTATTTGGAATGGGATCATGTGCAGTTTGTTGCACCACTTATCGTACTGTACATTCGTTGAAAGCCGTTCACTACTTCGTATTGCAACATTGAATTGGCGCCTTGCCTGTCGTTTGAGTGTTCGTGCCCAACATTTTAAATATTACAAGATCGTGTGTTATTAGTAATAGAAAAAAGTTAAAGTTAGTAAAAGGGGAAACAAGGAGTTTAGTGTCTACTTACCACATTGGGTACAGAATTCCACTCAGGGTTCGTCGACGATCTGCATTGTTTGACTTTTTCTGAAAATACAAGAAAAGAAACGTTACAAAAAGGTTCTGCAGTGTGTTCGGAATGTAATTACAACGCTACCACCACAAACTTAAACATTTTACTTTCACATTGAGATAAAGATGCATATAAAGAATCTTCATCACTTTTATATTGGTTTCGATATTTCCAATATTTTCCTTCTTTTCTTTTTCTTCCGTTTTTCTTTCCATTTGCATGTACTCACCGACAACGCTTGTTGCCATTCACAAAAGATTATAGATTTGCCATTGATTGATTGATAAATTTGTTTGCGTATTTGAGCTTTGGAAGGTAGAACTTGTAGTACAGGGCATGTCATCTGTCGTGACATGACTTAGTTGAATCTTTGCCTCTGAAGCTCTATGTGATATAATTGATGTCGTATGACTTCTTGGTAGAGTGTCTGCGTTTCCAATGTGCAACTTTGTGTGAGGTTTTTTCTTACAATATAAACATCAGTGCGCACTGAAACATTCCCTTTTGTTATGTCCACTCTTTAAGCAGTTATTACATAACCTCTTTTCTCTTGCGAACTCTTTTCTCTGACTAACAGTCATATTATTAAATCTCATACAATTTTTCAAAATATGGTTTTTATAACACATGACACATCTATTTGATTGTGTCGAATGAGCATTTTGATGCGATATATGATCACTTCTAAATTAAGTTTAAGCTGTTTGACTTCTGAGACCATCTATTCGCTCTAGATCCCGATGTATGTTCTTAAGAAAATCCTCCATTTGCGAACATTTGGCTAGCTCTGAATGCGATTCGAGCGATTGTTCCCATAGGGTCAGTGTATCAACCGGAAGCTTAGTTGAACATAAGTATATTAAAATTGGATCCCATCGATCCACTTTTATACTATGAGCTCTCAATATAGCCAAGCAGTCACTTACTGTCGATTGTATTCTTTTAATATCTTTGCTAGATTCAACCGTTGCTGCAGAAAGATTGAATAATATCTTCAGTTGGTTATCAACTAGTACCCTAACATTTTCGTATCGCACCAATAATGCTTTCCATGCTAATGAAAAATTTTGATCAGATAAAGGGTACCGATCTACAATTCTACCAGCCTCACCCTTTGATTTGTTACGCAAATGATAGAGTTTCTGCGCAGGTGTGAGTCTGGGATGATTTCCATAAATAGCCGTAAAAATATCTCTAAATGTTGGCCATTCTTCATAACTTCCGTAGAAGTCTTGAGTGTCACAAGGTGGCACTTTAATACAAATCTCAGACATATCAAACGTTGTACCCGGAGAATAAATAGCTGAGCTGTGAAACAACGATGGATTTGAAACTTCGCCTCTAGCGGTATTACTTTTGCTCTGCGCCTTTCGATTTTTTAATATTTCCAATATAGTAGCTTTAGTCACTTGGTAATTATCTCTGGCGAAAGCAAACATATCTCTAGGCCTCAATTTGTAATCTTCATCTCCCTCATTAAAATAGACACTTTCAAATTCACTGCGTACATTGTGCCAATCTTCATCCATTGATTCTAATTTTGTTTCTATTAAAGAATCAGACAGCTCGTTCTCTGCTGTGCTTCCTATTTTAATGCAAGTTTGCATTAGGTTTTCGGTCTCGTATTCAAATCTAGCATACAATTTAGAAACCATTTTGTAATATTAATTTAAATTAGTTATTTAGTTTATTTTATTAGTTTTTATTTGTTGATATTTAGTTTTTGATATTTATTGATATTTTTAAAATCATTTTTATTATTCATAAATTTTATTATTTTTGAATATACAAACACTTCAACTATCAATTTATTTATAAATTTAGAAATAAATGAAGTTATATAAAATTTCAAATGTGTTTGTTGCGTATATCCTTCTTTTCTCAATAAACGTTTATTTTTTAAACCTTAAGAGAACTATTAACAATGTTGTTAATTTTTAGATATATGTATGTTGTTGATTTATGTGCTTTTTTAATTAAGATTTATTTTTATTTATTTGTTCCTATTAATTTTATTTTTTGTTACATTCGATTGTTTGTTTATTATTGTGGTATTCAATATATGTACTAGCTTTATACGTTACGTTACTCGTCGCAGTAACTGCACAACTCTTTTTCACCACACCAGCTGATCGATAGTCGAACAATGGTAAATGACAGATCGATCAAAGAAGCAATGAAACAGATGACAAAGCTTGTTATATTTGTTGTTCACGAATGTAAGCAAAACAAATGTAACAAAAAATGATGCAGCAAAGTTATTATGGTGTTAGTGTATATTAATTTGTGTTAAGCAACAACAAACATACATATAAAAGAGTTTTTCTCTTTAAAATGACTCTGTTGATTATTTGGCAACAGAACAAAAGCGAAGACGACAAATAAAAATTGTAAAAAAGAATTGTTTTATTTTGTAGGGGTTCTAAATCTACAGAGTAGATTTAGATCCGAAAGTATATTATTTGTTGCACAAAGACGAACAACAAAACTATGAATATTAGACAACACAACAAGTATACAGGCGATACTTACGTGTTGCTAACAAGGCACTGGTGGTTAAGGCTTCAATAAAACACTTGTTATGTATTTATTTGTTAAAACAATTCTTTTTGTTGTGGCAAAGTTTAGCTTCTTGCTTCTTCTAGCTTAGCGATCAATCTCTCTTGATGACAGCAGGTAATTGTTGAGGTATCGATTGTTGGCCTATCGGTGTAATAAACCAGGAACCTCTACACCTGGTATAATTCCCAAAGACATTGTACTCTTAACTTGGACGGCAGAACGGATGACGACAAATCAGTTAAATTCGGTGAATATTGCATAGAAAGAAAAGAGGAAAACGACTAAAAGTTAGTAGAAGGGAAACAAGCAGTTAAGTGTCTACTTACTACATTGGGCACAAGATTCCTCTCGCGGTTGAGCTCAAGTGTTACGAATTTGTACGGCCCCGATCTGCATTGTTTGACCTTTCGTTAATATACAAAAATAAAAAAGAAACGTTATAAAAAGGTTCTACAGTGTGTTCGGAATGTAATTACAACGCTACCACCAAAAACTTGAATATTTTACTTACACATTGGGAAGAGCCGCCTCCAGATCAAGCCTAAATAATCTTTATCAGCCGCCAGATATAACCTGAAAATAAAGAGGTTGCCTGGAAAGAAGAGAGAATAAAAATTATTAATGGTTTAATGAAACCAAGAAAACCATTTTTTACAATGTATTTTGTTTTGATCTCTTGTTAATAACTTGTTTTTGATGTGTATCTAATTTTCACTAAGACTCATTTTTTAAATTGATAGCGATGTATTCGGCTTAAAACTCTTTAAAAGGGTGGTAGGAATGAGTTAGAGGGGTAAGTGAAGGGATCGAATATGGGGCACCCTGTGAATAGGGGTGTCATGGCGAGAGGTAATCTCGGTGGGTGGACAGTTTCCCTAACCGGATAGCCGCTAGAGGAAACCTGATTCGAATTAGGAGATATTTGTCTAAATCAAAATGTTAAAGGTGAGTTCGTTGCTTCAAGTAAATCACTTTCGTTGCCTTCATCAATCTGTTCAATATTGCATTTTTCCTTAAACCCCAAAGAACACATTTATAAATAATCTTAATGTTTATTAATATAAAGTATCGGTAAGTACTTAATACTAAAGAACAAACGTTTTTATAAAAACAACAATAAAGGGATCATTTTGCAACAGCAATATACTATGTTATCCCGAACAAATAAGCCAACACTGTTCTATTAATAGACAAGGCATGGTCGACGAAGGGGTTTTTGTTGTAACAGACAAAACCAACTTACATGGTTATGCCACTTCGTTCATGTAAAACGAAAGTATAACAAGTGGAGAAAGATGAAAATGTTTATAAGTGCGATTGTAAGATTTGGAAGGCTTTTCAAAAGAATTTTAGTTTTATATCATCATTGGAAATAACTTTATTTGGTTTTATCATAGTAAGTAGTTTTATATCTTTACTTGCAATCTATTGAATTTTAAAATATCATATTTATCATCATACTATTTCTAAATGTGTTGCTTAAGTAAGAATTGTATCCACTTATTTGGAATGGGATCATGTGCAGTTTGTTGCACCACTTATCGTACTGTACATTCGTTGAAAACCGTTCACTACTTCGTATTGCAACATTGAATTGGCGCCTTGCCTGTCGTTTGAGTGTTCGTGCCCAACATTTTAAATATTACAAGATCGTGTGTTATTAGTAATGTAAAACGCATTTCCTCTTTATTATAATATCAATAAAAAATAATAATTTGATTTTTTTCTATTTTTCTCCCTCTTTTATCTGAGTTCAATTTGAGCGCATCAACATTTGATCCTGTCAAGCTACGATTGAAATAAGAGTCAAATAAAAAAAGGACAGTCTTATCGATGAATTTTAGATTGTCTTCTAAGTTCGTGTGGGAGAAGTAATCAACATCAACAAAATCATCATCTCCATCATATTCATTTCTATACAAACGCTAGGTGTCGTGCATTTTTATTGCAGTGAGCCTGTGAAAACAAATAAAAAAAATACTACAATAACAAAACGTTCACTTTACATCGCGTCGCAGAGTTTCTTTTTTCGTTTGTGGTTAACATCGAACAGTGCAAATGAGAAAGAAACTAATTCGAAAGAATAACAACCAAAAAACATTAAGTTTGCCGGGCCGAACTTTTAATACCATAGGGTAAAGGAAGCATTTTTATATAAAAGTATCTGAATTCAAAATACCAAATATGGATGGGTATAGGATGTGCGCTTTAGGAAAACATGGAACTAAATATTCAATGTTCTGCCAGCGGGCTAGAACCCATTATGAACTGCAAATACCAATTTTTATCAAAATATCGAATATCGGGAGGTACAGTTATATGGCGGTTATACCAATTTCTGTACCATCCTATACACAATACAAATTGTTTAACTCAGAGGGGCTCCGTAATACGCAGAATGCGTCGAGCAGTAGATCGTAGGCTGAAATGTAAAAGATAAATAAAAACACAATGGTTTTTCTTAAAATATATGCAACTATTTATTGCTAGTTTGGTTGGTGGAAACGATATTACCTGTGGCAACATATGCCTTTCTATGCACAACGATACGTGCTTTGCAAACGATATTGTGGGTGTTGTCTGTCCGAATGACAGCGAAATACTACCTGATGTCTAAAGGAGGCGGATAAAAAGTGACAATAATTACTATGCAAGGGAATTGGTTTGTCTGTATAACTTTCCAAACACACGACCGTGTTTATACATTCTAAAAGAAAGGTGACTAAATCTTTCCACGAAGTAAGAGCCGCTTTGTTTTTAATACATTGTTCCCTTAGCATTGTCGTTTCTTCCGATAAGCGTTGCAGGCAAAGAAAGACAAGTATCGGATCCCATTGATCTGTGGGAACGTCGTAAGTCGACATGAAGGAGATACAACGATTAATTCCAAATCGAATCTCTTTCAAACCAGAGATTGTTTCCTTATCTGGAATTGGAAGTCTAAATAACGAAGACAACTGTCGATGTACCAATATACGAGTATTGTCATACTCATCATGTAATGCTTTCCAAGCCAAAGCAAAACCACGAAACTGCGAAACTATTTCCCTTGCATCAACTACAGTTTTTTGCAGCAAGTAATACAGGCGCTGCACATCACTAAAGCGCACATCACTAAATTACTTATAAAAATAGCACTAAACGAATCTTGAAAGGAAGGCCTAGAAGAAAAATTTCCGTTGAAAATATCACTATCATATCATCATTGCCATATTGTGAACAATATCTCAACCAAATGAAATATTTGCGGCAATCTTTTCCTGCGATTCAGGAACCAAAAGAGATTAAGCCGAGTGCTCATGAGTTTTGTCCGCAATTTTAATCGGACTTTTTAATACACAACGATCTTTTATATTTTTTTATTATTGCGGCCATAGTGCTGGAGTAAATGTTTAAAGAAACATTATATTTACTTTCTGCCAAATGCAGATATTCTTTTGTAATATTTTTCGAATTTTCTGAGCTTTGTAATGACTTATAGACCGATTGCCATAGTTTTTCTAACTTGCTCTTCCTTTCACCTAGCATACTAATATCTAAATCGTCATCTTTATTGCACCAAGTTGTGCACCAAATTCTATCAGGCCAAACGAAGACGTGGACCATTTAGAACGAATTTGGAAATTTTCGAAATAATAACATTCGCCAAAAATTCTGCTAACATCTTAAAAATACGTCATATAGCCGTAATATTACGGCTGTACGACGTGCACCTACATGAATAATGACGCTAAAATCATCAAAGTACCGAATATTGGGATGTACAGTTATATGGGGGCTATACGAAGACGTGGACCTGCATATAAAATTATCTGCCTTAGGCTGTAGTATTTATAACGAACTTCAAACACCAAGTTTGAAACAATTCCGGTGAATAATGTCGCTAAAATCAAAATACCGAATATAGGTACCGTTATATGGGGCTATACGAAGACGTGGACCTGCATAAAAAATTTTCTGCCTAAGGCAGAAATTTGAAACAATTCCGGTGAATAATGTCGCTAAAATCATCAAAATACAGAATATCAGGAGATGCTTATATATATCGGGGCTATACGAAAACGTGGACCTACATGGCCTATTTACGAACTTAACCTGCTTACTAGTAAAATTAACATGTGTGCAAAATTTTAGCCTTTTATCTCAATTCGTTCGAAAGATAGCGTGATTACAACAGACCGACGGACAGACAGACATGGCTTAATCGTCTTAGAATTTTACGCTGATAAAGAATTTATATACTTTGTTGGGTGTGACATGAGTATTTCGAGGAGTTACAAACTATATATAACTTATATACAAACTATATATAACTTATATACTTATATACAACTTTAATTTTACACGCAATACCAACTAATATAACAAGCAACGGTGGCCGACCAATGTAGGGTAGCTACTCAATCTAAACGGACGCGACGGAAAGAGGAGCAAACAAAAATATTCTTCCTTTGTTTGTTATGTTCGTTCACTTATCTAACAAAGCACAAACAACAAGTGCTGATCAGAGAACAACGACAAAGCATGCAGTGATGTTGGTGGATGATCAAGCAAATGAATTTGACTGTTGTTACAACGAGAAAAGGAGAATAAATGTAACAACAACAATTTGCTATATTAAAGCGAACAGACCAAACAAAGAGAATAATATTGCGAAATGTGCTTTAGGCAGTAAAGCACACCAAACTATGAACTAGGAACAACAATGCCTGAAGGTGATTATGTTGGAATAAACGAAACGAAATAATTTGTTATTTTACATGAAACAAAACAAAATGAAAATTAGCAAACGGGTTTTGCAACAAATTTATTTTCGGTTTTTGTTTTGATTGTGATGCTGCCGAATGCAAGCAAATGGTGGATGTCCCACAGAGTTCTGAACAGCAGGTTAGCTAGGTGGAGTTTACAGCTGCAAACTTTCACCTTTGATATAGAGCACCGAAAAGGAGCCCAAAGCGTCATCCCAGATACGCTGTCAAGGTATGACATAGAAGAGGTATTAATAGAAATAAAGTCTTTAATTGATTTAGATTCGTCCGCCTTCAAATCGGACGAATACGCCGAGCTTATAGCAAACACTGAACGGAATTCATCACAGCTTCCTGACTTTAAAGTGATAGACGCTATGTGTGCGTGTATTTCTTTAATATCCTTGAGGTTTTCAATGGTGGCAGTTATATTAAATTAACCAACAATTGTTTCATAGAGTCATATTTTCAAGCTAGTCTCCACGGCAGTTTCCTAATATTTAAAGAAAAAGATCTCGCAGATAGATAGTCCAACTAGCATCTGATCTATCATAACTGGGATGAATATTGCACTATCCCTTACTTGAAAATCTATCTTTTTCAATTATACAAGTTATTGCACTGACTAAAGGTAAATAGAAGTCATTATGCTAAATATTCTATGCTATCCTTATCTAATATTGCACATAACGTGTTTGCTATAGAAAACGCAGCTCAATATTAGCCAGGCTGATGGACATTGCCATAACCCTTATGACTATGGATTCCATTTAAGCTATTTTTATGGCACTTATATGTTATTGCACAATGTCACTAACTTTTTGTTCCATTGGAACTGTTTTTTTTTTTAATTTGGGCGCCATCTGTTATGATCCCTGTTAAGCGGCGCTAGAGGGGACCTTTCGGTTAGCTAGTGGTCTTGGGTCTACGGTTCTCAACCCGTCCTCTTCTATAGACCATCAGGGCAAACATGAGTTAAACTTTACTAGACAAAACAAACATACATTTACAAACAATAAACCTGCTTTGACAAGGCAGTATTGGTGTTGTACTCCCACATTTTGCCATCCCAATTATGGTTTCCTCCCCGCTTCAAATATTATTGGAACCACCACAGCACACACATACACTCACCTCATAACCTTTTGGATTCCTCCCTGTTTACCAAAAAATTCACACATATTTTCTTTTACATAAAAACTACAATAAAACATTTATTAAAACATAGATATCTTAATTCTAATTTTGTATCTTACCTTTGTAGGCTATTATCCATACATGGACTTTCTAACACCATACCTAAGGCAATCAAAAAAGGCTAATGTCATCAATATTAGGTATTCCCGTCGAGGCAATAAAGGGGACCTAAAACGTATTTAGTCGAACAGTTTCTTCTTTACGAAATTCTTACCCTAAGATAGCTCACTTAAGAAAGATTTTAGTCTGATATTATTTACTACGTCAAAGTCTTTTCTAGCGTTCTTCAGGAAAAAAAGTTACACTAAAAAAACCAGGTGTCCGGCATTAAAATATTCTAAAAATTAGAAATCAAATACTTATAACTAGAACAAACACACAGACAACACATTCACACACAAAAATTAATTTTGTTAGAAACGTTACAGTTCTCAGTATTCTGAGGGTTGGTATAACCGCCACGGAATTTCTCTCTCAGATCTTAGCAACGATCGACGTTATTATAGTGGGTTACCTCTTTTCAATGTTATTCTCTTATCCTTTACCCTTTTTAATGGTGTGATAAAGTGGGTGTTCGGGAGGATTTCGCCACCAGACTAACCAGAATAAATTAATTGTTGGCGGTTTGCTGGACAACTCGGCACAAAGGCACTTGGTCCACAATTTGGACAGACTTATTTTTAAATTCACCAACGAAACTTGCCAACAATAGAACAAAATTTATTTATCTAGGTTTCCGGTTTTTGCGTTATATACCGGTTCCCATTTTCCTCTATTTTGCCTAATTTTTCACTACATTTTAAAACACATATAAATAGCTTCAGCTACATTTAGTTTACTACATATCAAGGAATATAGCCATTAAAATTCAGATGTACTGAGCGGCCATTTTAGCTCTCGCTAACCCACTGAACATACCCCACAACTTAGCAACAAACTTGGTAAAAATCTTAAAGTTTATATCGGGAGCCACACCAACACCGCCCAGTCCAACGTTGGAGGAGCAGATTTGCGGCATTGTCAGTCTGGCAAGCTCCTGATATAATTCCAATAGACATTGAACTTTTAATTTGGACGGACGACAGTTAGTCAGATAAATTCCATGGACATTGCATAGAAAAAAGTTAAAGTTAGTAAAAGGGGAAACAAGGAGTTTAGTGTCTACTTACCACATTGGGTACAGAATTCCACTCAGGGTTCGTCGACGATCTGCATTGTTTGACTTTTTCTGAAAATACAAGAAAAGAAACGTTATAAAAAGGTTCTGCAGTGTGTTCGGAATGTAATTACAATGCTACTACCACAAACTTAAACATTTTACTTTCACATTGAGATAAAGATGCATATTAAGAATCTTCATCACTTTTATATTGGTTTCGATATTTGCAATATTTTCCTTCTTTTCTTTTTCTTCCGTTTTTCTTTCCATTTGCATGTACTCACCGACAACGCTTGTTGCCATTCACAAAAGATTATAGATTTGCCATTGATTGATTGATAAATTTGTTTGCGTATTTGAGCTTTGGAAGGTAGAACTTGTAGTACAGGGCATGTCATCTGTCGTGACATGACTTAGTTGAATCTTTGCCTCTGAAGCTCTATGTGATATAATTGATGTCGTATGACTTCTTGGTAGAGTGTCTGCGTTTCCAATGTGCAACTTTGTGTGAGGTTTTTTCTTACAATATAAACATCAGTGCGCACTGAAACATTCCCTTTTGTTATGTCCACTCTTTAAGCAGTTATTACATAACCTCTTTTCTCTTGCGAACTCTTTTCTCTGACTAACAGTCATATTATTAAATCTCATACAATTTTTCAAAATATGGTTTTTATAACACATGACATATCTCTTTGATTGTGTCGAATGAGCATTTTGATGCGATATATGATCACTTCTAAATTAAGTTTAAGCTGTTTGACTTCTGAGACCATCTATTCGCTCTAGATCCCGATGTATGTTCTTAAGAAAATCTTCCATTTGCGAACATTTGGCTAGCTCTGAATGCGATTCGAGCGATTGTTCCCATAGGGTCAGTGTATCAACCGGAAGCTTAGTTGAACATAAGTATATTAAAATTGGATCCCATCGATCCACTTTTATACTATGTCGATTGTATTCTTTTAATATCTTTGCTAGATTCAACCGTTGCTGCAGAAAGATTGAATAATATCTTCAGTTGGTTATCAACTAGTACCCTAACATTTTCGTATCGCACCAATAATGCTTTCCATGCTAACGAAAAATTTTGATCAGATAAAGGGTACCGATCTACAATTCTACCAGCCTCACCCTTTGGTTTGTTACGCAAATGATAGAGTTTTTGCGCAGGTGTGAGTCTGGGATGATTTCCATAAATAGCCGTAAACATATCTCTAAATGTTGGCCATTCTTCATAACTTCCGTAGAAGTCTTGAGTGTCACAAGGTGGCACCTTAATACAAATCTCAGACATATCAAACGTTGTACCCGGAGAATAAATAGCTGAGCTGTGAAACAACGCCTCTAGCGGTATTACTTTTGCTCTGCGCCTTTCGATTTTTTAATATTTCCAATATAGTAGCTTTAGTCACTTGGTAATTATCTCTGGCGAAAGCAAACATATCTCTAGGCCTCAATTTGTAATCTTCATCTCCCTCATTAAAATAGACACTTTCAAATTCACTGCGTACATTGTGCCAATCTTCATCCATTGATTCTAATTTTGTTTCTATTAAAGAATCAGACAGCTCGTTCTCTGCTGTGCTTCCTATTTTAATGCAAGTTTGCATTAGGTTTTCGGTCTCGTATTCAAATCTAGCATACAATTTAGAAACCATTTTGCAATATTAATTTAAATTAGTTATTTAGTTTATTTTATTAGTTTTTATTTTTTGATATTTATTGATATTTTTAAAATTATTTTTATTATTCATAAATTGTATTATTTTTGAATATACAAACACTTCAACTATCAATTTATTTATAAATTTAGAAATAAATGAAGTTATATAAAATTTCAATTGTGTTTGTTGCGTATATCCTTCTTTTCTCAATAAACGTTTATTTTTTAAACCTTAAGAGAACTATTAACAATGTTGTTAATTTTTAGATATATGTATGTTGTTGATTTATGTGATTTTTTAATTAAGATTTATTTTTATTTATTTGTTCCTATTAATTTTATTTTTTGTTATATTCGATTGTTTGTTTATTATTGTGGTATTCAATATATGTACTAGCTTTATACGTTACGTTACTCGTCGCAGTAACTGCACAACTCTTTTTCACCACACCAGCTGATCGATAGTCGAACAATGGCAAATGACAGATCGATCAAAGAAGCAATGAAACAGATGACAAAGCTTGTTATATTTGTTGTTCACGAATGTAAGCAAAACAAATGTAACAAAAAATGATGCAGCAAAGTTATTATGGTGTTAGTGTATATTAATTTGTGTTAAGCAACAACAAACATACATATAAAAGAGTTTTTCTCTTTAAAATGACTCTGTTGATTATTTGGCAACAGAACAAAAGCGAAGATGACAAATAATAATTGTAAAAAAGAATTGTTTTATTTTGTAGGGGTTCTAAATCTACAGAGTAGATTTAGATCCGAAAGTATATTATTTGTTGCACAAAGACGAACAACAAAACTATGAATATTAGACAACACAACAAGTATACAGGCGATACTTACGTGTTGCTAACAAGGCACTGGTGGTTAAGGCTTCAATAAAACACTTGTTATGTATTTATTTGTTAAAACAATTCTTTTTGTTGTGGCAAAGTTTAGCTTCTTGCTTCTTCTAGCTTAGCGATCAATCTCTCTTGATGACAGCAGGTAATTGTTGAGGTATCGATTGTTGGCCTATAGGTGTAATAAACCAGGAACCTCTACACCTGGTATAATTCCCAAAGACATTGTACTCTTAACTTGGACGGCAGAACGGATGACGACAAATCAGTTAAATTCGGTGAATATTGCATAGAAAGAAAAGAGAAAACGAGTAAAAGTTAGTAGAAGGGAAAACAAGCAGTTAAGTGTCTACTTACTACATTGGGCACAAGATTCCTCTCGCGGTTGAGCTCAAGTGTTACGAATTTGTACGGCCCCGATCTGCATTGTTTGACCTTTCGTTAATATACAAAAATAAAAAAGAAACGTTATAAAAAGGTTCTACAGTGTGTCCGGAATGTAATTACAACGCTACCACCAAAAACTTGAATATTTTACTTACACATTGGGAAGAGCCGCCTCCAGATCAAGCCTAAATAATCTTTATCAGCCGCCAGATATAACCTGAAAATAAAGAGGTTGCCTGGAAAGAAGAGAGAATAAAGAATATTAATGGTTTAATGAAACCAAGAAAACCATTTTTTACAATGTATTTTGTTTTGATCTCTTGTTAATAACTTGTTTTTGATGTGTATCTAATTTTCACTAAGACTCATTTTTTAAATTGATAGCGATGTATTCGGCTTAAAACTCTTTAAAAGGGTGGTAGGAATGACTTAGAGGGGTAAGTGAAGGGATCGAATATGGGGCACCCTGTGAATAGGGGTGTCATGGCGAGAGGTAATCTCGGTGGGTGGACAGTTTCCCTAACCGGATAGCCGCTAGAGGAAACCTGATTCGAATTAGGAGATACTTGTCTAAATCAAAATGTTAAAGGTGAGTTCGTTGCTTCAAGTAAATCACTTTCGTTGCCTTCATCAATCTGTTCAATATTGCATTTTTCCTTAAACCCCAAAGAACACATTTATAAATAATCTTAATGTTTATTAATATAAAGTATCGGTAAGTACTTAATACTAAAGAACAAACGTTTTATAAAAACAACAATAAAGGGACCATTTGGCAACAGCAATATACTATGTTATCCCGAACAAATAAGCCAACACTGTTCTATTAATAGACAAGGCATGGTCGACGAAGGGGTTTTTGTTGTAACAGACAAAACCAACTTACATGGTTATGCCACTTCGTTCATGTAAAACGAAAGTATAACAAGTGGAGAAAGATGAAAATGTTTATAAGTGCGATTATAAGATTTGGAAGGCTTTTCAAAAGAATTTTAGTTTTATATCATCATTGGAAATAACTTTATTTGGTTTTATCATAGTAAGTAGTTTTATATCTTTACTTGCAATCTATTGAATTTTAAAATATCATATTTATCATCATACTATTTCTAAATGTGTTGCTTAAGTAAGAATTGTATCCACTTATTTGGAATGGGATCATGTGCAGTTTGTTGCACCACTTATCGTACTGTACATTCGTTGAAAGCCGTTCACTACTTCGTATTGCAACATTGAATTGGCGCCTTGCCAGTCGTTTGAGTGTTCGTGCCCAACATTTTAAATATTACAAGATCGTGTGTTATTAGTAATGTAAAACGCATTTACTCTTTATTATAATATCAATAAAAAATAATAATTTGATTTTTTTCTATTTTTCTCCCTCTTTTATCTGAGTTCAATTTGAGCGCATCAACATTTGATCCTGTCGAGCTACGATTGAAATAAGAGTCAAATAAAAAAAGGACAGTCTTATCGATGAATTTTAGATTGTCTTCTAAGTTTGTGTGGGAGAAGTAATCAACATCAACAAAATCATCATCTCCATCATATTCATTTCTATACAAACGCTAGGTGTCGTGCATTTTTATTGCAGTGAGCCTGTGAAAACAAATAAAAAAAATACTACAATAACAAAACGTTCACTTTACATCGCGTCGCAGAGTTTCTTTTTTCGTTTGTGGTTAACATCGAACAGTGCAAATGAGAAAGAAACTAATTCGAAAGAATAACAACTAAAAAACATTAAGTTTGCCGGGCCGAACTTTCAATACCTTAGGGTAAAGGAAGCATTTTTATATAAAAGTATCTGAATTCAAAATACCAAATATGGATGGGTATAGGATGTGCCCCTTAGGAAAACATGGAACTAAATATTCAATGTTCTGCCAGCGGGCTAGAACCCATTATGAACTGCAAATACCAATTTTTATCAAAATATCGAATATCGGGAGGTACAGTTATATGGCGGTTATACCAATTTCTGTACCATCATATACACAATACAAATTGTTTAACTCAGAGGGGCTCCGTAATACGCAGAATGCGTCGAGCAGTAGATCGTAGGCTGAAATGTAAAAGACAAATAAAAAAACAATGGTTTTTCTTAATATATATGCAACTATTTATTGCTAGTTTGGTTGGTGGAAACGATATTACCTGTGGCAACATATGCCTTTCTATGCACAACGATACGTGCTTTGCAAACGATATTGTGGGTGTTGTCTGTCCGAATGACAGCGAAATACTACCTGATGTCTAAAGGAGGCGGATAAAAAGTGACAATAATTACTATGCAAGGGAATTGGTTTGTCTGTATAACTTTCCAAACACACGACCGTGTTTATACATTCTAAAAGAAAGGTGACTAAATCTTTCCACGAAGTAAGAACCGCTTTGTTTTTAATACATTGTTCCCTTAGCATTGTCGTTTCTTCCGATAAGCGTTGCAGGCAAAGAAAGACAAGTATCGGATCCCATTGATCTGTGGGAACGTCGTAAGTCGACATGAAGGAGATACAACGATTAATTCCAAATCGAATCTCTTTCAAACCAGAGATTGTTTCCTTATCTGGAATTGGAAGTCTAAATAACGAAGACAACTGTCGATGTACCAATATACGAGTATTGTCATACTCATCATGTAATGCTTTCCAAGCCAAAGCAAAACCACGAAACTGCGAAACTATTTCCCTTGCATCAACTACAGTTTTTTGCAGCAAGTAATACAGGCGCTGCACATCACTAAAGCGCACATCACTAAATTACTTATAAAAATAGCACTAAACGAATCTTGAAAGGAAGGCCTGGAAGAAAAATTTCCGTTGAAAATATCACTATCATATCATCATTGCCATATTGTGAACAATATCTCAACCAAATGAAATATTTGCGGCAATCTTTTCCTGCGATTCAGGAACCAAAAGAGATTAAGCCGATTGCTCATGAGTTTTGTCCGCAATTTTAATCGGACTTTTTAATACACAACGATCTTTTATATTTTTTATTATTGCGGCCATAGTGCTGGAGTAAATGTTTAAAGAAACATTATATTTACTTTCTGCCAAATGCAGATATTCTTTTGTAATATTTTTCGAATTTTCTGAGCTTTGTAATGACTTATAGACCGATTGCAATAGTTTTTCTAACTTGCTCTTCTTTTCACCTAGCATACTAATATCTAAATCGTCATCTTTATTGCACCAAGTTGTGCACCAAATTCTATCAGGCCAAACGAAGACGTGGACCATTTAGAACGAATTTGGAAATTTTCGAAAAAATAACATTCGCCAAAAATTCTGCTAACATCTTAAAAATACGTCATATAGCCATAATATTACGGCTGTACGATGTGCACCTACATGAATAATGACGCTAAAATCATCAAAATACCGAATATTGGGATGTACAGTTATATGGGGGCTATACGAAGACGTGGACCTGCATATAAAATGATCTGCCTTAGGCTGTAGTATTTATAACGAACTTCAAACACCAAGTTTGAAACAATTCCGGTGAATAATGTCGCTAAAATCAAAATACCGAATATAGGTACCGTTATATGGGGCTATACGAAGACGTGGACCTGCATAAAAAATTTTCTGCCTTAGGCAGAAATTTGAAACAATTCCGGTGAATAATGTCGCTAAAATCATCAAAATACAGAATATCAGGAGATGCTTATATATGGGGGCTATACGAAAACGTGGACCTACATGGCCCATTTACGAACTTAACCTGCTTACTAGTAAAATTAACATGTGTGCAAAATTTTAGCCTTCTATCCAAATCGTTCGAAAGATAGCGTGATTACAACAGACCGACGGACAGACAGACATGGCTTAATCGTCTTAGAATTTTACGCTGATAAAGAATTTATATACATTGTTGGGTGTGACATGAGTATTTCGAGGAGTTACAAACTATATATAACTTTAATTTTACACGCAATACCAACTAATATAACAAGCAAAGGTGACCGACCAATGTAGGGTAGCTACTCAATCTAAACGGACGCGACGGAAAGAGGAGCAAACAAAAATATTCTTCCTTTGTTTGTTATGTTCGTTCACTTATCTAACAAAGCACAAACAAGAAGTGCTGATCAGAGAACAACGACAAAGCATGCAGTGATGTTGGTGGATGATAAAGCAGTATTGTTGTTGTTTGTGACAAACAAAACAGAAAATGAATTTGACTGTTGTTACAACGAGAAAAGGAGAATAAATGTAACAACAACAATTTGCTATATTAAAGCGAACAGACCAAACAAAGAGAATAATATTGCGAAATGTGCTTTAGGCAGTAAAGCACACCAAACTATGAACTAGGAACAACAATGCCTGAAGGTGATTTTGTTGGAATAAACGAAACGAAATGATTTGTTATTTTACATGAAACAAAACAAAATGAAAATTAGCAAACGGGTTTTGCAACAAATTTATTTTCGGTTTTTGTTTTGATTGTGATGCTGCCGAATGCAAGCAAATGGTGGATGTCCCACAGAGTTCTGAACAGCAGGTTAGCTAGGTGGAGTTTACAGCTGCAAACTTTCACCTTTGATATAGAGCACCGAAAAGGAGCCCAAAGCGTCATCCCAGATTCGCTGTCAAGGTATGACATAGAAGAGGTGTTGTGTCTTGTTGAGACTGATGAATAAATAATGCACGATCTTTACGTTATAATGATAATGATACTTTATTATAAATAACTTAATCTACGATAATGCAAAAAGGATCGAATTGAAAATGGTGACCGGTTGCTTTGATTGAAATGTACGAATGAATACAAAACAAAGATGCTGTAGTGACAAGTGCCATATGTTGCCACATCGTCACGAGCAGAAAGTATCACAATACAATTACATGGAGTGTAACAATGACAAGTGGTTACGGATCTCACTTAAGTCACCACAATTCTCCCCCACTAAAACAAGGACATATATGATTACTACGATTAATGCTAATGGCGAACATAATCGCTTAAATACTGGGGTTGTCTCCGTTGCCTTGCAGAGGTACGACGACTTGGTGTGGACTCAGCATCAGCGTTTTGGGTAGAGGCTGATGGCGTTCCAACTGGTGCTTCGGTTCCGACTGCAGTTGGTGTTGTGGAAGTACCGGGAACTTCTGGATCATTAGCATGTGTACTCAGTGGAATGTAGGGTGCCATAATTAGAGGCTGATGAGACTGTTCGCCATTCCCTGAACTAAAATCTGGGACCGACTCAGTCTGCTCAGTATCTGGAGAATAAGGCAGTTTTACATTTGTGAAACGGAGTTGGTCTATGTGGCGCTTGAAGACATAACCATTGTCGAGTTTTACCAGATAATGAAGGTTACCAAGCTTTTTAGAAATAATTCCGAATTTCCATACAGGTTTGTTTGGCGTATAGTATCGGACTTGAACTCGGTCTCCCTCACTCAGTTTCCTAACTGGACATTGTGGCGTAGATGACTGAGTTAATTTTGATGGCTTCAAGGCATCCAATCGGATTCGGATTTGTCTACCCAGGTACATTTCTGATGGGGATTTACCATTTCGAAGAGGTGTAGCTCGATATTTAAATAAAATTTCTCTTACTTTTTTAGATATCGGAGAAGGATCCTCTGCCATGGCTGCTAGACGCTGCTTGAGTGTTTGAACATTTCGTTCAGCTAGACCATTTGTGGCAGGGTGGCCAGGTGCAATGTATTTCTGGAAGATACCGGAATTAGTGCAGAAATTTTGAAACTCTTCACTTTTAAAAATCGTTGCATTGTCAGAGACAAGAACATCAGGGTATCCATTGCGTGCAAAAATGTTGTTTAACATTTCGATTGTTGACGTTGATGTTGGCGCAGAGGAGCACACCCCCACTTCTGCCCACTTTGATTTTGCGTCGACGACAACAAGAAATTGATATCCCTGATATAGCCCCGCGTAATCAATATGAATACGTTGCCAATTTCCATCCGGCTCCTCCCAAGGATGGAGAACTGCTTTCGGAGGATTTTTCTTTACCAAGGCACACGCAGAACAGGAACGTACAAATTGTTCAATATCTTTATCAATTGATGACCAAAACACATAACGTCTCGCCAATTGCTTCATCTTGGTTATACCTATATGAGTATAGTGTAACTCTTCTAAGACTGCCTCTTGAAGTGAAGTTGGTACAATGACCCTTTTCCCTTTGAACAATATGCCGGCATCGATGGTGTACTCCGAATCGACCACATTTGAGTTACGTAAATCGAACAAAATTTTGGAAAGCATTGCGTCATTCTTTGTTGCGTCTCGAAGTGATTTGAAATTTAATTTTATTGAAGCAATTTGATGTATTCTTGACCCGCAAATTGAATGTACTTCTTGATCAATTAAATTTGTAGTGCCAATCCCTGATTTAATTGGGGCCCTGGAGAGACAATCGGCATTGACATTTTCCTCGCCCTTTTTCGTACTGACTTCGTAATTATATCCAGTGAGGAAAGCGGCGTATCGTTGAAGTCGAGATGACGTCATTAGGGGCAATTTCGAATTTTGGTGAAAAATTCTTGATAACGGCTTATTATCCGTTATAAGCTTAAAAATTCGGCCAAATATGTACTCGTGAAAATGTTGAACCGCATACACAATTGCTAGGGCTTCCCTATCTAATTGCGAATAATTTTGCTCTGCTGGAGTAAGAGACCTTGAGGCAAACGCTATCGGTCTTTCTTGGCCGTCAATAATGTGCGACAAAACACCAGCTATCCCGGTGGGACTAGCGTCGCACGCAAGCTGTACCGGCAAATCGGGATTATACGGCATCAATACGCGATCGCTGGAAATTTCTCTTTTCAAAGCATCGAAAGACTTTTGGCATTCCGATGTCCATTTAAAAATAGCGTTTTTGAGCAGTAAATTGCGCAACGGGGTGGTAATTGTAGACGAATTCGGTATGAATCTTGCGTAATATGTTACCATACCCAAAAAACGGCGAACATCTTCTACACTTTCTGGTTGGGGCATTTGTAATATGGCTTGTACTTTTGAAGGTGACTTTTGGACCTTGTTGTGCCGTATTACGTGACCCAAAAACTCCATTTGATTGTCAAAAAATTTGCATTTTGCCATATTAAGGTGCAGATCGTACTTCTGCAACTGGGCTAAACATAATTTTAAGTTTGCTTTGCACTCACTCAAAGTCTCGCCATGTACCACGATGTCGTCAAAATAGGATTCTGTTTTGGGCACTTCCCGTAAAATTTGATCTATAATCCTATTAAATTCCGCCGGGGCAGTTTTAATGCCGAAGGACAGACGATTCATTCGAAAAGTCCCTTTGTGGGTCGAAATGGTTTGAATTTCGCTTGACTTTTGGTCCACTTGCACATGTAAATAGGCTTTGTATAAATCAAGCCGACAAAAATGTTTAGAGTCCCTGAGACTATTGAAAATTGCATCTATTTTCCGAATGGGGTAATGAGCATTCACAAGTCGCTGGTTGACTCCCACCTTGTAGTCAACGCAAAGGCGCACTCCACCGTCAGCTTTAGGGATGACCACCAGTGGTGACCCCCAGTCACTATTGGCAACCTTGGTGATTATGCCAGCCTTCTCCAACTCTTCCAGCTCCTTGTTAACACGCTCGGTTAAGGCGTATGGAATTTGACGCTCTTTTGTATAGGTTGGTGTGGCATCTTCACGCAATTGAAGTGAAACTTTATGGCTAGGGATGCAGCCAATCTTTTGTTGAAATACAGCTGAAAATTCGGAAATGTATTCTTGAATGTCGCTCGACTCACCGATAGAATTGGTAACCATGTTGTTCGACTTATGTTCGTCTAGCTCGTTTAGATTAATTCCTAGACGACGTATCCATGTACGACCAATTAACGCCGAACACCCGTCTGGGACAACGTAGAGATCATCGATGAATGAAACGTTTTTGTATTTTATATTTACTCGGACTTTCCCATCTGGTACGAATTTATCTTGGGTGTATGATCGGAAAACGATGTTTGTGGCGGTTAATTGGTTAGACAATTTTAATTTCCCAAATTCACTCCTAGGCAAAAATGAGTATCCAGAGCCAGAATCTACTTCAAAAGATACCACTCTACCTTCTATGAAGATATTCGCATAGTAACGCTCAGCATTGGCATTTGCGTAATCGTTACGGTACACATCCACGATTTTATAAATACCGTACGAATCATCACGTACTTGATTCGTGGACGCCTCCCTCGTACTGGGTTTACCCCGTCGTCCGGCATTAGGACCATCCGCCAAAAGTGAAGCAATGCAGACTTTTGCTACATGCCCTTGCTTGGCACACAAGTTACATTTAAGATTTTTGTTAGAGCGACACTCCTTCGCAAAATGATTGTTTTTGCCGCAGCGTAAACATAGACCGGCAATACCTAATTGCTCGTAATTGACTTTACGCTTCTGTTGCCCCTGACGAGATTTGAAATTTTTCGATGGGCTTTTATTAAAAATTTTATTTATATCCGTCGAATTTGAAGAATTTGCCGTTGCTTGGGACAATTCTCTGGCGTCCATCTTCGCAGCCTCTAGAGCCAATGCCTTCCCAACAATTTCATCAATTTTCGCCGTACTGGATTGAAGAAGTTGTTCGCGTACAGTATTGTCACAAAGGCCTCGAATAAATTGTGCCCTCAAAAACACATCGGCTATGGACGCTCCACATTTGCACGGTGAAACAAATTCGCACGAATTAATATCAGTACGGAGTGCAGCCACAAAATCTGCCACTGATTGCCCTTGCATCTGATATTTTGATAAAAATTTGTGTTGTGCCACCAACACATTCTTTTTCGGTGCTAAATGATTTTGCAAAATGGTTAGCAATTCATCGTATTGCAGATCTGCCGCTGCTCTGGGCGCTGCCAACGCCGTCACCATGTTAAAGTACTTCGCACCAATAGAGTTAAGAAGCAACTTTGTACAGTACTCCTTATTAGCACTGACGCCCTTCATTGCAATGTAGTTGTTAAACCTCTCTATATAATTGGTATACATTTCCTTTGCCAGATCAAAATGATCGAAGTTTGGTACCAATGTCGTGTTGATGCTGGTGTTGCTGCTGCCTTGCGCTGCACTTGAAGTAGGAGCACCCACAGTCATCTTCGATATTTGGCTAAACAACGCCTTTTGCATATCCATAAACGCGGCAAATTGAGATGCATCCATTTTGTTATATTTGTGTTGTTGTTAAAAGCTTGCACTTGCTTTAATAGAAAAAAAATATGCAGAATATTAGTTTTCCAAAATAATATTCCACTTTTTACGCTCGTCGCCAAACTGTTGTGTCTTGTTGAGACTGATGAATAAATAATGCACGATCTTTACGTTATAATGATAATGATACTTTATTATAAATAACTTAATCTACGATAATGCAAAAAGGATCGAATTGAAAATGGTGACCGGTTGCTTTGATTGAAATGTACGAATGAATACAAAACAAAGATGCTGTAGTGACAAGTGCCATATGTTGCCACATCGTCACGAGCAGAAAGTATCACAATACAATTACATGGAGTGTAACAATGACAAGTGGTTACGGATCTCACTTAAGTCACCACAAGAGGTATTAATAGAAATAAAGTCTTTTATTGATTTAGATTCGTCCGCCTTCAAATCGGACGAATACGCCGAGCTTATAGCAAACACTGAACGGAATTCCTCACAGCTTCCTGACTTTAAAGTGATAGACGCTATGTGTGCGTGTATTTCTTTAATATCCTTGAGGTTTTCAATGCAGGCAGTTATATTAAATTAACCAACAATTGTTTCATAGAGTCATATTTTCAAGCTAGTCTCCACGGCAGTTTCCTAATATTTAAAGAAAAGATCTCGCAGATAGATAGTCCAACTAGCATCTGATCTATCATAACTGGGATGAATATTGCACTATCCCTTACTTGAAAATCTATCTTTTTCAATTATACAAGTTATTGCACTGACTAAAGGTAAATAGAAGTCATTATGCTAAATATTCTATGCTATCCTTATCTAATATTGCACATAACGTGTTTGCTATAGAAAACGCAGCTCAATATTAGCCAGGCTGATGGACATTGACATAACCCTTATGACTATGGATTCCATTTAAGCTATTTTTATGGCACTTATATGTTATTGCACAATGTCACTAACTTTTTGTTCCATTGGAACTGTTTTTTTTTAATTTGGGCGCCATCTGTTATGATCCCTGTTAAGCGGCGCTAGAGGGGACCTTTCGGTTAGCTAGTGGTCTTGGGTCTACGGTTCTCAACCCGTCCTCTTCTCTAGACCATCAGGGCAAACATGAGTTAAACTTTACTAGACAAAACAAACATACATTTACAAACAATAAACCTGCTTTGACAAGGCAGTATTGGTGTTGTACTCCCACATTTTGCCATCCCAATTATGGTTTCCTCCCCGCTTCAAATATTATTGGAACCACCACAGCACACACATACATTCACCTCATAACCTTTTGGATTCCTCCCTGTTTACCAAAAAATTCACACATATTTTCTTTTACATAAAAGCTACATTAAAACATTTATTAAAACATAGATATCTTAATTCTAATTTTGTATCTTACCTTTGTAGGCTATTATCCATACATGGACTTTCTAACACCATACCTAAGGCAATCAAAAAAGGCTAATGTCATCAATATTAGGTATTCCCGTCGAAGCAATAAAGGGAACCTAAAACGTATTTAGTCGAACAGTTTCTTCTTTACGAAATTCTTACCCTAAGATAGCTCACTTAAGAAAGATTTTAGTCTGATATTATTTACTACGTCAAAGTCTTTTCTAGCGTTCTTCAGGAAAAATAAGTTACACTTAAAAAAACCAGGTGTCCGGCATTAAAAAATTCTAAAAATTAGAAATCAAATACTTATAACTAGAACAAACACACAGACAACACATTCACACACACAAATTAATTTTTTAGAAACGTTACAGTTCTCAGTATTCTGAGGGTTGGTATAACCGCCACGGAATTTCTCTCTCAGATCTTAGCAACGATCGACGTTATTATAGTGGGTTACCTCTTTTCAATGTTATTCTCTTATCCTTTACCCTTTTTAATGGTGTGATAAAGTGGGTGTTCGGGAGGATTTCGCCACCAGACTAACCAGAATAAATTAATTGTTGGCGGTTTGCTGGTCAACTCGGCACAAAGGCACTTGGTCCACAATTTGGACAGACTTATTTTTAAATTCACCAACGAAACTTGCCAACAATAAAAAAAAAATTTATTTATTTAGGTTTCCGGTTTTTGCGTTATATACCGGTTCCCATTTTCCTCTATTTTGCCTAATTTTTCACTACATTTTAAAACACATATAAATGGCTTCAGCTACATTTAGTTTACTACATATCAAGGAATATAGCCATTAAAATTCAGATGTACTGAGCGGCCATTTGATCTGCATTGTTTGACTTTTTCTGAAAATACAAGAAAAGAAACGTTATAAAAAGGTTCTGCAGTGTGTTCGGAATGTAATTACAACGCTACTACCACAAACTTAAACATTTTACTTACACATTGAGATAAAGATGCAGATAAAGAATCTTCATCACTTTTATATTGGTTTCGATATTTGCAGTATTTTCGTTCTTTTCTTTTTCTTCCGTTTTTCTTTCCATTTGCATGTACTCACCGACAACGCTTGTTGCCATTCACAAAAGATTATAGATTTGCCAGATCGAGAAAGTTTAGAGTTGCCAAATAAAGTTTCTTGTTATAGGTAACACATACAAAGCAGGTTTGCATCAAAATTAATTTATTGAATTTTGTACTTTTTCCCTCCTATACCTTGATAAGGATGTCGGCAGGATAGTTGGCTTTGTGGGTGCGTCTTATAGAGGGTTAAGCTTAAAAGGAATAAATAAAAAAGAAGAAGAATATTGCCAAACATCTGCAAAAACATCTGTTTTGTTGCAACCGCATGCAAAAATGTCAAGATAAAGGAGAAGAAAAACAAAAATGTCAAGATGAAGGAGAAGAAAACCAAAAGAAAATAAGTCTGACAATCAAAAATTTCCCCTTTTGATTTTCAATGGTGAAAAAATTGGTTGTGTGGCTCCCGCTAACCGACAACAGCAAGAACAACAAAAAAACCCGAATTCTTTTTAAATTGTATTTTTTGGCGTTTATTAAATTTTCTTTTTGTTTTTAAACTTAAAAAAGAAAAAATATTAAAGAAAGATTAAATGTAATTAATTAAACAACTAAAGACAAATATTGAAACACAAAACTTGGAAACAATCTTAGAATTTACATCAGGAGCCACACCAACACCGTCCAGTCCAACGTGGGTAGCGCAGATTAGCGGCTTTGTTAGTCTGGCAAGCCCCTGGTGTAGAAGTTCCGTTACAGGCGTGTGGACTTGTAGGGGTTCTAAATCTACAGAGTAGATTTAGATCCGAAAGTGTATTATTTGTTGCACAAAGACGAACAACAAAACTATGAATATTAGACAACACAACAAGTATACAGGCGATACTTACGTGTTGCTAACAAGGCACTGATGGTTAAGGCTTCAATAAAACACTTGTTTTAATTACAAGATTCTGACGGTCTGAATTTATGTATTTATTTGTTAAAACAATTCCTTTTGTTGTGGCAAAGTTTAGCTTCTTGCTTCTTCTAGCTTAGCGATCAATCTCTCTTGATGATAGCAGGTAATTGTTGAGGTATCGATTGTTGGCCTATCGGTGAAATGAACCAGGAACCTCAACATGCCGGGCCCCTTGCACTGGTGCAACCTCTTGAAGTGTACTCGGTTTGCTTTTTCATGGTAATCATCTTCAGCAACTTAAATTTGTTTGGGCCAAACTTTTTCGATTGAAAAGGGCAAACCCGCCAATTCTCCTTTTGAATTTGATCAACTTGTTCTAGAAAGAAATACTCAAAAGCAAGAAATGTGTACCATACCCAATATGGCATTGGAACAATTATTATCTTCATTTTTATCTTCAAATTCATTTCATAATTTCTTTATGTCACCTCTAGTGACAAATAACCATCCCTAGTGAAACATTTCCACTTTTCTTAATGTTTTCTTTTTTGGAGAGATCAATTTTGAAAATTGACCACCTTTGTAACCACCTCTAGTAACATTATCATCATAATTTCTTTCATTCATATTTGACATCAGCAATATTATTTTGCTTTTTAGAAAGTCATTTTTTCTTCATGCACCTCTAGTGACCCATTCATATGTCGTAACAAATCATCTACTGTAATTTGTTATGAATTATCCGCTTCTAGTGAACAATTTTAGTACAAATCATTATATTCATTTCAAATTTTAGTTGTCACCTCCAGTGACTTTGATTTAAAAAGTACAAAAGATCTTCAGCGGTTGATTTGCAATTACCTAACCACCATTTACTGTGCCTGAGACACAAGATTTGTTTTTAATAAATGTTTCACCTCTGTCAATAGTACTAAGTAATTTCGGACTCGATCAATAAATTTATCATATTTTACAACAAGGTACATTTTCTTAATGTCGCCAATTTTGTGTTTCTGTTAATATTTAATAATGTTATAAATACATTTTCAAGTACCAATTCAGACGAATAGTCTCGTAATCCACATCCCTGATTTGCATTAAATGGATGTATGTATAACTTTAGTGTTGGTGCGCCGCTACTTTTTTATATTTTTATACCCTCCACCATACTATGGAGGGTATATTAACTTTGTCATTCCGTTTGTAACTCCTCGAAATACTCATGTCAGACCCAACAAAGTATATATATTCTTGATCAGCGTAAAATTCTAAGTCGATTTAGCGATGTCCGTCTGTCTGTTGTAATCACGCTATCTTTCGAATGAATTGAGATAGATGGCTAAAATTTTGCACACATGTTTTTTTTTTTCCAGTAGGCAGGTTAAGTTCGTAAATGGGCCATGTAGGTCCACGTTTTCATATAGCCCCCATATAACGGTACCTCCCTATATTCGGTATTTTGATGATTTTAACGACATTATTCACGGGAATTGTTTCAAAATTTGGTATTTGAAGTTCGTTATAGGAACTACAGTCTGTGACAGAAAATTGTCTGTGCGGGTCCAGGTCTTCGTATAGGCCCCGTATATCAGTACCTCCCTATATTCGGTATTTTGATGATTTTAGCGATATTATTCACCGGAATTGTTTCAAAATTGGTATTTGAAGTTCGTAATGAATACTACAGTCTAAGACAGAAAATTGTATGTGCAAGTCCATGTCTTCGTATAGCCCCCTTACAACGGTACCTCCCGATATTCGGTATTTTGATGATTTTAACGACATTATTCACGGGAATTGTTTCAAATTTGGTATTTGAAGTTCGTTATAGGAACTACAGTCTGTGACAGAAAATTTTCTGTGCGGGTCCAGGTCTTCGTATAGGCCCCATATATCAGTACCTCCCTATATTCGGTATTTTCATGATTTTAGCGACATTATTCACCGGAATTGTTTGAAGATTGGTATTTGAAGTTCGTAATGTATACTAAATTCTAAGATAGAAAATTGTCTGTGCAAGTCCATTTCTTCGTATAGCCCCCATATAACGGTACCTCCTGATATTCGGTATTTTGGTGATTTTAACGACATTATTCACGGGAATTGTTTCAAATTTGGTACTTGAAGTTCGTAATGTATACTACACCCTAAGACAGAAATTGTCTGTGCAGGTCTACGTCTTCGTATAGGCCCCATATATCAGTACCTCCCCATATTCGGTATTTTGACGATTTTAGGTACAATACCCACCGAAATTGTTTGTGGTATGTGGTACATGAAGTTCGTAATGGATGCTACAGCCTGTGACAGAAAACTGTCTATGCTGGTCCAGGTCTTTGCACAGCTCCAATTTAACGGCACCTCCTTATATAAGATATTTTGATGATTTTAGCTACATTATTTACCGTTTATTTCAAGTTTCCAATTTGAATATGGTAATGGCGTATGACAAACAATGCCTATGTATGTCCACGGTATTTTTGAAATTTTAACAGAATTTTTTAAGGATTTTATTTTTTAAAAATTTCCAAATTCGTTGCAAATGGTGGAGGGTATTAAAAGTTCGGCCCGGCCGAACTTAGTGCTTTTTAACTTGTTCTTTCTTCAATATTTCCTTGTTGCATATATTTCTTTCTTATTAATTATAGGACCATTTATATACCATCCAAAGATGGAATTTTGAGCTATCATACTCCCAAACACATTTGTTCTAGTTCCATTCAATATTATGGATGGTAATATATCACTACCAATTAATATATCAACCTCATTTGATTGTAAGAAAAGAGGATCTGCAAGTTTTAGTTCACGGATTTCATTCGGCGTAGACATTGGAATAAATTCAGTGGAATTGTTTTTCGTTATGTTTTCGATAACTAAAGCGTTTACTTCTACTGTTTTGTTTGCATTTCCACACAAAGATATGTTGCACATTTTATTTGTATACCACTTATCCCGCTAATATGGAAATTAGACTTAGTTGTTGCACTCCCTATTCTTTCTACCGCTTTAGTTGTTATAAATGATCGTTTCGATCCAGTGTCTAATAAAGCTCTAGCTGTAAAAGTTTTCCCACAGTGCTTGATTTTTACAATCGCAGTTGGTAACAAAACATCACCATCACTGATTGATAAATTTGTTTGCGTATTTGAGCTTTGGAAGGTAGAACTTGTAGTACAGGGCATGTCATCTGTCGTGACATGATTTAGTTGAATATTTGCCTCTGAAGCTCTATGTGATATAATTGATGTCGTATGACTTCTTGGTAGAGTGTCTGCGTTTCCAATGTGCAACTTTGTGTGATGTTTTTTCTTACAATATAAACATCGGTGCGCACTGAAACATTCCCTTTTGTTATGTCCACACTTTAAGCATCCCTAGTGAAACATTTCCACTTTTCTTAATGTTTTCTTTTTTTGGAGAGATCAATTTTGAAAATTGACCACCTTTGTAACCACCTCTAGTAACATTATCATCATAATTTCTTTCATTCATATTTGACATCAGCAATATTATTTTGCTTTTTAGAAAGTCATTTTTTCTTCATGCACCTCTAGTGACCCATTCATATGTCGTAACAAATCATCTACTGTAATTTGTTATGAATTATCCGCTTCTAGTGAACAATTTTAGTACAAATCATTATATTCATTCAAATTTTAGTTGTCACCTCCAGTGACTTTGATTTAAAAAGTACAAAAGATCTTCAGCGGTTGATTTGCAATTACCTAACCACCATTTACTGTGCCTGAGACACAAGATTTGTTTTTAATAAATGTTTCACCTCTGTCAATAGTACTAAGTAATTTCGGACTCGATCAATAAATTTATCATATTTTACAACAAGGTACATTTTCTTAATGTCGCCAATTTTGTGTTTCTGTTAATATTTAATAATGTTATAAATACATTTTCAAGTACCAATTCAGACGAATAGTCTCGTAATCCACATCCCTGATTTGCATTAAATGGATGTATGTATAACTTTAGTGTTGGTGCGCCGCTACTTTTTATATTTTTATACCCTCCACCATACTATGGAGGGTATATTAACTTTGTCATTCCGTTTGTAACTCCTCGAAATACTCATGTCAGACCCAACAAAGTATATATATTCTTGATCAGCGTAAAATTCTAAGTCGATTTAGCGATGTCCGTCTGTCTGTCCGTCTGTCTGTTGTAATCACGCTATCTTTCGAATGAATTGAGATAGATGGCTAAAATTTTGCACACATGTTTTTTTTTTTCCAGTAGGCAGGTTAAGTTCGTAAATGGGCCATGTAGGTCCACGTTTTCATATAGCCCCCATATAACGGTACCTCCCTATATTCGGTATTTTGATGATTTTAACGACATTATTCACGGGAATTGTTTCAAATTTGGTATTTGAAGTTCGTTATAGGAACTACAGTCTGTGACAGAAAATTGTCTGTGCGGGTCCAGGTCTTCGTATAGGCCCCGTATATCAGTACCTCCCTATATTCGGTATTTTGATGATTTTAGCGATATTATTCACCGGAATTGTTTCAAAATTGGTATTTGAAGTTCGTAATGAATACTACAGTCTAAGACAGAAAATTGTATGTGCAAGTCCATGTCTTCGTATAGCCCCCTTACAACGGTACCTCCCGATATTCGGTATTTTGATGATTTTAACGACATTATTCACGGGAATTGTTTCAAATTTGGTATTTGAAGTTCGTTATAGGAACTACAGTCTGTGACAGAAAATTTTCTGTGCGGGTCCAGGTCTTCGTATAGGCCCCATATATCAGTACCTCCCTATATTCGGTATTTTCATGATTTTAGCGACATTATTCACCGGAATTGTTTGAAGATTGGTATTTGAAGTTCGTAATGTATACTAAATTCTAAGATAGAAAATTGTCTGTGCAAGTCCATTTCTTCGTATAGCCCCCATATAACGGTACCTCCTGATATTCGGTATTTTGGTGATTTTAACGACATTATTCACGGGAATTGTTTCAAATTTGGTACTTGAAGTTCGTAATGTATACTACACCCTAAGACAGAAAATTGTCTGTGCAGGTCTACGTCTTCGTATAGGCCCCATATATCAGTACCTCCCCATATTCGGTATTTTGACGATTTAGGTACAATACCCACCGAAATTGTTTGTGGTATGTGGTACATGAAGTTCGTAATGGATGCTACAGCCTGTGACAGAAAACTGTCTATGCTGGTCCAGGTCTTTGCACAGCTCCAATTTAACGGCACCCTCCTTATATAAGATATTTTGATGATTTTAGCTACATTATTTACCGTTTATTTCAAGTTTCCAATTTGAATATGGTAATGGCGTATGACAAACAATGCCTATGTATGTCCACGGTATTTTGAAATTTAACAGAATTTTTAAGGATTTTATTTTTAAAATTTCCAAATTCGTTGCAAATGGTGGAGGGTATTAAAAGTTCGGCCCGGCCGAACTTAGTGCTTTTTAACTTGTTCTTTCTTCAATATTTCCTTGTTGCATATATTTCTTTTCTTATTAATTATAGGACCATTTATATACCATCCAAAGATGGAATTTTGAGCTATCATACTCCCAAACACATTTGTTCTAGTTCCATTCAATATTATGGATGGTAATATATCACTACCAATTAATATATCAACCTCATTTGATTGTAAGAAAAGAGGATCTGCAAGTTTTAGTTCACGGATTTCATTCGGCGTAGACATTGGAATAAATTCAGTGGAATTGTTTTTCGTTATGTTTTCGATAACTAAAGCGTTTACTTCTACTGTTTTGTTTGCATTTCCACACAAAGATATGTTGCACATTTTATTTGTATACCACTTATCCCGCTAATATGGAAATTAGACTTAGTTGTTGCACTCCCTATTCTTTCTACCGCTTTAGTTGTTATAAATGATCGTTCGATCCAGTGTCTAATAAAGCTCTAGCTGTAAAAGTTTTCCCACAGTGCTTGATTTTTACAATCGCAGTTGGTAACAAAACATCACCATCACTGATTGATAAATTTGTTTGCGTATTTGAGCTTTGGAAGGTAGAACTTGTAGTACAGGGCATGTCATCTGTCGTGACATGATTTAGTTGAATATTGCCTCTGAAGCTCTATGTGATATAATTGATGTCGTATGACTTCTTGGTAGAGTGTCTGCGTTTCCAATGTGCAACTTTGTGTGATGTTTTTTCTTACAATATAAACATCGGTGCGCACTGAAACATTCCCTTTTGTTATGTCCACACTTTAAGCAGTTATTACATAACCTCTTTTCTCTTGCGAACTCTTTTCTCTGATTAACAGTCATATTATTAAATCTCATACAATTTTTCAAAATATGGTTTTTATAACACATGACACATCTATTTGATTGTGTCGAATGAGCATTTTGATGCGATATATGATCATTGCTAAAGGAAGTTTAAGCTGTTTGACTTCTGAGACCATCTATTTGCTCTAGAACCCGATGTCTGTTCTTAAGAAAATCTCCCATTTGCGACCATTTGGCTAGCTCTGAATGTGATTCGAGCGATTGTTCCATTAGGGTCAGTGTATCAACCGGAAGCTTAGTTGAACATAAGTGTATTAAAATTGGATCCCATTGGTCCACTTTTATACTATGAGCTCTCAATATAGCCAAGCAGTCACTTACTGTCATTTGTATTCTTTTAATATCTTTGCTAGATTCAACCGTTGCTGCAGAAAGATTGAATAATATCTTCAGTTGGTTATCAACTAGTACCCTAACATTTTCGTATCGCACCAATAATGCTTTCCATGCTAACGAAAAATTTTGATCAGATAAAGGGTACCGATCTACAATTCTACCAGCCTCACCCTTTGGTTTGTTACGCAAATGATAGAGTTCTGCGCAGGTGTGAGTCTGGGATGATTTCCATAAATAGCCGTAAACATATCTCTAAATGTTGGCCATTCTTCATAACTTCCGTAGAAGTCTTGAGTGTCACAAGGTGGCACTTTAATACAATCTCAGACATATCAAACGTTGTACCCGGAGAATAAATAGCTGAGCTGTGAACAACGATGGATTTGTAACTTCGCCTCTAGCGGTATTACTTTTGCTCTGCGCCTTTCGATTTTTAATATTTCCAATATAGTAGCTTTTGTCACTTGGTAATTATCTCTGGCGAAAGCAAACATATCTCTAGGCCTCAATTTGTAATCTTCATCTCCCTCATTAAAATAGACACTTTCAATTCACTGCGTACATTGTGCCAATCTTCATCCATTGATTCTAATTTTGTTTCTATTAAAGAATCAGACAGCTCGTTCTCTGCTGTGCTTCCTATTTTAATGCAAGTTTGCATTAGGTTTTCGGTCTCGTATTCGAATCTAGCATACATTTAAGAAACCATTTTGTAATATTAATTTAAATTAGTAATTTAGTTTATTTTATTAGTTTTTATTTTTGATATTTAGTTTTGATATTTATTGATATTTTAAAATTATTTTTATTATTTATAAATTTATTATTTTGAATATACAAACACTTCAACTATCAATTATTTATAATTTAGAAATAAATGAAGTTATATAAAATTTCAAATGTGTTTGTTGCGTATATCCTTCTTTTCTCAATAAACGTTTATTTTTTAAACCTTAAGAGAACTATTAACAATGTTGTTAATTTTTGGATATATGTATGTTGTTGATTTATGTGCTTTTTTAATTAAGATTTATTTTTATTTATTTGTTCCTATTAATTTATTTTTTGTTATATTCGATTGTTTGTTTATTATTGTGGTATTCAATATATGTACTAGCTTTATACGTTACGTTACTCGTCGCAGTAACTGCACAACTCTTTTTCACCACACCAGCTGATCGATAGTCGAACAATGGTAAATGACAGATCGATCAAAGAAGCAATGAAACAGATGACAAAGCTTGTTATATTTGTTGTTCACGAATGTAAGCAAAACAAATGTAACAAAAAATGATGCAGCAAAGTTATTATGGTGTTAGTGTATATTAATTTGTGTTAAGCAACAACAAACATACATATAAAAGAGTTTTTCTCTTTAAAATGACTCTGTTGATTATTTGGCAACAGAACAAAAGCGAAGACGACAAATAAAAATTGTAAAAAAGAATTGTTTTATTTTGTAGGGGTTCTAAATCTACAGAGTAGATTTAGATCCGAAAGTATATTATTTGTTGCACAAAGACGAACAACAAAACTATGAATATTAGACAACACAACAAGTATACAGGCGATACTTACGTGTTGCTAACAAGGCACTGGTGGTTAAGGCACTTGTAAAACACTTGTTATGTATTTATTTGTTAAAACAATTCTTTTTGTTGTGGCAAAGTTTAGCTTCTTGCTTCTTCTAGCTTAGCGATCAATCTCTCTTGATGACAGCAGTAATTGTTGAGGTATCGATTGTTGGCCTATCGGTGTAATAACCCGGAAACTTACACCTGGTATAATTCCCAAAGACATTGTACTCTTAACTTGGACGGCAGAACGGATGACGACAAATCAGTTAAATTCGGTGAATATTGCATAGAAAGAAAAGAGAAAACGAGTAAAAGTAGTAGAAGGGAAAACAAGCAGTTAAGTGTCTACTTACTTCATTGGGCACAAGATTCCTCTCGCGGTTGAGCTCAAGTGTTACGAATTTGTACGGCCCGATCTGCATTGTTTGACCTTTCGTAATATACAAAAATAAAAAGAAACGTTATAAAAGGTTCTACAGTGTGTCCGGAATATAATTACAACGCTACCACCAAAACTTGAATATTTTACTTACACATTGGGAAGAGCCGCCTCCAGATCAAGCCTAATAATCTTTATCAGCCGCCAGATATAACCTGAAAATAAAGAGGTTGCCTGGAAAGAAGAGAGAATAAAGAATATTAATGGTTTAATGAAACCAAGAAAACCATTTTTTACAATGTATTTTGTTTTGATCTCTTGTTAATAACTTGTTTTTGATGTGCATCTAATTTTCACTAAGACTCATTTTTTAAATTGATAGCGATGTATTCGGCTTAAAACTCTTTAAAAGGGTGGTAGGAAATGAGTTAGAGGGGTAAGTGAAGGGATCGAATATGGGCACCCTGTGAATAGGGGTGTCATGGCGAGAGGTAATCTCGGTGGGGTGGACAGTTTCCCTAACCGGATAGCCGCTAGAGGAAACCTGATTCGAATTAGGAGATACTTGTTTAAATCAAATGTTAAAGGTGAGTTCGTTGCTTCAAGTAAATCACTTTCGTTGCCTTCATCAATCTGTTCAATATTGCATTTTCCTTAAACCCCAAAGAACACATTTATAAATAATCTTAATGTTTATTAATATAAAGTATCGGTAAGTACTTAATACTAAAGAACAAACGTTTTTATAAAAACAACAATAAAGGGACCATTTTGCAACAGCAATATACTATGTTATCCCGAACAAATAAGCCAACACTGTTCTATTAATAGACAAGGCATGGTCGACGAAGGGGTTTTTGTTGTAACAGACAAAACCAACTTACATGGTTATGCCACTCGTTCATGTAAACGAAAGTATAACAAGTGGAGAAAGATGAAAATGTTTATAAGTGCGATTGCAAGATTGGAAGGCTTTTCAAAAGAATTTTAGTTTTATTTAATTCTTGGTTCCTTTTCTATTGAGCTTACGATCTCGTAACTTGGGTAAAAAAATGTTTTTTTTTGTCATAGAAGTTATTTTTAAAATATCTTCTGGGGAGAATATCCCAGATAAAAAACAAGGGAAATGATGATGTTTTTATAAAACAACAATAAAGGGATTAAGCCTGACCATTTTACAACAACAAACACTATGGTATCCAAAACAAACAAGCCAACACAGTTCTATTTTTAAAAAAACGTATATTATTTTTCTAATTGTTGAAAAATAGTTTTATCTTCCTCTAAAACTATTTTGTTTTGTACGCAATTCTTGTAAAATTTAAATTAATTACTTCCGACCAAATTACCTATTAAAAAATCTTTTGCAAGTTTAAGTCAATTATAATTAAATTAAATACAACTTTGTGTTATATACATTTTATAAAAGTTATATTTATTAAAAGAAATAACAATTCAGTCATTTATTTTGTATTTGTTATGGACTTGGACTTGGCACATAGTGAGGATTGCTATTTATAGTCAGATCTTTACATAGCATTGTATTCGTTTCTAATTTCTTTCTATGCTTCCCTTTATTAACGAAAACGAATCTGCTGCGGCGGAACAATGTTTCAAAGAAAGCAAGCGAGAGCACGTAAACCGTTGTGCAGTAATAAATTCCACTGGTCTATTTTATTGAATCAAGATCTTATTCTATAAGCTTTGGAAATTTGAAATTAGGGAAAATGGATATATCATCATTGGATATAACTTTATTTGGTTTTATCATAGTAAGTAGTTTTATATCTTTACTTGCAATCTATTGAATTTTAAAATATCATATTTATCATCATACTATTTCCAAATGTGTTGCTTAAGTAAGAATTGTATCCACTTATTTGGAATGGGATCATGTGCAGTTTGTTGCACCACTTATCGTACTGTACATTCGTTGAAAGCCGTTCACTACTTCGTATTGCAACATTGAATTGGCGCCTTGCCTGTCGGTTGAGTGTTCGTGCCCAACATTTTAAATATTACAAGATCGTGTGTATACTATGCTTCCTTTATTAACGAAAACGAATCTGCTGCGGCGGAACAATGTTTCAAAGAAAGCAAGCGAGAGCACGTAAACCGTTGTGCAGTAATAAATTCCACTGGTCTATTTTATTGAATCAAGATCTTATTCTATAAGCTTTGGAAATTTTGAAATTAGGGAAAATGGATATATCATCATTGGATATAACTTTATTTGGTTTTATCATAGTAAGTAGTTTTATATCTTTACTTGCAATCTATTGAATTTTAAAATATCATATTTATCATCATACTATTTCTAAATGTGTTGCTTAAGTAAGAATTGTATCCACTATTTGGAATGGGATCATGTGCAGTTTGTTGCACCACTTATCGTACTGTACATTCGTTGAAAGCCGTTCACTACTTCGTATTGCAACATTGAATGGCGCCTTGCCTGTCGGTTGAGTGTTCGTGCCCAACATTTTAAATATTACAAGATCGTGTGTTATTAGTAATGTAAAACGCATTTCCTCTTTATTATAATATCAATAAAAATATAATAATTGATTTTTTTCTATTTTTCTCCCTCTTTTATCTGAGTTCAATTTGAGCGCATCAACATTTGATCCTGTCGAGCTACGATTGAAATAAGAGTCAAATAAAAAAAGTACAGTCTTATCGATGAATTTTAGATTGTCTTCTAAGTTCATGTGGGAGAAGTAATCAACATCAACAAAATCATCATCTCCATCATATTCATTTCTATACAAACGCTAGGTGTCGTGCATTTTTATTGCAGTGAGCCTGTGAAAACAAATAAAAAAAATACTACAATAACAAAATGTTCACTTTAAATCGCGTCGCAGAGTTTCTTTTTCGTTTGTGGTTAACATCGAACAGTGCAAATGAGAAAGAAACTAATTCGAAAGAATAACAACTAAAAAACATTAAGTTTGCCGGGCCGAACTTTCAATACCTTAGGGTAAAGGAAGCATTTTTATATAAAAGTATCTGAATTCAAAATACCAAATATGGATGAGTATAGGATGTGCGCTTTAAGAAAACATGGAACTAAATATTCAATGTTCTGCCAGCGGGCTAGAACCCATTATGAACTGCAAATACCAATTTTTATCAAAATATCGAATATCGGGAGGTACAGTTATATGGCGGTTATACCAATTTCTGTACCATCCTATACACAATACAAATTGTTTAACTCAGAAGGGCTCCGTAATACGCAGAATGCGTCGAGCAGTAGATCGTAGGCTGAAATGTAAAAGATAAATAAAACACAATGGTTTTTTCTAATATATATGCAACTATTTATTGCTAGTTTGGTTGGTTGATATTACCTGTGGCTACATATGCCTTTCTATGCACAACGATACGTGCTTTGCAAACGATATTGCGGGTGTTGTCTGTCCGAATGACAGCGAAATACTACCTGATGTTTAAAGGAGGCGGATAAAAAGTGACAATAATTACTATGCAAGGGAATTGGTTTGTCTGTATAACTTTCCAAACACACGAGCGTGTTTATCCATTCTAAAAGAAAGGTGACTAAATCTTTCCACTAAATCTTTCCGATAAGCGTTGCAGGCAAAGAAAGACAAGTATCGGATCCCATTGATCTGTGGGATCGTCGTAAGTCGACATGAAGGAGATACAACGATTAATTCCAAATCGAATCTCTTTCAAACCAGAGATTGTTTCCTTATCTGGAATTGGAAGTCTAAATAACGAAGACAACTGTCGATGTACCAATATACGAGTATTGTCATACTCATCATGTAATGCTTTCTAAGCCAAAGCAAAACCACGAAACTGCGAAACTATTTCCCTTGCATCAACTACAGTTTTTTGCAGCAAGTAATACAGGCGCTGCACATCACTAAAGCGCACATCACTAAATTACTTATAAAAATAGCACTAAACGAATCTTGAAAGGAAGGCCTGGAAGAAAAATTTCCGTTGAAAATATCACTATCAATAGGGGGCATTGCAATATTGTGAACGATATCTCAACCAAATGAAATATTTGCGGCAATCTTTTCCTGCGATTCAGGAACCAAAAGAGATTAAGCCGATTGCTCATGAGTTTTGTCCGCGATTTTAATCGGACTTTTTAATACACAACGATCTTTTATATTTTTTATTATTGCGGCCATAGTGCTGGAGTAAATGTTTAAAGAAACATTATATTTACTTTCTGCCAAATGCAGATATTCTTTTGTAATATTTTTCGAATTTTCTGAGCTTTGTAATGACTTATAGACCGATTGCCATAGTTTTTCTAACTTGCTCTTCCTTTCACCTAGCATACTAATATCTAAATCGTCATCTTTATTGCACCAAGTTGTGCACCAAATTCTATCAGAGCGTCTGAGTCTCTTAAGAAATTTTGAAGAGGAGCGAAGGCCACAATTATAGCAAGAAACGCCGTAGTAAATTGGGGAAAAATGGAAAAATAAATAAAATAAAAATTTTAATTTTATTTATTCAACTTGTCAAAATGACCGCCTATATTTTGTATTAATTTTTAAAAGATCAAAGACAACAACAAGTAAAAAAGCAGTAAGTTCGGCCAGGCCAAACGAAGTCGTGGACCATTTAGAACGAATTTGGAAATTTTCGAAAAAAATAACATTCGCCAAAAATTCTGCTAACATCTTAAAAATACGTCATATAGCCGTAATATTACGGCTGTACGACGTGCACCTACATGAATAATGACGCTAAAATCACCAAAATACCGATATTGGGATGTACAGTTATATGGGGGCTATACGAAGACGTGGACCTGCATATAAAATTATCTGCCTTAGGCTGTAGTATTTATAACGAACTTCAAACACCAAGTTTGAAACAATTCCGGTGAATAATGTCGCTAAAATCAAAATACGAATATAGGGAGGTACCGTTATATGGGGCTATACGAAGACGTGGACCTGCATAAAAAATTTTCTGCCTTAGGCAGAAATTTGAAACAATTCCGGTGAATACTGTCGTTAAAATCATATAAATACAGAATATCAGGAGATGCTTATATATGGGGGCTATACGAAACCTGGACCTACATGGCCATTTACGAACTTAACCTGTTTACTGGTAAATTTAACATGTGTGCAAAATTTAGCCTTTTATCTCAATTCGTTCGAAAGATAGCGTGATTACAACAGACCGACGGACAGACAGACATCGCTTAATCGTCTTAGAATTTTACGCTGATAAAGAATTTATATACTTTGTTGGGTGTGACATGAGTATTTCGAGGAGTTACAAACTATATATAACTTATATACAAACTATATAAAATTATATACTTATATATAACTTTAATTTTACACGCAATACCAACTAATATAACAAGCAACGGTGGCCGACCAATGTAGGGTAGCTACTCAATCTAAACGGACGCGACGGAAAGAGGAGCAAACAAAAATATTCTTCCTTTGTTTGTTATGTTCGTTCACTTATCTAACAAAGCACAAACAACAAGTGCTGATCAGAGAACAACGACAAAGCATGCAGTGATGTTGGTGGATGATCAAGCAAATGAATTTGACTGTTGTTACAACGAGAAAAGGAGAATAAATGTAACAACAACAATTTGCTATATTAAAGCGAACAGACCAAACAAAGAGAATAATATTGCGAAATGTGCTTTAGGCAGTAAAGCACACCAAACTATGAACTAGGAACAACAATGCCTGAAGGTGATTTTGTTGGAATAAACGAAACGAAATGATTTGTAGTTTTACATGAAACAAAACAAAATGAAAATTAGCAAACGGGTTTTGCAACAAATTTATTTTCGATTTTGTTTTGATTGTGATGCTGCCGAATGCAAGCATCTAATTAGAAGCCGACGCTTAACGGGAAACGAAACACAAAAGGGAAAGAGGTGACGTTTAAAACGACGTTTGTACATCAACAAACTCGATTGTTTTGTTGGCGTCGCGGTAATTTATTTACGCGAGCTCGCTTGAATACACTGCACTATACGTACCTTGTAATGCGTGAGTAATGGACTGTTTATTTTGGATTCCAAACAAAAAGCAATATTTAATTCAAATCTAAATTAAACACAATTTGTTCTGCCAAATTTTGAACGTCTACGTCAAATAATGTGGATTGTATCGTGATTTCAACAAACAGACGGACATCGTTAAATCGACTTAGAAATTTATATATACTTTATGCGGTCTACGATGAATATTTATGGATGTTACAAACGGAATGACAAAGTTAATATACCCTCCTTTCAAAGGTGGAGAGTATAAATCACAGTGAATTTGGCGCATTCTATTTGGTATGAATGTGATCACTTTTTGTTTTGTCACATTTGTGCTGTGATCTCATGTTTGTATAAGATAAATAAAATAAAATGTAACAATAATATAAGCATCAATTCTTTTAGTATAAATTGCATTGTTCGTTATTTATACATTATTATATGCACATATGCTATTGAGATATTTACATTCCAATAGTTCTCGTTGTTTGTCGTTCGATCATACACACACGCTGTATACATACATACCCTTGTTACTGGCAGCCGTCGCTTTACCGTCACATATCTTGATTGATTGTTCTTCTTTGTTACTTGTACTCTACGTGTGCATGTATTCTTATAAGCATTTTGGACAATTTTAGTAAAGTGCACCCTATATTCGGAACATTTGACCTCTCGTGTTGATTAATTAAACGAATATAATTTTGTTGGTTTTAAATCAATTGTCATTCTAAAACTGAATATCATAATCGATAACTTCTTTTCTTTTTTTTTTTTTTTGTGGAAATTATTGATTCATTTCGCTTTTTGTGATTTTTGAATAAAACAAACAGTTGTTGATAAATATTTTGGTATAGTCCCGATAAATTTCCCCTTTTCTAGATTCTCTTTAACTCTTTGAACACATTTGTCGGTTCTTTCACAACCTCGCCTTGCCTCCATGTTACGTAGACGGTAAGAGGT